TGTGCGAACAAATAACCGCAACGTCAAGAGGAAACCGTAGCGCAGCAGGTATTGATCGCGGCTCCGTCTTATCAGTCCCCGGGACTTTGCAGTCTTTGTGAAATGTTACGTAATATCTCCTCCGATATTACACACATCAATCTGTTTTTCTTCCCGAGAGTTCTCTCAGTTATCTGGCATGTTCGATTCGCGACGTTCGAATCCTCGGGACTCAAACTCGCGCTCACATGCACGAATGTCAACGTCATTTTTCGCGACGAGGACGCGGGCTAACGGCCACTTGGCCGTGCGCGAGAGCCTCCTTTCTACGTAATCGTAAGAATTATTACCTCCCGGCTGCCGTTTACAGGTGCGCGGGCGTACGGCGTGTAATCCGCGGTTACGAGTTGTGCTCGTGCAAGTGCGTATGTGTGCGTATCAGAATTCCCGGACAACGAAGCAACGGTACTTGCAGTTGACCGCGAGCGGCCGAGACCGTGTGCAAAAGGTAAACAGTGTTGGCCCGTGCGCGGCCAATATTTGCATGACAATTGAAATGTCACGCGTGACATTTCGCCTTATACTTACTTATACACGACGAGAGGCGAGAGTTGCGACCGCAATAACATTAATTTCTCGTGCGATGACTTTCCAAAGCGTAAAATTTATTTTTCTTTTTACAGATGTCCGTTCGACTGTTATCGTTCAACAAACGTACAATTCTGGCCGGGGTTTTATCGTGCAAAATATTTGTGCGCATTTTACGCGTTTTCATGCCCAGTTTTCGGTAAAAATGAATTGCATGAGGCACCTCGCCCGATAATTTTGTTTCCGTTGACTTGGAAAGCGCGTTCACGCACGCGTGTCTGATTTTAGCGAATCTTTTCACTCGTTGCAATCCACAGCTGCTAATGTGGCAATCCCCCGAGACAGACGATTTTACAAGCAAGCAGTGAAACGGTTTAATGCATTTGCGGCATGGTGTTAATTAAAACGGCAAGGTGCTACGTGCGCCACATCGGTGAAGCGTTAATTAGCTTACCGTCTTTTGCTCTTTTAACTCTTTTAACGCGCGCTCGTGCGCGAGAGAGTGAAATCTATCGATATTAAAGGACGGATACAAAAATGTCCGAAATTGCTCTTTACAGGGACACATCTGTGCAGAAATTGACGATATACTTTGGTGATGCGAAGTTTCTCGCACTGCCGATGACGCACGTCCACGCTCTCCATTGTCCGCGTCCGTGCAGGAAAACTTTCGCGAGTCTTTACCTCCGCAAATCAAACACGTCCGTTCGCGTGTGGTAGTGTTGATAGATAATTCTCGGAAGCAAATTCCCAAGTTACATGAAGCGCACATGAAGCTACTTGATCAATTTCTTTGAGAAAGTATCGCGCGTTGATCTCGCGGTACCCTCATTATGCTGCGCCATGCTCGTGACTTCCTGCAGCACAAATGGCAATCCGCGTAATACTACCATCAGGTCTCGCATACCTCACTCTGCATCCTAAGAAATAACAGCACGCTGGCGGTCTACCTAACCTAGTGTATAATATAAGAACTCGTGGTTGACGTGATCCCACACTGACACGGCCGCAATCAGCCCGCAATTTTCAAGGATCCGCAGGTAACATTGAAAAAAACGGGAAGTACAATGGAGTCAGTTGTCTTGTATCTTCGTTGTCGATCTCATTTGTACACTTGATGAAGATGCAACGTAGTCGTCTCGGCAGACATTTTGATTTCGAGAGTTTAGAGATAAGCGCACTGCGAGTAGCGAAGGTCGTCCGACGACGAGAGACTCGGTTGAGAGGAAAAAGTGTGCGAGCACTTTCAGCTCTTGCTGGCGCAAACAATTTCTATGCTCGTAATTAAGCGACTTGGACGACCAGCGAGTTGAACTGACTCTGCGGGTGTGCGTAGAGCGCACTATTTGCATGCGTTAGCGGCCGACTGCGGTCGCATAAATAATGCCAAAGAGGTTTTATCGATGTTGCACGATGACGGACTAGGTTTTACGATTACCCCCCGCGCGTCCCGGGCCTGCGTATATTTCTCTCGCTTCGTCTCTCTCTCTCTCTCTCTCTCTCTCTCTCTCTCTCTCTCTCTCTCTCTCTCTCTCTCTCTCTCTCTCTCTCTCTCTCTCTCTCTCTCTCTGTCTCTCTGTCTCTCTCTCTCTCTCTCTCTCTCTCTCTCTCTGGCCGTGCGTTCGTCGAACGAGAACCGCGAAACGGCGCGACGTGAAACGCTTAGAAAGTTTAAGTTAAGCACTTTTTCCACCGTGAACTGAAAGGCTGAGAACGTGGTGTTCGTCCAGGAATGCGAATCGCAGAGACCCGCTCCGTTCTAGTCGCTGCTCGCATAGCCGCCGATATTACGATTCACCAGGTCCGATACCCGGAGCGCTTACTTTCGCGAGTGTCGACGAGGAAGTGCATCCATCCGAGTAACACCGGCGGACGCATAGACCGCGGGCTACCTCGAGTAATAGGAGAGTCTTCCTCTTCGGTCACTAGAGAAAGCCCCTCCTTAGTCGAGCGAAGTTAGGAGATACTACATCGAGCCCCGAAAAGACTGTTACTTCCAAGAGGGTACTCGCGATGCTGATGAAACTTCACGGAGATACGGAATAAATTTGAAATCTGATCTCGCCGACGACGTCTCTCCCCCGCCGAGAGATGATTTCGACTTCGTGTCATGCCCGCCGTGCCCGCCGGAGCACGTTTTAATTCGCCCGGTGCGAAGACTCAATCACGAGACCTGTCTAGTGAGAGTGTAGCATGAGCACACGAGACGATCGAGTGCTGCGCGATATATCGCTCAATTTGAAATCGCAATGGCGCGCACGCGCGCCGGTACTGCGGTTAGGCTGCGATTAAATATCGCCGAGTGCTTTCTTCGGTTACATCGGTTCGCCGGCAGAATCCGTTGTTTGACACGGCGATTGCTTTCGTCGACCTAGTTGCGGGGTTTGTTGCAGCTGTAAAGCGGCTATCAATTTCGCCCTGATGAGATACAGCGACGACCCTGTGCAAACATGTCGATGTCTTGCGCCTTTGTTCTCCTTTTCGTTTACTACGCGTGTACGCGAGCGTTAATCGCGCATAATCACGAAATGTGATCCGTGCGTCGATGCGCAACATCCCGCAACAAATACAAAACGTCGCGCGCGCGCGCGCGCTGCCTATACATCGCGTCGCCGTAATTGGGGCGTAGCGAAAGTTGCACCTGCCTGCAGAAAATCAAAGGCACCACTTTTCGCTCATATTTCATTCGCCGGTCATCTCTGAAATTTCATCGCAACAACAGCTCGACCGCGAACAATCATTCCTCCTTTCATCTGTTTTTTTTTTTTTCTTTATCTTTCTAACGCCGCTTTCTGTACACCTCATTTAATCGCTTTCAAGACGACGCTTCGAATAGCTTCGCGGTAGCTTCGAAACTCTTCTTTCGTGTCTCACGCCCACGTCTCTCCTCTCGTTTAGAAACTCGTCGTTATCGGCCGCTGCCATTCCCGTCGAGACGAGCAGATATGAGTTGATGGGCCGCTCGCGAGACTCGAAGACGACGAGGACGACGCGTCGCGTGCTCGCGGATAGCGAAGATGATCAGGGAGAGCAGTTTAATTGCGATCACGGCCGGAGAGCTCCTAAGTGCGACGCGAGTGAAAATTTAATCGCCGGTTAAGTAGAGCACAGAGCGAGTCGAGTACGTTGGCGAAAGAAAAAAGAAAAAGGAAAAATTGCACGCCGTAGCCGTGATATTAGAGGCGCGTCGCACACCGCGCGACAGCCGTCCTTTCGGCTTAATTAAGGCTTGCTTGATTACCGCCGCGAGGACGTTGGCGCCATTGCGCGCCTATTGTTTCACGCCGGCTTCTTCGGCCAGAGCCGTCCTCCGTCCTTCGTACGAATGACGCGACGCAGTAACATTATTCATGAGCCGCATAATCGATCGAAGATCCCGGAAACGGTCTCGTTCGCTGATGACACGGTCCGCTAGTGGCGATAATCGAAGGTTCCAAAGCGGAAATAGAGAGCCTTGCCCTGGACGAGAAATCGAGACAAAGGAGTCGCTCATGCAAATGGACACGGCTCTCTGATATTTTGTACGCGAGTTTCCACGCTTCTCGAGATTCGCGCGAGATGCGTTTCGCAAACGCCACCGTAACGCCAGCCGCGGACTTCTAAATGCAGCGATGAAGCGCTTCCGTTTCGATTTTGAGGCCCCGCTGAAAATCTATTTGCTGAAACTAACTGCTGAATGACAGCTACTGATCGCGAAGCGATAACTCCGAAATGGACTCCCGCTCGTACGACCGAACCCCTTTTTCGATGCAATTCCCTTCAAATGATCGTCCAAAATCGCAAATCGTCCAAATTACTCCTGGCTATCGATATCGCTGGCAACGTTTCAACGATTGGTTCTTGGGTTTACAAACGGCACGATCGAGTCTCATTCGTCATTTCTTCAGCAGCTATTTCCCGCGATGACGAGATAAGCTGGCATGCTTATGACGAGTGCGATCCAGATTCTAAACTTAGTACGATTAATATTCAAATAATCTGAGGTCGGGTAAACTGCAGCAAGACTCGCTCGCTACGACAACGACGAGTCGGTGATCATCAGTATTATTATCGTTGTAATCCGATGGATCGCATCGCTCTCTTCCTAACGAAAAATAGAGGTTTCGATAAATGCCGGTCGAAAGAATACAAGTAAAAACGCTTAAAGCTCCCACGTACTGTTTCATTGCACAAACAACGCGCAAACGGTGTTGCGATGTGAATACTGTTCACGTATGTAGCAAACTTCAGGACGTAATGTCAGCGCTGAAAACTTTTACATGAAACGAGTCTAAACTGTTTGAACTCCAGTTGGAGCGCCGGCATCCCGACGCCCGAAATGCCGAGCAGCCGAACCGTTCTATCGATGAACGTTAAAGATGGATCCCTCGCGCAAGCGACCGTCGCGACTTTTCGCAGGTAGACGGCCAGGTAGAAACGCGCGCATAACTCACCAGAATTTTATCGATGAGTCGTCGGTCTTCCGGCTGGGTTGCCAATAGTTCGCGACACGGTCACGTCCGCTTTCCGGGCGAAATTCCGTATTACTGAAAGCAGCACGAGCGCGAAACGTCGACTTTACGACCGGTCGAAAGTACCGGCGAGTGGCAAGCCGCGTCGCGGTTTCTACAACACAACTGGCTTGGCTTTCGAGAATTCCCGCTTGGAATGCCCACGAGGAGGAACGGTATATACGATACTTCGACCGTGCCTACCTCGACGGAATGGAAAAGGCACGGCGAGGCATCTTCGTGCCTCCGCCGCCGCGCCTACGGTCACGTGCGCGCCTCTCTCATGCATCGCTCCGTAATAATTGAGATGCATCGATTGTCACGGAAATGTTGTCGCTATATCGGACGATCGTTCGGACGGGATTCCTTGGCGCGAAGGAATCATTCCGACAAATTAAAAGTTCCAGATAACGCAAATACGTGTGAAAATAAAGCGAAACTTACGATAACGCTTATTTTAGCGAGTGTGTTATTTCGAGATTATCGGCGGAGAAATCAATTTCAAACAGTCACCTGGAGCAACGCGCTATGATATGTGTTCAAGTTTCAACGCGAGTGGGATTATTAATTGAATATACTTTTCATAAATTTGCAAATTTGCGAAAATTAGTCACCGTTTATTAACTGTGCTTTATGACCGGAAAGAATTACTGTCTTGCTTAATGAATAATTTGCAGCTTAATGCTTTTTAAGCAAATATGCATCGCCTCGCGTAAATTTCACATGAAGGAATGTAAAACGTTTAATCTCTTCTTTTAAAAATGGCATATCAGCGTTATTTACTTGATGCGATTCGTATCGTTCAAAAGTATTTTGATACATACGAAAATGGAACACGGAGATTATTTATTGCAAAGATATTACGCACGAGCATCACTTCTCTTTTTAAGGCTGATGCATTAATATATAAAACATCGCGCAGATTAAAAACGAGCGAGCTAATATTCAAGCGGAATGTTGTTTTCTCTTTTTCTTTTGCCGAATGTATGTGTACATATATATACACTACATTTTATATAAAGAAATGAGAGCTTGCCAGCAGCCAGAAACACGACATTACCTACAATTCGCATCGCTTCTTGCCGTTCTGGTGTTCCACAATTGCGCAATTTCGTATTGGGCAGTTATGTAAAGTAGGCGGCAGCGTTAGGAAACGCAGAGTCGCAGGTGTGGTGTGTGAATATTTCCAAGCCGCTCATGGAGTATCTTCAGCGAGCCTCGTCGATCATTAATTGCTGCGTGCTATTTACCGTTGATACACTTGCACGATATAACCGCGAAAAAATTTGCGCCGTGGCGCTCACTCAAAAGTCGATGCGGCAGGTATATTTAAGTCGGTATGTATATATATATATATATATCGAAATATATATATATATATATATATATTTCGAAATTGCGATAGCCGTGCCTTTGCGAGCTTTGCTATAATTATTAGCTATATATATATATATATATATATATATATATATATATATATATATATAATAAGCTGACAAAATCTATTACGTCGGAGGTAACAAAATCATTGTCTCTGGGAATGTAACGTCTTGTATGCGACGTGACGCGCCCGCCCGTAACGTGCGCAACTATGAGAAGCAATTATCATTTCGTCGACTATGTGGACTATGTGTAACGCAATTGCATAAATCGTGGGAAGCGCCCACGGGATTACCCCATAAACTATTGCGCCGATTCTTCTCGTAAAGAATGAATAGCTATTAAGTTTGTTGTAACCGGCGACCTATTTCTACCGGAGCGATCGAAATGACAGGCTTTGAAGAAAAATACGCGAGGATATAAAGATTAAAAAAAATGTCTATCCATCTCTTTTGGTTTAATGAACGTTCATTAAAAAAAATATATATAAGACGCATTGTTGTATTAAAAAAAAAAGTCTGGACAATTTTTCCAATAGATTACAAATCAGTCATTTTTAACAGCTTGGTAGCTTTACTATCGAGATTCTTCAGATTTGCCGAGAATGCAGTATCGCGATTAATTACTTATCCGCGGCTTGCATTTCATACCTGTATGTTACGCTGCTTTAAGAAAAGTTCTCTCATCCTTCTAATTTTACATATAAAGGTAACCCGCCGCTTCTGCCGACGAATGGGCGGCAAACCGCCCTGGTAACTGGTGGTCGTAACTAATCTCCGTAATTCATTCCGCCGCGGAAAAATTACAAAAAAAGAATGATTCACGATGGTATTAATGGAAACATTAGTGGGATTTGAAACTGCGTAAATCGCGTGAGCCTGCTGAACCGTAATAACGCGCGTCGCTAACGGGAGGAGTTCGGATAATCTTTTGATCGCTCTCGTGAGGGCCAGAGTGCGCGCTCAATCTCGCGAGAGCTTTCCCCAGAATGAGAATCATTTTTATGATTATGCACAGCGCCGCTGTGCGTTAAGCGCGCACAGTATTCCGCATGAAGGCTAATGCAACGGCGCGCTTTAGTGAGCTCTAACGATGTACTAATTAGCGAGATAAATTTAGAGTTTATAACGACGAAATTATAAAATCAGATGTATCGTATAGCATCCGACATTTACAACGCTGCCGATTGTTGAACGGTTTCGATGCGAATTATTCATGTAATTTGATTCGCTATCTGCCACGCATTCGCTACAAAATGATATTAGTGAACATTTACGGTATATTATTGCGATATTAATTCATAAAATTAAATGGATAATGTTGTATCTACCTTGAATTTCAATCATCGTTTGCACAAACAAATTTTTGATTGCTATAAAGTTACTACAAAATTGTATCCTAGTTGATCCTACTAGTAATTCTTAATCACTTTTTACGGCCAACTAGGCAATGTTATTAATTTATTACGCTTGAAGGAAGTAAAGATGAATGTAGAAAATTATCGAAAAGCCGATATGTAATCATTTCAAGACAGTCGCGTTATGAGTCGATAATAACGATGTGATTGAGATGAGTCATACAATCAGCTCGACCTGACTGTTTCTCGTCACGATTTATCATGTAGGAACACGACTTTAATTGCGTCACTTTTTATGTGTCTGGAGCAAAGTATATAGTTATAAAGCGGCCATGAAGGATGGCCGCATTGGAAACTGCGAAATAATGTTGCTCCACAAGGCATTAATGACTACGAATTGCGAAACGTGTTTCTCATTCCATTCAGGCAATCTATGATTGTTACCTCCATCGAGGCTCTCGACAAAATTGTGGTCTGCAATGACCTACATACTAGTCAATCGATTTATTTTCTTTCGGCCGCGTTCGGTTTATACATTATGGGTTCTTCGTGAATCATAAAATTCGGTTGAATAACGCCGAAAGTACGTGCGATGTAAAACGGAGATGATAACTGGCCGCGTTATCTGCTCCAGTTTGTGTCATACTCTGGGAGATATCGCGTAAATATTCACAACAATACGCCGCACTCTTGCATTATCTCTCAAAGTTGCCTTTTGCTTTACAAATCGCGACAGGTGATACGCAATCTTGTTGACTGAATTTCAATCACGCCTAGCGCTCTCTTCAATACTGCGTCATTGTGTGCCAATGTTATACGGTGGCACAAAATATTTGTCTCCTACGGGACCAGCATATTAATCGAATAAGCGTGTTCGCACGTGGAATTCATACCGAAACTGCGTGCAACGAGTAGCCTACTTTATGTTCTGGTTGACCGCTATGTCGGTAAATTTAATTTTCAGCTATCTAATGAATACGTGTTAATATACTTAAATTAGCATCCATAAGGGACTTGCAGAAATGATACGGAGAGATTTTCGGCAAAGGGCGCCCAATAAATTTTTATCTATAAATTTTTCTACTTTGAATATTCGCACTCACACAAATTCTTCGAGTTTAAGATGTAATAAGCAAAAAATATGAAAACTTATGCAGAACTTTATCGTTTAACTTTATATTTACTTGCAGAAAACTCGCAACACTTTTTATTTTTATGGACTTTCAGGCGAGGATCCTAAGATATACTATACAGGTAGATATATTTGTAGAATATCGTTTTGTATATTTGTAATAATTGTATAATATATTTGTAGTATATCGTTATGTATAAAAATATTTATAAAATATTATAATAATCAAAAACATTATTCTTGATTTTTCTTGCATGAATCAATGTCTCTTGTAAAATATTTCATTTGTTTGAATTTCGCGGGCAATCAGATGCATACAACGCGCACAATACTGCGCAGGGTCTTGTACTGCCATGTATTGTGCTGGCTGCGAGCTGCGAGATGCCTCATTTTCCACTGGGATCTCGACGAGTGAATACGGAGCTGCTATTGACAAAGTAAGATATTTTTTATATCTGAAGAAACGCTTTAAAAATTACGTGTTCAAGTATGGATCAGCGCTTATATATTCTGTGATTTTAATCGTTTCGCAATATATAATTGAGAAAAAAGAATGCGTGAAGCAATGGAAAACGGTATATTGAACGTGGGACACGTGGCCAAGCGCCTTACAGCAGAGGAGATCGATAAAATGGAGGCACAAAATTCCCGCTTAGTATCCGCATTTCGTGCGAATCAACTCGAAAAAGACGCAAAGAAGCACTGGGATTTATTTTATAAGCGAAACGATACTAGATTTTTCAAAGACAGACACTGGACCATGCGGGAATTTGAAGAGTTGCTCGGTGGCTTGGGTAGCATGGAGAGCCAAAATGTCCTCCTCGAAGTCGGCTGCGGCGTTGGAAATCTTGTGTATCCCTTAATAGAAGATGGGGCGAAATATTCAAAAATATTCGCATGCGACATATCATCAAAGGCGATAGAATTACTCAAGGTATATCTAGTTTACGATTGTTGGAAAATAGCTCGGATGCAAGTGGATAAAAATGTGCTATCTCATTTCATCGCAGAGCCACACGTTGTTCGATGCAGAAACAATAGAAGCCTTCCAAACTGATGTTACATCAGAAACTTGTTTTTCCAAGATTGATTGTTCAATTAATATTGCCACTCTTATTTTTGTGTTATCAGCTATTCATCCCAATAAATTTTGCAAGTATGTTCGATTAATAAAATGTTTTAAGGTCTTAATATGTGTTGACTAGATTTGCAGTTACTAATTGTTTGAAATATATTTATTAGAGTTGCTGAAAATATACACAGTGTTCTTGGTAGTGGAGGAATATTGCTATTTCGAGATTATGGATTATATGATATGGCTCAATTACGTTTCAAACCTGGACATAAGATTAGTGAAAACTTTTATATGAGACAAGATGGAACTAGGTGATTGTATTTTTTTATTTGTATAATATTTTATTATGAGTAGAAATATGATTTTATAACTTTGTCAACTTGGAACAGAACTAAACTTGAAATCTAACTTTATCATGTGATATAGTTTTTTATTTCACTTGATATTAATAATATCATGATTTTGGATTTCAGAAGTTATTATTTCTCGGTAGAGGAGGTAACAAATATATTTGAGTCTGTTGGTTTTCAAATACTGGATTGTAGTTACATACAGAGACGTACAGTGAATTTAAAGGAAAACATTGATGTGCCGAGGATTTTTGTGCAAGCGAAATTCAAGAAATCTTGATAATATAACATGGAGGTATGTATATTTTGAAGCTATTTCCATTTTCCTTATAAGACCAACAGTTGTGCGTCACAAATTACATTTATTTGCTTTGTTCAGTTTTATATATTTTTATGATGAGTCCATAGTTCATCTGATATGTCTCGGATGATTTTTATTATGTCTTTCGCTCCTATCTGATTTTCTTTGTAAAATGGATTCTATAAGATTTGTTAGTCATGTCTTCTATAATATTTGTATTTTTATTTTCAGAAAATTGAACCACGTCCAGCCGAATAAAGCTGCTGCTGTAATTTATATTTGGCAGTGCAATATGTAACACCAAAGATGATGTTAACAACATCATATATTTCAACTTGGTAATTTGGAATTTTTATAAAACACTTGATATTTAAATATTGATATTTAAATGATGAATATATAGACTATATCGGATGTAATGATGAAAATGTCCTGCAGTGCTGATTCTTTCACAAATTAAAATATCTTTTTATGTTCTTCTATTATATATATGTATATATATAATTTTTTATTTTATTACAGATAATACTGTGGATGAGTAATATGTGACTGAGCTATAATAAATTTTTAAACCAGGCAGATATAACAAAGTAAGTAAGTTGGTGACAAATGGTAGTGGAAGAAAATGATGCAATAGTGATTGAATATATATTTATACGCATATAATTGTCTTAGAATTTTGCTAAAAAAATATTACAAACTTTTTTACAATCCAATAGTTTGTATTAGATATATTAGTGTAAGAAATATATTTTATCTGATAGCATGAGAAAGTAATTGCCAAATTTTATATTTCTTAAGTATGGTATACGTTAACTTGTTCCGCTCAATACACATTGATGATTCCATAGTTCATCTGATATTTTATTGAAGACTCAATATTACAGTCTTTCACCCCTAACTGACACTTTATGTACATATATATTTTAATCGCATTAATGTACGAATCAATCTAAGGGCAACATTGGTTTATGTTTCAGATATTTGTTTTTTAGTCACGTGAACACGTCAAATTGAATCCGTTCTAAGTTGTAAGTTCATATAACAATTTTTAGATGTGTTATTTAATATATTTACTTCGATGATGTATATTTTTATATATGTTTGAATATTACCGTGATATTTACATATCTGTCGTCACTACCTCTGAGCAAAAAATAGAAGCTAGTATACACATGACAATTTTCAATAATCATAATTTTTATATCGTTCGTTACATGTTACAGAACAATCGTTGCTCAAAATGGTATGAGCGGTAACGTCAACGGCGCACAAGTGCAAGACGAAATATACACAGTGAGTTTAACACTTGTCATAGTTTACATATTCTTTACGTAAATATGTTGAATGATGATTTTTATATCACCATCTTTCGTATGAATTATTGTGATTTTCTGTTATTAGCTCTATCTGAAATATAATTCCGTCATCAAAACATGCTATACAAAGTTTAGTGCGTTTTGAACTATACACTGCTTTTTTATTGACAGATTTGTTGAAGTACAATGAAGTACAACGTAGCATGGACATCGTGGAGGCAGCCGAATTTATTAATTAAAATATTAAAGTATCTTTGTCTTAATTTTATGAATTATATGCTCATTATTACATATATATCGTTTCCATTTTTTTCCCCGATACCCTGATATAATCAGCCTCCTTTCTGTGCTAAATTGCTTCGTGTTAAATAAAAAAGAGAAAATAGTTTTATTTTGCCTGGATGATTGTTTATAATAACAAGAATCGCACTTCAGCCGGCGAGCTTTTAAGACTTGAATAAGTCTTATTAAATTGTTTTTATATAAATAAATGGTTGTTTCTTTATCTCCCCGGGCGTATACGAAGCGCAATAATATCATATGAAAAATTTATTAAATTTTTTAAATATCGATTTCTCGAACAGAAAAACGTTGAAAATCATAATTTTTTTGTTTATGTGAAAATATAAAAATTGCACATTTGAACATTTAAGGTTTCTTATTGCGCAACTCCTGGTTGAAACGTCAGTAACGAGAAAAATCACGCTCAAAATTCTTTGAACAAAATACGTTGAAATGAGGATATATATCTATAAAATACTTGTAAGCCGTTGAGAAAATTTGTAAAATAGTGCAATAACTTGTCGCGTCTTTCTCTTTAAATAAATTCATATTAGATGGGTATTTTTAAAGTAACAATTATATCAATTTAACAATTTAATTTAGGCAAATATAAAACAATTAAAATATGGCGGTATTGATGGAGGAATTTATTTCGTGAAACTGAATTGCTAATCTTCGAAATCGGAGAATGGATCTAGCACTTACTACTCCCTTTCTACGCCTTTCTATTTCCACGATACAGACGAAGTTTCAATCCGCGCATATATAGGATTCGAATGAGCATCGCGTGAAGAGGAACAATCTTTTTATACTCTTTGATAGAATAAATTACAAAGATATAAATGTATAATTAAATGTCGAGCGTTAAATGTAAATAAAATGAAATCCGCTTGAGGAAGTCAACATTCTTGCAAAGATATTATCAGTTTTATCACTCCGCTGCTCTGTAGTATGCATAAGAATTAAACTATTTTTTCCTGTTATTTCTTCGCGGTCAAAACAAAAATAGTATAAGAAAAGGAAGGTCGACTTCTCTTTGCCCGTTTGGAAATGAAGAATTTTATATCGTATGCAAAAGGTATCCTGACGTATTCACACACATATATATACAGGCGCGCGTTTAATTTACCTGTAACACTTTTTACAGAATCTTATCTGAATACTATTAATATGAATGAAATTACTTCACGAGTTATATAACGCATTATCATGTTATTACTAATACGATTGCAAAAGTTATATTGACGAAAAATTACTCACAACATCGTAAGTTAAACGGGGACAATATATCTTGAATAGCAAGTATTGTGACGAGTGTACTTAGTTGACTTATTTTCTCGTAATGGAGCTCAATGACCATTCTAGCATCTCATTTACGATTTAATGTTTTCGCAATTTTTACGGGACCTTGCGACGAACTTAACGATATTCAGAATAATTATCATGTTGATGTCAAAAACCAGATATCGGGCGTATCACGTATTGAAAGCGAATTTAAAAGTGTAGGTGTTATTTTCGAATTGTAAGCAGCATTACGTTTATTAATTAGATACTCTGACATAATGTCTAGATTAAAAATTTTTAGTTATTCCTACTTTAGAGAATATTTTTTGTTTTATAAAAGTAGGAGTTACCAAAAAAACAATGTTTTATTATTCTATAAATATGTTATTAAAAAACATAACAGTATCCTATCCCGTATCGAATGAATACGAACGCGTAAATTAAATTAAAGCTTTACAAATAAATTGGATTATGTGTGATAACGCCTGAGTAATATTTATTCATGTTCCGAAACGATTTTCTTTCGTGCTCGAAACGATGGAAAAAATAAAATTGTAAAGATTGAAAATGCTGAAAATGTTGAAAGGAAGAAAGACAGAGGAATGAGAAATGTTTATCGACATAGATGTTGAACGAGTCGATCGTCTTTTTGTGTTTACAAGGGCACAAAATACAGCGTCGAGTACTATCTAGTAATTAAATGTGATTTTATGCAAACGCGTCGCGCACTTGTTAGCACGTAAACTGCAATTTGAATTTGAATAAAACTCGGTACGCTTGGAATATACAAAAAAAATATTTCGGTTTGAAGAATAATGTCATGGGAGTAGACTCGCATCCGTTTGTACTTGTAATGCTATTGTAAATCCGGATCCTAGAAATTTCTCAAGAGTAGTATTTTTTCACATGTAACTCATTTACCGATACGTATCCTTGATCTTTTCCGGAATCGGAGGTGTTTTATTTGCTCTGGGTTAACCATTAGCATCTAAAATAGATTGTAGCGTTTTATTTAATCTGACCCGCGCGACCGGACAGGTAAAATGTGAATATGTATTTTTTCAAGTCTCTGTTGCTAACAACCGGATTTAGCCGAAATTTCAAATTCAAAGCAGCACGGCGCATCCTTCAAACGTTACGCGAATTGCAAATATAGATATTTGAGCGATTGATAACATTTGCTCACATACGAATGTATCGGCGATATTTGATTTTCCTTGACAATATCTTTGTAAAATTACGTCGTTAGGTAGTTTATATATTTTGCGTTACTAATTAGTATACATAAATGTTTGCTTTGTTAAAGCCGGGGGCGAACCACGTGTAGCATTCGATAACGATAACGATTTCAAACTGAAACAAATTCTCGTGACTAATTAATTTTGTCGATGTCGACTGAATATTTAACTAGCTTGCGCGAGTACGAACATGAACAACGGCGCAAGAGGATTTGCTATTTACAAATACAAGTATAATCTCGCACGGTGAATGCGACAATGTAGTGTGTGCGCATACTGTGTCAGCGTTTTGGGAGTTGCTGCAGCATTGTGTGTTGTACCGTTCGGTAAAGCGCTGTCCCTCAGCAACGGTAAAAAAAAGCCCTACAAATCACAAGATGATAGCGATACATTATGAAAATCCTAATTTTTAATACGTACATATATTTTCCTGCAAGTTAACAGGAGCATCGTAAAATAACCAATGCATTCCATGCGCTTCACAACTGCTTACTCATCCGTCATGCATTAACACGTTAAATGGCTCAATCAAGGACGAAAAGATTAATATTATCTCATTGAAACTGGTTACGTGTATTATTTAAACTTGCTTCGTCTCGGTTCGACTCCTAAATAATTATAATAGTCATTTGACTTTTAACACACCAATTAGAACTTCCTCTCTGTCCTACGTCATTTATATGATAATATCAACTTTTGGTTCCTCGAACTTTTCGATATAATGGTTCTTCGAATAAAATTAGATAGTTACACAATCATATACATATATATATATATTTATATATAGACATGCATGTACTAGCGCGTATGAAGCTATAATATTTAATAAAATCGTAGGAGAAAAAGCGCAACGCGAGACTTGTGACATTTTTCGCCAATTCCAACGGTATATTTTCAGGTGGATGGATTGCGACAAATTTTGTCGCAGTTTAATTCGATACGATCCCTTTGACGATTCGCCGATATTGGCGAAAATCGACATCGCACGTGGTGAGCAGCTCGTGCGTCACCGTCAAAGTTCAGCGAGCCCGCGCACATTGGGATCGAGTATGGTACTGTATATACAAGTAGCACTGAGTTATGCCAGCGTTGTAAAACACTTTCCTCTGCATTTGGCCGATTGCCAAGGACCCCCCGCCCTTTTCGTGAGTTCCATCTAACGATGGTACCGCGAGTGCATCGCACGGAATACACGAATGCGCGATGCATTCGCGTACTTCGTCGTCTACTCGACGACGACGAAGACGACGACGGCAGTGCACGTTCGCGGATTACGTATGTGAGAAGGTGTAAACAACGTGAGTCGTATAACCAACCCCCCTATCGACGACCGGCTCCCACATATACACACGCAGTACATACGAATGACATGCGTGTGTGTGTGACCTCGTGCATTGATCAATCTACTAGTGACGCCCATGAAGCGATCGGGTCGTCGAGTATATAAGCAATCGGCCGAAAAGCAAGAGCATCATTCAGTCACTGTTCATCAGCAGCTGATCTCCTGCGAGCCAAACTAATCCGACCAACCATGAAGTACTGCGTTGTAAGTATTTCGCGACGGGTCATTCTCGGATGATGTCGCGCTGCGATCGGGGTAACGATCGGTACGCTGGCGAGATTGCTTGCAATTTCATTTGCATCTGCGCGTCAAGAACGTGTCGAGTCGATACACTCACGTCGGCCCTGCGAAATTCTCTGATAGATTTTCGTCGATGACTCGCCGCACTTGTTCGCTGATCATGCTACATTCGCCGATTAGCCTAATTACTACATTATCGTGATTATCCGTGAATTGATCGGCTTGATCAGCTGCGTACGCTCCAAGCTTGGATCAAGTCGTGATGCTCCTAACTATACAGCGCTCGTAGCTACATGGCGATAATATTCTCGTGATCTCGCATGCTACCGATATTAACTCATTATCGGTAATTAGTTCGTAATCCTGCCTTCCTTTGCTCTGCTGTTTGCTGATCATTCAATCGGCACGACAATGCAACTGCTTGGTAAACATGAAATTTTCAAAACTTTTATTTCTTACGACTGCAACACGTATCTCTTCTGGACTACACCTTTCTAATGGCACTTTCTAATTTATATGTTTATATATATTATATTAATACTTAATTTATATTTATATAAAATACTTAAATACTAAATTAATCATATGTATCGCGACATTCATCTTGCAAATACTGATTATGATTCTCAGTGAATGTACGTTGGCTAATTATATAAACTCTTGCTGGGCGTCTCTGTTTCTCTCGTTATAGAGAATCATAATACTTTTCTTTATATGTTATTATTATACGTTACTAAGAGAAGACGCAATCACCACATCGACACATTTCATATGCATTCATCAAGTCTCACCTTACCAGATATCGCAAATTGATTTCGTTTAAAAAATATTAATGTAGAAAAGATGTTAAACAAAACATTACACAATGTCAGCAGTGACACAACGTCAATTTTACGCAATTTAATGAAGTCATCGTCTGTATAAATTAATTGAAGATTACTTTCGCAGGCTATCCTACTTCTGGCTCTCTTCGCCATCGTTATGGCGCAGAAGAGGGTGCCCAACCTTAAGGAAGAAGCTCCGAAATCGGAGATCGAGGACGCGAGAAACAAGAGAGGCGCGTATGGAGAATATAACCATGCATACCCATACTCAGTATATCCTTATGGCTACCAATACCATGGATATCCTTATGCCTATCATGGCTACCCATATGCTTACAACTCTTACCACTACCCCTATTATGGCATCTACGGCGGCTACCACCATTGAAGTGAATACGACGACTACGGTTAAAATGAAGGCTAGGATCTCGACGACGACTTGTAATTAAGACTTAGGACCAAGGATTGGATCACGAAAATGTCAAAAATTCTCGCTCAAGACGTACACTCGTACAATCTGTTCAATTTGGAAACTCTTGATAACTACGAACGCAACATGCTTAAGTTCTTCGATGATCAACAGTTGTGTTGATATATTCATTGCATTAATAAAGTAAGATTAAATACAAAACAAATGTCTTCTCTCTGAGGAATTCTTCTCGTACAAGCCCGATCCAGCCCCTGGTATTCTTTGTGTGATCTTTACTTTGAGGTTACACGTTTGAAGTCCGAATATCGGCAGAAGCAGATTTCCCACAAGATACCGAAAGAATTTATCGAAAGGACGGGTATTTATTTCCGCTGGAAAATGCACCACGCGAGATAAACAGGCGGCGGAAAATGCGGCGGATAATTAACGGGAAAGCGTTGCAAATTTTAATGACTACGAAAGCGCGTTAATTCGAATGTAATTTATGTAACCGCAGATCGTGCATATATCCGGCGCGCAAACGTCATTTTCACAGCAGGATCCGGCGGAGTTCATCGCGCATACATTTGCGGTTTCATGTTTAATACGAGCGCATAACGTATGGTCCGGCGTCGCGGTGCGGATTTCCAGACAGGATGCAGGAAAACGTGCAGCGGGAACGATTGACGTCATTAAAAGACGATACCCGCTCGATGGGATGCGCCAGAGTTCGTAAACGTACGCGCGCGTTTACGAGGTTGCGTTAACGTCGTGTTTTGCCACTTCAGTCGTGGACGTTGACATGATTAACATCACTGACACGACGTCGCCTATTGGCCTCATTAGTGTCTCGCGCATGGAGATAATGAGTAACGACTGCGTAAGTAACACGATCTATTCGTGTAATCTCAGAAATCATGAAAGTAGAGCAATTTCTCTTGGCAGGTGTTAATTGACCGTATATTTTTCATCGTTTTTATCGCAGATACAATTCGATATATACATTCGCACTGCTTTGAACCGGCGTATGTTGTATAGAGAGAATTCATTTTAATTCCGTTTATTTTAATTTTAATACAATATAACATTTTATTTTATTCTATATCGTTTTATATAATACAGGAAACAACACGAGGGAAAAGAAATACATGTAAAATGTAATAACCATCTCACTGCAAAACTATTTCATTTCATATTTTTCAGAATAATTTGCTGCGCATGATCGTCGCGCTAAACAATCCGTGTGGACGTGTTGTATATTAATTCATTTCGAGACAGGACTCAAAACGGAGATCACGCAGAAATAATATCGAAATATCGTAGAGCTCCGGTCGATGACGAAACGCTCATCCAGAAAATATATGCGAGGAAATAAAACCATTTCTTTGCAGATTTTTAACGACACGTTTCACACCTTCGCGTCGTCCGACATATAATTAAGTATTATAGCTTCTCTGCGCTCTGAAATGTTAATTTATATTCCGCGACTGAAGGACGCGTGAGCAACGAGCGCGCGGCATCCGCCTACATTATCCGATTATCCGATTTGATTTTCGACTTTATGGGACAACGGATGAATTCACGTAATGGCGTAGTCGTCCGAAATGCATCAAAAAGGCGACGAAATCGACACGCGCGCGCGCGCACGCGCCCGGACCGTGAATCTGATTTACGCGTAACCGCGCGTGTTACACAATACGAGTGTATCCTCGTAAATAAGCGCTTATTCCGTATTCCCCGAGACCCCAAGACTTTGCCGGTACTTTCACTGGAAGAGCCGAAGAGCAGCCGGACGAGCGTGACGAGAATGCCGTATAAGAGCCGCTGCGCGTTTCACGCAATCGTGCGGTATCCTGCGCGACCTCGTCGGAAGTTCACGAGACGACACTCGTTTCCTCCGCGACCTCGCATTTCCCTATTGAGGACATAATTTACGGGCGACGACGAGCGAAGCACGCGCGGGCGAGTACGCGGTGATGAATGAAAGTTCCGACTTTTTATCCGCCCCTATATATGCGTTTCACCGCGCGGCGCGGCGCGCGGAGGCGGAGGGATTTACGAGGTCCTCTTTATCACCACGAAACAGCAGCCCGCGCGGGCAAGGTCGCGCCGTGCTATCTTTTGTTAAAAAGCAAGTATCGCAATTTCAAGCGCGTGCCCTCTCCTCGTCATATCGGTGGTTATAATGGGGGTCAGCGTGCGGCTTTCGCGGGCTTTTAATCACGTCTCGTCTCTGATTCTTCGTTCGAGATGCGATGAGAGATCGCAATTTCCGGCTGTTGCTCAAACGGGCGAGTTATCGTCCGCTCGGATCGTTCGTAACAGATTTTGGCATACGGCCGCGAAAATTCGATTATGGAGGCAATGCGACGATACCGACGTGCACTCGGAATCGATAAGTGTAACATCACGAATCCGTAACAGTATTGCTTAAGCCCGATCGATGAAAGCCGGCAAGAAAGTCTATTGTAATTCGTGGACAGTCGCGACCCGATTGTATTTATACATGCGCAGGTATGGCTGTCGTCTTAGTCGGCGCGGGCCTGTCCATCCTCGAACAAATTAGTTTCTTGATTCGCGTGGTCCGATTCAATGTCGAGACCCCGTGGGAAATAGCGCACAGTTTCTTATATCGGACGAGACAACCGGACGGTCTCGGTGCGGTGTTAAGTGCGGTGATAAGGATTACACGGCTTTGAAAATGCGGCACGTCCCGGTAAGAGCGGTGCACCGTTCGACTTTCTTTGGCGCGATTTTCCGCCATCCATCCGTTCGTGTGTCACACGAAAATGTTCAAGCTCTCCCATGCCTTTTCCCATTACGTCGGACAAGAGACTTTTGTGTATCAATATTCATGAGCTTTCAACGAGCAAAGCTTTTGTCGGTTATAAAATATTTTATACGCCGAGATTACCGGAGAGATTAACTTGAGGAAACAATTAACGCATAAAATACGACGGGATTTCGTTCCTTCTTATACGTGTGATTTTATCCGCGATATTTTGAAGAATTTATGAATAAAAGTGTCGAGATGCGCTTTTGCCTATATGTGTGTGCATTGTTTATTTCTATTATTATGAAAAGGAAATAATTTTCTCAGAAGCGCCGAATTTATCAATTTCATATTTGACGCATCTTGCGACAGCTGTAAATGCTTTGTTACGCGCACATTTTGTTATCCTCCATTTTCATAATTTTCCCACTTGTTTCCATTGTCACTTGATATTGTCCCATTTATCACACAAAATATCCGTATTATTTTTAGATCGTCTACATTCTCGTGCTGGCGCTTTCGTTGACTCGAGCCGAGCAGAGAGCCGAAGCGCAGGAGTCAACGGTCACGAAGCTGCGGGTGGTGGACTTTGGCGAGTCCAGCGGGATCGAAACGGAGCCCGAGCAAGCCGACGTTCAACGGAAACGAGACTCCGGATATTCGTACAACAAACCGAGTCGTATCTCGTCGTATCCTCGGCTACGCTTGCAGGCGAATCAGCCTAGGGATGAAATCGCGTCCAGAAAGCCCGGTCAGTTAAGCAGACCGTTCACGAGATACGGACCGCCGAATCACTCGTCTGTCGCCACCGCCGCCGCCGCCGCCGCCGCCGCGCACGGTTATCGCGGCCAACACCACCGAGGCAAATTACAGCATCACGTCGATCAACAGCAGTCGATCGGCTACGATGTTGGTTCGGCGCAGCAGGAAGTGCCGAGTCCAATTAGGAACGCCGACTTTGCGAGCGAGAATGCGATCGCCAGTCAAAACAACGAGCCCTTCGGCATGTACACGGCCAACTACCTGCCGCCGCAGAATCAGAAACTGCCCGCCTCCTCCTCGGTGGATAACTTCGCCCCGCAGTCGTATTCGCCGCCGATTGAAGGCCAGCAGCAGCTCGCGCAGCTCGGAAACCAGCAGATTTCCGACGCCGCGCTTTTCCTCTCCCAAAACGCGCAGGCGATCCAGCAACTTTACGGCGCGCCCGCCAGCGGCCAGGACTTTGCGCCCAGCCACGACCAGTTGCAGGACCCTGTCAATCAGATTCAAACTCCGAGCGCTCAATTCGGCGGTCTGGAGAGCACGTCGCCGAGCCCGGCGGAGTTCCCGCCCGGCGCGTTGCCGCCGTACGCCTCGGGCACGCTGAATCCGCAAGAGACTCTGGAGCAGATCCAGTCTCTGGAGAAGGACCGGCTGATCGTGCAGCTACAGCAAGCCCTGGCGCAGGCCCAGAGCAGCCCGAGCGTCGCGGCGGCGGCGGGCAGGTACGCTCAGAACCAAGCAAGTTTCATTCCCAGTCAGGAGTTTCTAACCTCCATAAGCCAGCGAATGAAATCGCATGTACCCCCGGGGCCGCAAAGCGTGGCCTTCACCGGCGGAAACACAGCCTTTAGTCAGTCTCCTTTCCTGCCAGGGACCACGCTGAATCCCCTGGGGCCTCCTCTTAGCTACGGTGTGCCAACGACTACCGCGCAAACTCCGACCACAACGACGGTGGTCACCGCACCTCCGCCGCAATCAGCCGGAGGCGACGGAGGCAGCATTCAAGTATCGTCTTCGCTGCCCGCTCCCAATCAGCCCGGGCCATCCGCGGCCGCGTCACCCGTGGGAATCCCCATTTACGGCGGGTTCGTGCCTACTCTCATCGCCGGGCCCGGCTTTGTTCCTACTTACAGCGGCGTCTTCGCGACCGGACCGCTCAGACCGGCGCAACCCTCCGGCTCGTCGCCCACTCACTTTGGGATACCCATTCCCACGCAACCTCCTGAGAAACCGACGTCGAGGCCGCCAGCCAGCACGACACCCGTGTCCGTCTTCCCCGACCGACCCGGGCTCCCCTTGTCCCCGGCGATCACGCCGGTGATCTTGCCCGTTCAACCGCTGCGACCCGTCGCTGCTCCCCTGCACCCCATTGTCACTCCCTTGCAGCCGCCGCCGCTGCCGGCCACCCCCGTCGTCACGTCGACCGGGGTGCAGTACTCGTACGGCGTGCAGAACGCGCTGGTCAACCCCGCGCTCTACAAGCCGGTCAGAGCGGTCTATCCGGTTTACTACTACTCCAACGTGGCTTACCAGCCGCAGAAAGCCGGTAGCGTGCCGAGCTACCCGTGGAGCTATGCGCCTTCGTACGCGCAAGCGAAACCGGCGCAAATATGGAAATGAGGTGTTCCCGTTCTCCGCGAGCGCGGATCGTGAGCGCGCTCGCGCGATATTCAGTCTGGCTGGACTTACCCGCGCGGAAAAGAGAGAGGGAGAGATTGAAGAAGAAAGTACAGCTGCGGGAGAGGAGAGTATCGCGGAGTATCGCAGTCGCGTGATTTTGATGCGCCGATGACGCCGCGCCGTATCGCCGATTAACCTTTTTCACGTAAACGATTTCATTTTCTACGCTCGGCGGCAGACGAGAGTTCTCGCGTCGCAAACCGCTCTGCTACGCGGTGAAGGTGGTTCCGTTCGTCTGCGCCGAGAGGAAAGTTCCGGCATCGCCGTGACGAAGAAACCTGCGCGCGTCCCTCGCGCTGAAGAGGCCGAAATTGCCCACGCTGAGAGAGAGAGAGAGAGGGAGAGAGAGAGAGAGAGAGACGACGGTGTGTCTCTCTTTTCCCGCCGCCGCCGCCGCCGCCGCTATGATAAGTCGACGTGGTAATTGTGACGAAACTGGAGGAGCGCGACGCTCTCCCAGCCAGGCGGAACGGTTCGTTGCTCTGTTATTCGCGAGAGGACAATTCCCCGCGCGACATTGACGCTCGCCGTGTTAAGGCCATCACACACAAATGAACGTAAGCAGTAAAACGTAAGCAGTAAAGAAACTGACCGATCACAATCAATTATTCTCGTAAGTTTTAAAATGGCGTTCTTAAATTTCGATGGTGATCGGTCGATTTTTTGCTTACTGCTTACGTCTTACTGCTTAAGTTCGTTTGTGTGTGATGGCCTTTACAATTACTTGGCGCTTCCATGAATAATCATGCGGTAAGACTCGCGCGCGCGCGCGCGAGTTATCACAGGCGCAAATTTCAATGCGCGTCAGATACATGCTAATGCATGCCCGCGAGAAGTTGATGAAGTTCGAGCCGCGTTCATCATCAACGCGCGGTTAACGCGCCATTGAAGAGTCACCGCTCTCCAAACGGTTGCTCCGCAGTACGAGTCTCGAGTATATCCGCCGGCACCATCTGTTATTGCGCATACACGCGGCTTCAAAGCGTCTTCGAGAAAGTGACATGGTGCGCATAAGTGATAACGAGCGCAGTTGTTTCATTGTAGAATATCCGCCGCTCCGAGAATGACAAGCGAGTGTTTCTTAATTGTCGATCACGCGCCAGGGAAATTGCCGCTGCCATTGACGCGAGTGTCCGGCGGCGTTGCTCACAGTGCACAATAGGGATCTCTGTCGCTTTCTTTAGCGGAACGTTTCTTGTGTTCGCGCTATCGGTCGCCAGACAACGCGTTTCGCACAAAGAGACTTGCGATCTGTTTTCCCCGATACCCCACGTACGTACTTGTCATGTAGAAGACTCCTCTGCTGAAGGATCAAGTCGCTTCAACTTCCTTTTTTTTCTAACAGCCTCGGAGAAAGCAGCCTGTAATAAAAATTGTTTTTTTTTTTCACGGCAGACACACACTGCGTGCACTTATCTCCGTTAAGTGGCTGCATTAAGTGCGTTATCCGTCAAGGGTCGCTTCGATGACGTTGACGCGCTTTCGCACGGTGGCGTCTCCGCACCGCATCGCGCGTGTCTCTCCCGCGACCTGCGAACGCGTGCGTCCGCCTTGGCACGCATGTAAATACACACATGTTCTATTTATTATTTTGTCAAATAAATATTTTTCTACCTTGACAAGGGCTTCTCTCCTGCCCGATGTCCCGAGAAATCCCGCCCGCGCACGACCCACTGAGCCTTGCCGAGGCCGTCCGAGCCGCAAGTGAAGTTCGGCTGCATGTGAAACCGCCGTCCATAGCGTCGTGATGGAACGCTGAGTCGAGAAAATGGTCTGCCGGCACTTCCGGCAGCGGAATCTATACAAGGATCTATACGAGAAGACTCTCACCCGCAGTCGTGACCAGCGCAGTCGTGGCAGCGCACGATCCATCGCCACGCCGCTCGATCCTGACCTCGAAAGTCGTTCGATAATTCTAGCCACGGTCAGCGCATGGTTAGCCGGGTTATCCGAGCAATCCCGAGCATACATAATATATTGATGTCTGCAGGTGTACGCTTCCCAGACGATTTCGTAATCTTCGGGCCATTCTTGCCAGGGATGGGACGTCACGTACCTCTGCGCTGCCGGCTCGATTCATAGATCTCGATCTACGGATGCGCGGTCTAGCACGGTAGATCGGTACTATCGATAACCGGAACAGAGATTGCGTTGCACGAGGCGAAACGGGCACGTGGTTGCTCCTTTTGCCTGTGTTAATGTTTATTAAACGAGCTGTTCGGCAGCTGTTGCGACATTCTGTAAATGAAATCGGAAACGTTGCTTTTCTCGCGGTGATGAAAATTTATGTCGCTTTCGATAAAGATACATTATTACTTCCCGCTATCGACCCGTTTTCGATAAGTGGAGCGTTCCTTTTAAAAAGGAAAGTAATTGAATTTATAGGCGGCAGAGAGACATATAGAGAAGGAAAGGGAGAAAGGGAGAGAGAGAGAGAGAGAGAGGGGGGGAGAGAGTCGAAAACGACCGAGTTAATCTCTGGAGATACAAATCTATGAGTTGTTTAATGGGCGAGTGATATTGTGGATTTTGTATTAGCGTAAAATTTGAAACGATAATTCCTTCTAATTAATACGTGCTGGATAGGTGTATTTGTAGCGCTTATTCGCGGAGATTAAAACGAGCGACGATAACACCCGTCGCTTTTATCGGTAAATAGAGCAAGCTGCACATTATCGATGTTGATATTCATCAGCTTGAAAGCAAGTTTCCAAACGACGCGATGAAATGTCGTCGTTGTGTCATGACGGAAGCCAGATGTTTACGGAAAATTCCAACGGTAAAAGCGCTCGAAAGGTTCAAGCGATGACTGAGCCGAAAGATCACGAGGCCCTAAAAAGCGTGGCTTGACCCTGTGCCAAGGTGGTGGTCCGCTACATCCAGCATGTTGTCAACTCACTTTCTGTATGTGACCCATATTCTACCGGCCGGTTGCCGTTTTATTGCGTCGCTGCACTTTTACCGCTTTACCTCAAACTTGTCCGGTCGGAATTTATCCTCACACGCGCTTTCTGGCGCCTATTTAGGAAACTCGCGCACAAAGCCCGACTCGTCCTCGGATTAATTTCTTCGGTGAACTTCACGGCGCGAGAGCTCGACGTTCCTCGACATTTTTAGCCATAGATGCATTGGAAAGTAATAAAGTGAGTGTTGTCAAACGCTTGAAGTTTCAGCTAAAGTAACCTCGAAGAATGCTACATCATGTTACTTTGGTATGCGATGAAGACGCGCCAGGTCGAGAGCGTGAAAAAAAAGCGATGATGCAAGCAAGTTATGTGAATAAAATTACGAGAGAACAAGAACGTGAGAAGCGAGAACGACTTTAAGCCGATAGCTTTTATCGATTCGAAACCATGCGTGAAATGCGGTAACGAATTATCGACATTGGCGTATTTCCAACCAGCGTTGTAATTCTAATTGCCTTTCCCGGTCAGTGACAGAATCTCATCGGCGATATTCAACTTTAGAATGAACGGTACGTTGCGCGCAATGCAGTTACGCGTAGAAACAGCGTTCTCGTTCGCAGAGATCAGCGGGACCGCCGGTGTGTGAGAAATATCACTTGTTTTGTTTTAGCAGTTGTTTGCGCAATAGCACGCAAGCGCGCATTCAAGTCTTATCAAGATGTTAATGGGATGACAAGTATATTATTCGCGGCACACGAAAGCGACGTAATATCTTACGGCGCTACGCAGGTATTTTATTATGCACAGATATGCGTCTTGCATAACCGCGCAATGTAAATAATGCAGTTCTCAATGGGACTATCTACATCTCGAGTTTCAAATCGGCGATGTTTCAAATTGGTGCTGGGTAACGTAACGTGTTCTACATACAAATGTTGATGGTAATGAACCTGCACAAATGAGATAAATTCGATTCGTACGCACCATGCAGTAGTCAATTACGCATAATATGATATTTATAATTAGGTGTTCAGGGAACTCTGGACTTTGGATCGTAATTTGTCCGAAATCTTTTAAAATGTACATAAAATTTAAAATGTAATCTTTTAAAATGTACATAAAATTTAAAATATACTCTATCAAGATAATGACACCCTATCGAGTATAATAAATTAATAATCGGTATAGGTGAGATAAATAAACGCGAGTAAGTGGAATAGAATATACATTATGAACATACAAGTGATAAAATTGGAAACGTGTTAACCTTTTTGACTTCTACATTTCCCGTTGCTCTCGCGAAAATAAATTGCATCCGCGTGATCGTTTTAAAAATCGCACTCGTCATCTTCTTAATAGGGAATTATCCACAGATGACTTCCTTCATCGTACGAGTGAAAGTGAAATGAAGTCAATCGGATGTATTCAAGTGCTGCAATTTAACTAGTTGGGAGACGTTAAATGAACAGTCACAATTACTTTTTTTTTCTACAGCTGTGCTTATCCCTCAGATGGCGTACGTTTATCACGTAAAAGCATCAAACCCGGGGAGAAGAACGAAGCAACGTTTCATTCATTCCCAGGAGCACAATTCGCTTTCGAATGTCGCGCTGATCAGCTTTCAACGCGTTGCGGAATCTTATCTCTTTCTGTACACAATCCGAGAACATTTGTCCAACGAACGTCGGCATTCTTCTCTCAATAGTACATGCTGAATTTTACGTAAGAGCTTACGACCGATGAACAAAGTTAATTTATGACACGTAACTCTACGAAATGCTTGTCTTGCGCGTAATCTACAGTTAAGGTTGAATTACAAGTTTAAATTGACGGTTGCTTGATGGAGTTATAAAAATACTACAAAACGATTCAGGACATTGCAATTGAGACAAATCCATTTCGCCTTTTTTGCTGAACGTGCGGCTTAGATATGCTTGGTTTCTGTAGTTTGCGGCGAACCAGTCAAGTGCCGACAAGTTTTTACAGATATAAGATTTCATAGAAAAACAATAGCTAGGAATAAGTAGAGTAAGTAAATCTACTCCTTTCACGCGACAAGATCTTTCGCTTAACTGCGTTTTTTATCGGTGCTGAGGCGAAAACAGGACTGGTGCATGTTTCAGAAAGTTGTACCGCTGTAGATTAGTTTTCAGTGAGATTCAATGCGTGAAGAAATTTCTTTCTTACCGGATGATACGTTTCTCAGAAATGTACAACTAGATGAGTCCAAATCATCCGCTGGGAGATTAACTTTTAGATGACGACATATAATTATACTTTTCTTTCTCTTCCCTTCTTTTTCTCATCTCAAACGTAATTAGTAGCTGGGTAATTGTTAACATTTATGCTCTTCCTTGAAAATATTCAACTAGCGCGTCTTAACCCGTTTCGGACCAGAATGATCTAAATTTTGTCTTTTCTTCATTGCAATTATTTTTACTCAAGCCGTGGATGGATCTTCTCCAGACAAAGATATCTTATAGTTTTGAGGCATGCTCTTTCAGAATCTGAAGTCCGTTTGTCACTATCATGTATCATTTTTACAATATGGCGGCATTAATGCCAAAAAAATAAAAATAAATAAAAAATTATTTTCTTTTATGTCATTTCTCGATATGATCTCGTTATGGGATCGTGCTGATAGCATAATGGATTTGGTGGCATAATGACTTTAGCTAAAATATGGTGCTATTCCGATTGAGAAATTCAATATGGCGGATTCAATATGGCAACGTTTTCAAGGAATTTTTAAATTTTGTCGTATTTTTCAGATTATTTACTGGTTAATCGTATTTTTATGCTCTAGCAAGGCATTGAACATTTGTATTCCGAACATACATCGTTACATACTAAGAAAAAGTCAAACGAAAATAAAAAATGGCGGCGTTTTTCACGTTTAATTGTTAAATTTCAAATTTTTTCTTCGTTTTTCCATATATTCAATTATGTATGTTGAATTTTTTATGAATTCAAATGTCCCTATCGCAGCTATTGATACAAAAAATAAAACATCATGAAATCAAAATGTAACATAGCCTACAAATGCCATAATCAATTAATTTTTGTAAAATTTTTGGAAATGCGATTATATAGTATGATATAGTTTGATTCTCTTTTTTTTTCATACTTTTGCGTGCAAGTGAAGGTACAATGAAAATATAACATAATTTCATTTCATCCAGTTTGCAACGCACTGTTCTATCAAGTTTAGCGGCTTTTCGCTTTGGCACGTTACAATTATTTTTTGTAACTTACACTCTTTAGATTTAATAAAGATCAAAAAAAGAAAAGTTTTGCAGAACAGGAAGAGTAGTAATAAAAAATATTTTCACTTATCTTGAGCATAAAAGTTAGTACGAAAAAGTTATTTTGAATTCATATAAGTAAATAAGATAACGCAAGATAATAAAATATTTTCAGGTGACCTTTGTTGATATTTTGTATATTACTAACATTTCAAGTACAGTAAGTTTTTGCAAAAAGTTTGATTCGAAACAAGTTTTAGTTATATTTAATGATTAGTGAAAATTCGAGTTTTACCCGTTTACGCTTATGTGCTACGATTCACTATGTAAAAAACAAAACAATATTTTGTAGCATATATACTTGACAAACTTAAATGTTTTTCTGACAATGTAAAAATTCAAAAAGTAAAGGTGAAAACACTTTTATGAGAATAATCAATAGCATTTTATATAAAATTGATATAATGAAAATAAAAGAAATTAGAGGAATAGTAAGGTTTCGAAAGTATGAAAAATATATCTTACCGCTAACATCACAGAAAAAATGTAAAGTTATGTAAATTATGTTTAATGTTTTGAGGTTATGTTACACCATGAAATTATGTTATATTTTCATTGTACCTTCACTTGCACGCAAAAGTATGAAAAAAAGAGAATCAAACCATATCGTACTATATAATCGCATTTCCAAAAATTTTACAAAAATTAATTGATTATGGCATTTGTAGGCTATGTTACATTTTGGTTTCATGATGTTTCATTTTTTGTAGCTGCGATAGGCACATTTGAATTCGTAAAAAATTCAACATACATAATTGAATATATGGAAAAACGAAGAAAAAATTTAAAATTTAACAATTAAACGTGGAAAACGCCGCCATTTTTTATTTTCGTTTGATTTTTTCTTAATAGTATGTAACGATGTATGTTCAGAATGCAAATGTTCAATGCCTTGCTAGAGCGTAAAAATACGATTAATCAGTAAATAATCTGAAAAATACGACAAAATTTAAAAATTCCTTGAAAACGTTGCCATATTGAATCCGCCATATTGAATTTCTCAATCGGAATAGCACCATATTTTAGCTAAAGTCATTATGCCACCAGATCCATTATGCCATCAGCACGATCCCATAACTAGATCATATCGAGAAATGACATAAAAGAAAATAATTTTTGATTTATTTTTAATTTTTTGGCATTAATGCCGCCATATTGTAAAAATGACACATGATAGCGACAAACGGACTTCAGATTCTGAAAGAGCATGCCTCAAAACTATAAGATATCTTTGTCTGGAGAAGATCCATCCACGGCTTGAGTAAAAATAATTGCAATGAAAAAAAGACAAAATTTAGGCCATTTTGATCCGAAACGGGTTAACTCGCACCGCTTTCATTGTTGGAGTTTGATGCCGCGCTGATAGACCCAAATCGAGAATGAAGAATGCAAAATGAAATAGAAATCCTGTTACAAGTCGGCACAACAATTGCGTTTTCTCCGGACGTGCGACGAAACAACGTTCCCGCGGTGATTAATAACACCGAGCAATAAAATAACTCGAAAAAGTGGAATGTCCTCGGCTCGACACCGCATGCCGACGCTTTTATTGCGTTGAAATTAAATCACCGCAAGAATCACGTGGTAATTAAAAACGACTTAGTGTACCGCGCTGCGCTAGTTTTAACAGATTTTGCTCATCCTGGAAGAATACTGGGCTATTTGTGACTGGTGACTGATCGTCCATCGAGATATCTTTCTCTCTCTCTCTCTCTCTCTCTCTCTCTCTCTCTCTCTTTCTGCGGCTCGCGTTTCGCCGCGTCGAGAGCACCGAAGAAACGTTCGATTAAAAATATTCTTAGACGGCGTGCGGAGAACGCGGTCGACGACCTGCAGCTGTACTTGCTCGAAACACACCTCGCGAACAAAGGCGACAAGGAGAGGACGAATTTTCGAGATGTACGACGGGCAAGCGATAAATCCTCGCGACTGGCCCGCTGTTAGCGTGGCCAGCATTGTTCGTCTTGGGACTTGACAGCGTGAATTTCGGGCCGCGGCCGTCCTTTCTTCTTTTCCCTTTCAGGCAGATTGTTGACTCTTGTTCATTGAGAGGATCCTGCCGTTTCCTTTGTACGGCACGAAGGGAGAAAGAGCTACGACTGATAAGAACTCGTATCGATTCACTTTTATACACAAGGTGGGGCCTGATTTGCAAGCCGTGCGGATATCTCCGTGCGTTATACTTAGCTACGATCGACGCCAGTGCTAACGATGCGACGCTGCGTCCGACACACATCAGCGCGGGGAGACTTACCTTCACCTAGACCTTTCTTTCGCCGTACGAGAGGGGATCCACGTATAAATGCTTTCTTCTTCGTAGCAATGGCATCAGAAACCACAATTTCACTCAACCACTCGACTGCCACCCGGTCGCGAGAAATAGTTACGAGAGCAAATCCCGGCAAACATGAGGTCGATCGTGAGTATTTCGCCTATTATTGTCTACAAACCCTCGGCTTCAAGAACCCTCATGCTTCACCGATTTGTTTTACTCGCCACACTCTTGTGCATGTTGCATGTGTTAAATTGAGATTTTTAGGGCAGAGCGTGCTACACAAGAAACGTAACGACAGAGCCAATACTCATTTAAGTTAAAATCTTCTTCTCTGGAAATTTCGTTTTTTTCTTTTTAATTTCACAAAATCATTTAACACTCGAGTTTAGAAAAAAAGTTCCCTATAAAATAATTTTTTTTTAAATATACAACTTTATTATATTTTACTTCCCATTTTATTTCTTCCAAAATTTCTTAAATCGCGTGTCACGTCATTTGAAAAGTCGTCACAGGAAAATGTTTGACGGAAAGAATAATCGCGCTTCGTAAATCAATTAATTATTATCACCCGAGTTTAACCATTCAATTAGTCATAATTATTCCCGCTCACTGGGTTTGTTGCACATAATTTCATATTAAGTTTATCGTGCGTGCATAATTGATCGACCTCTCTGATTCAATTCACGTGTTCACATCCTCGCCGATATCAGCAAAATGAAAATTATGTTATTCATCGTACCGCACACGGACCTTGCAACTTGTTAACGAATATACATTAATTTGTAACGTAAGAACAGTTATTCATCGTCAACAGACCGTTCAGCTCGTTAGGATAACATACAAATATCAGTTTACAACTCGGTTGAACAATCTAACACTTCGGTCTACAACTCCGCTGTAACGAGCCAACAGCTCTGCATTCCACTTTCACGCAAACCGATTAAGCCCACGAAAGTGGGACACCCTAGAAAGTGACGTGCAAAGAAGTGCAATAATACTAATGCTCCCCTCGCGTAGGTGTTCCTGGGGCTGATGGCTCTCGTCTGCGGCGTCTGCTGCCGAGATCTTCGCATCGAGAATTTGCCGCGTCAGCTTCGATTGTCGCTGAAGGACAAACGCGGCTTCGGCGATCGCCCCTTGGCTTTCCCGTCGCATGGATCTTCTTACTCGGCTCCCATTTACTCGAGCCTGGGTTCCGGTTACAGTCTGGGGGGATCATCCGGCGGTTTCTCCCTCGGCCAAGCTGGACTCCACGGGTTAAGCGGTTCTGTCAGCCACGGAATCGGATACCCCGTAGCTCCGTCCAATGGTCTCAGTTTAGGATCCGGATACTTGTCCTCTAGTTTGGGCCACGGTTCGCTGTCGAATCTTCAAGGGGTCTCTCTAGGTGGACATTCGGCCCAAAGCAGCTACCCCGTGCCTAGCATCGCGAATATCGGCGCTGGAGGAGGCAACGGACTCTTCACCCCGTCGAAAACTGGGCCGGTCACTTTCGGACTTCATGGCGGCAGCGGCTCGACCAGCGCTTCTGGCTCGAGCACCTACTCGTCGCCAGTTTACGCTTCCGGCAACCACGGACTATCAGCTTACAGCAGCGGAAGTCTCCCGGTCATGCTGGGCTCGTCTCACGGCGGCTCCTCGTACAGTTTACCGTTGAGCTCTTCAGGTTCTTCGGCGGGGTACAGCCTTCCTGCACAGTCCTCGTCTTCGAGTCCTTCGCACACCGTCACGGGCGGCCTGATTATCGCCAGTGGACCGCACGGTGCGTCCTCCAGCTATAACCAACTGTCGACTTCCGGTGCCTCTCACGGTGCTGCCTTCAGCAGCTCCAACGCGGCCTCTCACGGAGCGTCGTCTTCCTACTCTCTTCCCATCACTTCCGGGGCGCACGGGGTTTCCGCCTTAGCAAATAGTCCCACGTCGAGTTACTCAACATCTTCTTCGGGCTCCTACGGTGCCGCCGGCTCTCACGTCGGACTCTCCGGCGGGTCATCCGACAGCTCCAGCTATGAACTGCCGATCTCTTCAGGATCTTACTCGAGCTCCGGCTCGTCCAGCTCCAGTCCGTACACGAGCTATCTTCCGGCTCACTCGGACAGTAGCGCCAGCTATTCATCCAGCAGCGGCTCCAGCTACTCGAGTCCCAGCGTCACCTACGCGGCGCCGAACTCGAATTACGTGAGCTCCAATTCCGACTACTCGGCTCTTGGCTCGAGCTACTCGAGTCCCAGCTCCAGCTACTCCGGCCCATCTGTCAGTTACGCCGGAAGCTCCAACTACGCGCCCACATATGCGAGTCCCTCCGGTTCGTACGGGGCGCCCGGCGCGGAGCCGCAAGGAGCCTACTCCGGCGTGAACCCGAGGTATCTGGGATACGCCACAGCGAAAGCGTACGAAAGCCTGGATTCCGAGAGATCCAAGTACGACACGATCTCGTACTCGAGTCCTAACGGGAAATATTGAGCCGCTTAATTTATATTCAGTAGGACTACTCGTATCGTTCGCCCTGACATTATCGGGCTCACTCGATAGCAATCTATAAGTTTCATAATTATGGAATCAGCGCGCGTTGGGCGGTGATGACTCAACGCTAACACGAATTCATCGCGATTTCACATTGTCCGTTTCTCGAAATCTATGTTAACGCGATCTTGCCATGAGATGTGGCGATGACTCTGTTATCCGATTATTTGGTCAATCGTTCACCGAAGCGGGTCGGAAGATCACGCGTGACGCCGCGCCACAGACGATTGTAGCCGAATCTCTAGGAGACAAGAAGAATTGCCAGTGTTTATATGTAAATCTACTCTCTACCGTAAAACTATGTAGAGGTCTATGAGAGATACTGTAATAGTATTTAATGCAAAATGCGTTATCTGTATATTTATATCACCCATAGATATCTTAGTGTGTCCCTCTCTATTATGCGCCCGATGTATCGCCGATGATTGTGATTTTTGTTGTATAGTTTTTTTAATGTTTTTTTTTTTTAATAAAAGAGTTGATTCCGACGCATCGAGGAATTCACTTCGCATTTGCGACTGTCTCGACAGCTATCGATGGTAGACGACTGGCGATGAGTTTATCATGTAAATGTTTTTTCCGATTGCGAATATCGTAAACTCGCAGCATTTTACCCTGTTTGCAGCGTGTATGTAAAGTAAGACGTTCCGTTCTAACTTCTTGCGTAAAGTAAGACGTTCCGTTCTAACTTCTTGCTTTAACTAACGAAGAGTAAGAACGCATCCGGCGGCCTATCCGGTGTTCGAAGAAATTGGAAGAGTGAAAGTGAGATTCATATCACAAATCCATCGCGAGATGCGTAAATCAGCACACGATGGATGAAGAGATAGTTTCCTTCTACATTTAATTGCAGCAATTAAGATTATAATTGGAAGCATATAGGGCGCGCCGGTTTACTTTCGCATCCGCGTTTGTGAGCTCGTCCAGAATAATTTGTTCGACAGACGTGACGGAAGATAACGCACGTGTCAGAAGACACTCATCTCCAGACAGTTCTAACGCAGACGTTGTTTCCTGTCGGGGTAATTGATGCATTCAACAACGACGCGACACGACGTGACGCGACGCGACAGTGCTTTTGCTTTTATTCGCTCGCGGCGCTACCGTGAAAGTTATTGGCCGTGTACAAATGGCGATAAAAAGAGAGAAAGATATGCATATATGTATATATCGGTCCTTTTATATAATAATAAAAGCAAGCAAGTCCTCTCACCGGACAAAAACGGGATCACTTTTACTTCAAGGCCGGGGGACAGACGGGATGAGTAGGCTTCCCTCTCTAAATTTTTATTTTATTTGGGAAAGTGATCGCGCAGGCTAGCAAAAACGATGGTCTGGGCTTATCAGCCTGCTTTAACGCGATTTTCGTAAGAACTGGCGGTTTCCAATCCCTTTTCTCTTTGACGTTATTATTTAAGAGTGATCTTGTGCGCCTTGATGAAAATTAATAATTATATCAGCACGCTTAATACGCGATAACGATACTACAATTCGTCTCTCTCTTTTTCCTTTTTACATGTCGACGAATATGAAATTTTGATCACTCTTTTAATTAAAATTAGTAATCCACCGATTGTTATTTTTTTATCTCATGCTTATTGCTCTCGTGAACGTTTAGATGAAAAATCTTCCGGAGGGAAATTCGATACAAACTCGCGTAACGTTACATCGAACGTTCTTCTCATATATTACGTGAGAACACATTAGCATATTCTAATTTAAATCGTGAACTGATAGCGGTATATCGCTTGCTCGCGGGCGACAGGATTTTACGATGTATCAATTAATTTCAGCAGGTAACATGACGCAGCGATCACAGACTCGTTAATCGAGTTTTTGACTACAAGGCCGGAGGAAATACGGAGCCGCCCACACAAGAAAGCGACTCCACGCCGATCGCGCGTTGCTTCTCGTGCGCACCTGACCCAGTTTCCCGCGTACACCTGGACACGAACGCACTGACGCATGCGAGCGCCACACGCACGACACGAGAGAGCCGCACGCACCAGGCCGAGCCTCCTCAGACGCGCGATCCAGACGATATCCCCGTCCGGCGATGTCCGGCGACCGGTCGGCCGCTACAGCTCGAGCGTAGAAAACGCGCACGTTTCACTATTTTCCGACTGGTTTTGCGAGCGGCACGCTCAAGCTCCCGGCTGTCACGGCCGGCGCGACAACAGCGGGAAAAGTACGCTCTTACTCTTCGCGAAGGCGTTCTCCTGGCTGGACCCCGTCACGCACTTCTGAATTGGTCCCAGCGCAAGTGTCCACCCTGCCCAGCGACTGGGAGATTCACTTTCGTAATGCACCGACCTGTAACGCGAGGTTCTTTCTTTCCTTCTGGAGCACGGGAGTAACGGTAAGGATCGGAACGAGAGTCTCGACTGAGGCTAGGAAACTGAAAAAAATATTTTTTCTTTTTTTTTATGGAAGATGAAATAAAGGATAAAGTTTTTTTGGAAAATTTCACAGGAGTTTGGAATTTTGTACTCGGGAGTTTTGCGAGTTACTTGGCATGTTATAGCTTTGAAATTTCCACGTTCTAGAAGATCAAATTCTGGGAAATTATTGCCGCCTGCAAAAAGTGGCTGATTTATCGTGAAATAACTGTTGCAAAAAATGTTATTTTCAAGATGTAAATTGTGCTCTGTGTAAGAAAAATATATTGATACAAAATTCACGAGACATCAAATAATGTTATTCAAGCAATAGTACAGTATTTTTACTTTATAGAGAAAAAGATGGTTTTCATTTTAAGAAAGAAAAGATACCGAGGAGCAAAAGATTGCTTGAAGATACATTTTATTCAAATACCGTCGCGAGAGAGAGAGAGAGAGAGAGAGAGAGAGAGAGAGAGAGAGAGAGAGAGAGAGAGAGAGAGAGAGAGAGAGATAATCATCCTAAACGATCTTGATCGTGTCGTTATCAAAGGTGTGGTACACGGATCTACTGTTGCAAAGCAGCACGCAGGTGAAAGTAAAATAAATCGACGAGAGACGTTCCCAAAGGCACGAGACTGTCGCTGCGAAAGGCGTTGTTCGAGCGAGATTGGAAAGATTCCTCGAGGATGCCGGAGGGCGCTCCACTTCCTGGATCGCACGATTCTGAGCGACCATCACCTTGTCCTCCGGCCAACTGTCTTTACCCGAGCCAGTCCGGACTTTCGCGTAAATTATGCGTTGCTAAACATATCTGAGAGCTTCCTTGTTCAACGTCTCGTGGCAGCCAGTGGCTGATTATCGCCCGATAATCGCCTAATCATCGACGGGTCGTTCGAACGATTGATTCTCCATCGGAATTTTGCTCATTTCCTTGTAACGCCCAATGGACGCGCGATGGTCTGATAGTTGCTGCAGCTGGTGATAGTGAGCCAGCCTGTCGCGTTCTTCGCTTGACGGCGATCGTACGGCATTCTACACATCTCCACTGCGCTACCGGAGAGTGCACTATCACTTGCAGGCCTACATATAAGAGCAGAGAAATGTTAAACTAGTTTCCGCGATTTTTCCGGCGACTGGGTATAAAGGAGAAATTCAATGTCCGTCGATGTGTCATTAAAGGTGGAGCCGTCGCATCGGTCAGATCTGCGAAATTACTCGCGGAGAGACGAGGAGTCGAATGAGATAGCGAGATTAAATTGTGGAAGAAAGCATAGTCTTGTGGTCGTCCGACGGCGATAGGTGAACTGTGGCAGAAATGGAGCGGCTGGTTGGTACATATTAATTAATATAAATTCACTAATAGTGGAAAAAGTTCCATTTTGTTACAGCCTGCAACGCTAATTAAATCGCCGTCTGATTCTTTTTACACGGTCTAGGAATTCTCATTACGAGTAAATATGTCAAGGAGTCTCGTCACTCTCAGAAGCAGTTTTGCTAAAAAACAAGGTTTACGACAAAAAAGTATTTTACGTAAAATTTATAATATATTTATGTATACATTTGTTATGTATATACCATATTTATGTATACACATATTGACGTTATTAAAAATCTTACATTTTATTTATGTAACCAAATTAATTTATTTAATTTTGATTATATTTTTTTTCATCTGTTTATTTCAATTTGATTTATTTAATTTGATATGATAATTCTAAACATTTATAATCCGTAATATTTTTTTGTATAAAATCAAAGTGAAATCAAATATACCCCTTTTTAGTACTGGAAATGATTAATTTTTTTATAAACGGTACAAATGTATAAAAAAAGATTTATGAAACCACTCTTTCTTCTACAATACAAACGTTTTATTGCAGATACTGCTCTTGCTATCACCGGCAGTTTTCGCCGAGTGGTCAAAAATCAATGACCCTAACAACGAGCCGTTCCTACCGATATACTCGACCTACCCTTACAGTCCTAAGCTAATCAAACGAGGCGTCGAGCAGGAAGTAGTACCACAATTGGCGGCCGAGTCGTTTAAAGCGCCAAAGGAAGATGCCAAGGACACCTACAGCACCAGTTACAGCAGCAATTACCAAAGAGACTCCTACTATAACCCCAGTTACGACCCCTATCCCAAAAATGCCTCACCTTTACCCAACTACAACCCGTACTATAACGAGGACGCGTACGCTTATCCCAATTCACCATATGCGACCTACAACCCGTATCCTATGTCGTACACGATGAGTCCTACTGCGTCCTCGTATCCGGACTATTACTACCAGCCATCCTATTACTACCCTCATTACTTCAATCACGCGCTATTTCCGTCATCGCCACCGTCACCAACGCTGTCGCCACCATCGTCGCCATCGTCAGAAGACGTCGATTATCACGAGACGTCGCAAGACGCCGCCGAGGCGGAGGACGACAAGCAAGATAAGGATAAGAAGAGCAAGAAATCCAACGAGTACGAGACGAATCATGACGCGTCGGCGGGTCAGCTCGTAGACGACGGAAACTATATATCCGGCAGTACGAGGGATCTCGACGGGCAGTCTAGTACGTACAAAACAGCCAGCCCGTACAATCAACTGGAGCAAGACATGCAGACGAAGAACCTACTTATTCCCCTGCCGAAGACAACATACAGAGTGATCAGCGTGGCAGGACAGCCAGTTGGTCCGGATTACCCGCTGCCTGCTCAATATGCCAATGCTCAGCAAGTGGAGCAGCTGGTGAGCCAAACATTGACCACGTTATTAGCACAACAGCAAGCGCAGCAGCAACCAGCTGAGTCCTACGAGAACAACAGAGACACCCCGAGCGCAGCCAAGGATGGATCATACGTCAGTCAGGACACCTACAACCCGAGCACGCCGTCGTATGTGGCCGTACCTGCCGTGAGGAACAAGACCGTCGTGACTTACGTGATCAACTCCGACGGTATCACCAAAGTCAACGGGGACCAGACGAATACTCAGCTCTCGTCATTTCACACAACCTCGAGCAAAAATGCAAAGTACCCCAGCAACCTCTACGTACAGAAGCCGCTGCCGCTACCGGACCACTCTCGGACGACTTTGGACCTGCCTCAAGGGACGTACGTCCCTCAACGAGATAACCGTAGCAAACATCGCAATCGAGTGATGAATAGTCGGCCAACGGATCAAGTGATCAGGTCTTACGATTCTTACGACGCATCGCAGAGTTACACCGATACTTTGAGTCAGCCCGGGAGCAAACAGGAACGAAATTACAGGAAGTATCAGAGGCCAGCAGGTTCTCATCAGAACAAGGACTTTGTTGCCGCGCCTCAGACACCCCGGACTACATATAGCTATCAGTATTCGGCTTACGAATCGGACCAGACGTCAACGGCGCAGCAGCCGCAGCAGGACAGCAGCGTCAGTTCGTATGATGGCAACTTTGGAATTAAGGATTATAATAAGGGTTGAGAGACGCAGGGCCGACTCAGGGTGCGGCGAACATATTTGAGACGTAGGCAGGTGGAAAGATGGTGCTAGAATGTTGACCGTTGTTGTTGTATTATACTTACTAAGTCGTTATTAAATTGACGCAGTCTCCTTCACTCTCAGCGAAGTCTTTAGTTGCTTCATGCGCTGGGTACTCGGTGAATATTTATTAGGAAGCTAGTTACTTTCGACGCTTTTTTCTTCGTCGTAAACTTCGACGTCGTTGAATGCCACGATACCGCGATACGTTGCGTCATTTCGTTGCCTCTCGCTTTTGCCTGAAGAGCGGATTGCGAAACGAGATATTGTCGCGTACTCTACAATCTTTTGACACTTCGAGACGTTTCTACATTTATGTAGAGAATAAATATCGCCTTTTTGCTTGCGCTTGGCGAGGTGTAATCAGGGGATAAAATGAATCACATTTTCTACCTTCACTTTGTGAAGCGCGACAAAAAAAAGCGACATACCCATCGTACACTTTCTAATTCATTATAAATCGAGTTGCGAGTCTGTTCTCAAATCAAAAATGTCCGTCCAGTATTATCCACAACCGCGTGCCGACAAACGAGAACACGGCACCCCGCGATATTCAGGTGTTTCAAGTGATTTACTTTCGCGTTAACAACTGAATGAAAGGTCCGTTCACAGGTGTACACTGATTGCCGCTTAATACGATTGTACTCTCTGGTCGGAATTGGTACTTTCTTTCGCGCGAGCAACGAACGTCGTCTTTACGCCGTCGTGGGAACAACAAACGAACGTTTCATGTTAATTTTGAAATTTACGAGACGCAGCGGAGTGGCTGTATTTTCCCGAAAATACGGCATTGGTGTATGAGGAGGTATGACGAATCTTTTTCGGAAGAAGTAGAAAGTCGCGATGTCGCATTAAATCTGACCCCGTCCGACCCCCGACAATGCGATCTATTTATAAGGCTTACGTTCTACATACAGGCAGATCTTGTATTCGTTTTGTAGTCGCTAGTAATAAACGATCGTTTATGTTCGCTTTGACGTCTGCACTCCTTTCTCTTCAGTGTGAGTACAGCTAACCGGTTTCCCTTTTTTAATTCCGTACGTTACTTTCGTTCGATGAGCGATGAGATCCTGCTTTTTTTTTCTTTCTCTCTCACCGCCATGTCCCTTTCGACGTAAATTACACGCGCATCGTCACAAACTGCGAAGTACATGCATAAAGATCAAAGAGATTAAGATGCGGAAAATTATACGTGTTTCAAGAATGAAGCGTATCGCTAAGGTAATACGCTTTATGCGTTGGCTAATTAATGCGTACACGATATTAAACTTTCATTTCCTACCTTGCGAACTACAATATTGCCAAAGTCGATGCACTTTACCGAAAATACGCGAGGTGTCTCTTCAAAGTACCATGAGTTTCGTCCGCGTGTTTTTGAGCATTCGCGTATTAAATGTCGCCAACATTTACCGTGTACTTGAAACTACATATGAAAAAAAAGAAGCGTAAATTTTTCTGCACGTTACACACGGCTGGAAAAATTCGTAATTCGGAATTTCACGTTTGGAAAAAGAGGCTGACGTAAATCACATACCAGCCGAAAAGATGTACAGAGTGACAACTTTATCTCGAAAGTCTACAAGATTATCAGAGAGAAGGAAGGAGAAAGAGCGCCGCATTTCTCTGCCGGCGATGAATCCGTCTCTGCTAATTAATCCCGTGTTGCGCTGCACACTCTAATTCATCTCGTTAACGCCGCCCTGCTCGATCCGACCTAACGCGCTGCTAATTAATCGTTTACAATTGGTCGTCTCTTTCACGATGTCTTAGCGCGAACATGGAATCGCCCGAGTCACGGTTACGGCTCCAGAGAGAGAGGAAGAAATCCGGAGATCGTGGCAACGTCCAGATGATCGTTCGGGCGAGGCCGTGATGGAAAGGGGAAATGAAATACCGCAGTTCGTCCATTTCAAATCAGGCCCGGCGCACCGAGAGCTGATCGCTGACAGCAAGAATGCTCACGAATTGTCGCTTTTTGGGTTTCACAAAACTCGCAGCGTTTGTAGAGCTCGACACGGAAACTGCGCGACGGGAGAAAGAGGACGCGAGCAGAAAGTCCCTTTCAAAAGAGAGACACGTTTAAAACGATTTCATTGATCCCACCGAATGTTCGGGCTCTTGGCGATTGCATTCTTGTCGCTCGTTAATCCACTTGTAATTGATAGCGCGATCAAATCGCCGCTCGGTTGTATTAGATTTTACTACCGGAGGAAGAGGGAAAAGTCAGGTTGGATACACATAAAACGTTGAAACCTCTTTATATCGAAGCATTAAAACCTCTTTCCTGCGATGCTGATTGGCCGTCTCGAAGTCACATTGCAGCTATCATTGCATGGAATGACAGCTGAGTGACAGTTTTTGTATCAGGGGATCTCTTTTAAAAAAAGTGCGTGAAACCTCGATCTCGAGTATATCGAAGCGGGTGAAGAGAGAGAGAGAGAGAGAGAGAGAGAGAGAGAGAGAGAGAGAGAGAGAGAGAGAGAGAGAGAGAGAGAGAGAGAGAGAGAGAGAGAGAGCGTGAGAAAGAGTGCGAGAGAGAGAGAGAGAGAGATAAAGAGAGAGAGAGGGGGGAGGGGGAGAGACAGGGAGAGAGAGGGAGGGAGAGAGAGAGAGAGAGAGAGAGAGAGAGAGAGAGAGAGAGAGAGAGAGAGAGAGAGAGAGAGAGAGAGAGAGAGAGTGAGAAAGAGAGAGAGAGAGAGAGAGAGAGAGAGAGAGAGAGAGAGAGAGAGAGAGAGAGAGAGAGAGAGAGAGAGAGAGAGAGAGAGAGAGAGAGAGAGAGAGAGAGAGAGAGAGAGAGAGAGAGAGAGAGAGAGAGAGAGACAAGGAGAGATTGGGAGAGACAGGGAGCGACAGGGAGAGACAGGGAGAGACTGGGAGAGACAAGGAGAGACTGGGAGAGACAGGGAGAGACAGGAAGAGACAGGAAGAGAGACAGAGAGAGACAGGAAGAGACAGGGAGAGACAGGGGGGGAGAGAGAGAGAGAGAGAGAGAGAGAGAGAGAGAGAGAGAGAGAGAGAGAGAGAGAGAGAGAGAGAGAGAGAGAGAGAGAGAGGAGAGGAGAGAGAGAGAGAGAGAGAGAGAGAGAGAGAGAGAGACAGGGAGAGACAAGGAGAGATTGGGAGAGACAGGGAGCGACAGGGAGAGACAGGGAGAAACTGGGAGAGACAAGGAGAGACTGGGAGAGACAGGGAGAGACAGGAAGAGATAGGAAGAGAGACAGAGAGAGACAGGAAGAGACAGGGAGAGACAGGGGGGAGAGAGAGAGAGAGAGAGAGAGAGAGAGAGAGAGAGAGAGAGAGAGAGAGAGAGAGAGAGAGAGAGAGAGAGAGAGAGAGAGAGAGAGAGAGAGAGAGAGAGAGAGAGAGAGAGAGAGAGAGATTGAGAGGGAGAGAGAGATTGAGAGGGAGAGAGAGGGAGGTTGAGAGTTAAAGAGAAAGAAAGAGTGGGAAAGAAAGAGGGAAAAAGAAGGAGGGAAAGTGATAGAATTATGGAGAGAGGGAGAGGGGGAGAGGGAGAGAGATAGGGAGAAAGGAGAGAGAGAGAGGAAGGAGGAGGGAAGGGGATGTCAGCTTCTATATTCAGGACCGTCTTGAATTCATCTTCAAATGCTTTTAAGCCAACAGAACGATGCATATAGCATCTGAAGATGAACTTAAGATGGTCTGGAACAGAAATGTTAAACGTCGAAATTCATTGGTTATATGGTTACGCGTTACTATGCCGAAAATATGTCATGGAATTTCAAACTGTATGCGCCTAATACATATATTGGAGTCGGACATTAGTAAACTTATATTGTACTACATTATACTACATAATATAATATACTATATTATATTATACTATTTTTATGATTTATAATATTTATTCTACACTTTAATATGAATAAGGTAAAATGGCACGCGCGTAGCGCGCGCTTGTAGTGTTCTAGTGCGCATAAATAATACAGGCAATGCGCATAAATAACACGGGCAATCTTCATTCGATCTTCATATCTCATCGGTGTATACTAGGTACGATAAGTCGTATCGACGAGCCTGATACGAGCGCGCACGGCACGGCACGGCAGGTGAGTGAGAGTCGCTGCGTTGCGCTGTTTTACTTTATTTCGCGCATTCCCCGTGCTCGCGCGCGCGCGCGTACGAACATGCCGATGGTATGAAATAAAATCGGATGGACCGAGCCTGTTACTTTCTCGCGGCGACTCGATTTCGATCGGCGACGTACCCACGGTGACCCGAAAGCTCACGCCGTGTTACTTGTCGCTGAAAGCGCGCCGGTGTAAATTCCGGATAACGAGGTTGCAGCTTTTGGCGAAGGCGGTAGAAAGTGCTGCGCACACACGCGTACGCGCGGACATTTGTTATTGCGACTGGAGCGTTATTTTCTCTTTATGTTTATGAGCCGTTGGCCGTCGCGCGAGCGTACAAATGTTATCCTCGCCCGGGCGCTAGAGGATGCGACGTTAAAACGAATATTGCAATAGTGAACATTTCATTCATGCGAAAAATGCATGAGGGAGCCGTATTTTTATTCGGTACTCTGCAATTACGCGCCGCTTGCTCCATTTCTTCGAGAGGCGCTTGCCTGACGAGCACGCTTCACGTGTGACGCAACGCTTCTTTTTCTTGTTGTATTCTATTTTGCACTACGATTCCCTCGCTTACGTTAACGCGAGCTGCTGTCGTATCATTTGCGGCGAATGAGACGTATCTTAGAAGTTACAACTGAAGGGACTGTCGGTTATTTAATTTGCGGTTATTTTCTAGACATTGACGCAGCGTTATTTTCTAATGTTCTCACGTTTTCTAATATTTAGAAATTGTCCGGTCGCATATATTACACGAGAGAAAGAGAAATATATATGCAAATGGAGATCGCGCATAATTGACCGAGAATTTCGAAAGTGACTCGCGCGGTGTGTTTTCCCAGTCGGGTCAGTGTAAAAAATTTGGTAGATCGCATCGCGGAGCACAGCGATGATCGTAAGCGAACACAGCGGACGAAATCGAGAAAGTGATTACAGCTCGAAAGGTCAGACTTTGCATTTTTTTTTTTTGTCGTTTCCCGTTACAAAGTTACGTTCAAAACATCGCGTTTATCTGGCTCACTTCCGGACTGGTACTATCCCATTCCTCATTTTTACGAGCATCTCATCAAAGAGCCATGCATTGGATAAGAGGCCGTGAAAGTTTTCTGACTTAATTGCAGTTAATTCGTCTCAAGCGTGGCCACGCCGGCGAATGTTTGATGAAGCAGCGCGTAATCGGTATATAAGGATACCATCCACACCCGCGGTCGACGTAGAAAGTTCCGGTCCCGTCCGGTCCTCCTCCACCACCTCCTCCTGCTCCTCCTCTTCTTCCTTCTCCTTCTCTTTCGCTTCGGCAGGTGGATTATACCTGGGAATGTCCAAGGAAAGGGTCCGCCTTTGTGCGACTCGGCGGTGGAACATACTTCGACTTCTGCACAAAGAGAGTGAGATCAACAAAGAGATCGCGAGTCATTACGAGACCTCCTTTCCCTCCTCGCGCGATCCTTTCCCTTCCGTGACTCCCGACTGCATCGATCACCCATTTTTGCCAGGATCTCCCGTGTAAGAAAAGCGGCTTTCCTGGCCCGGCCCTTTTCCCCATTGTCTACTCTAGAAAGGAGCGACAGCTGGGTCTTCCGTTTATGAATTTTCAGGAACATCTCACCGCGCGCGCGATGCGTCGTCGCGATAAGGAATTATGCGGCTGGATGATTCGTCGGTTAACCGCCATCCTCCGATATCGATCGGCCGAACGCACACGCGCCGTGAAAAAGCCACTCGGAAATCCAATGCAATCTTTTGCACCATTCCGTAATGTAATCCCACGGGCTGTTGGCGAAATAGCTTTCACCGATTGCATCGTTCAATAGGAAAATTATTCGTTACGTAATCTTGGAAAATGCGAGAAAAGTTGTCACGGGTTGTTGGATCTGTTACCGTTCATCTCATAAGATAAAGCAACGTTTCCATCTGCGCGAACTCTCGACCGGAAAGATGAACGTGATTAACGTTAATTTATATCGATACCTTGTGCGTATTCCATTTATATTCCACACTTGACAAGTGTGGTTTAGTATCAATATCAACGTCAAAGAGTCATCTTCAAAGGATTAAGGATAACAATTGCCCGAGAGAAAGTTGTACTAAGTACACAATTTTGTGATTGTACATAATTTGAAGATGCAAACACAAATGGACTGATTTATTGTAACGCTTGGCCACTTATTTTAGAATACATTTGCTTCGTGTGAACCCCGAAGACACATCGTTGCCTCTAGATCGTATCATGAAATCGCGTGTGCAAATCTCACAGCTCAATCTTGCATGCGACTATTAGACACGCAGTGGTGAGAATAATTCGCTTTTCCACAAGTGCGTACACCATTATACCATTCAATAATCAGAAACCGCTACTTCCTGCGTGACTACATCGATCATTCTCTCCATTGTTCGGAAAGATACCGGCGTTGGAGCTTGTTGGCGCTTGTTTCTCACAATGCTAGGCCTGCTAAATTGATAAACGTTACATCGTTATGGACAATTTAGGAGCATGTTATGTACCTTGATAACCACAAATTGAAATGTTGCAAATGAAATTTCTGTTGAAGATTAATCCAAGTTACTTGAAAAATCATCTTTCTTCATTTAATCTCATTTCCTGGTATTTAGTCTATAATACTTGATTCACCAAGGTAATTTTTATTGCAGCATTTGATGCGTATAAGAGATGTTGCTTGATACATTTTATTTCTTACACATCTTTTACACTTTAAATTTATACACATTCCATGTTATAGATATTTTGTATCATTTGGTCTTCTCCGTATTTCCCGAACTCAGTTGTATTACCAAATGTATGTAGTTGAAACGCACTGACTCGTTCAATTAGCAATTTAATGGACTGAATAATCGGCCGCGATAATTAGCGCCTTTTTACGGTGGTGGAAAAACTCGAGGCGATTTACGCGGCGAGATTGTGAGTATCGATAGTGCTACTACGTCGGGCACTTAACGCACCTTCTTCCGAGGCACGTGCAAACGCAATTGGCGGATCGCAAGCTACCGCGATTGCACAGACAACACGTGTGGAAGTACGATAATGATTAAGTGCGTGAAGCTCGTTTTCAGTTTGATCTCTTCGACGATATACCGCGCTCCCAGGAGATTGCGACTTAATAACCGACTCTTTTCTTGCTATCAATCTCGTTCTAACGACGCGTCTGAGTGTCCCCTATCCCTTTCTACGAGAAGATTAGTTTTCCACTGTCAATTTGATGGATGCAAAACGAAACGTTCGATGCGAGATAACGTATCCTCATCCATTAATTATATATTCGCTCAAAAATTGCGATTTCTACGTCGCAAGGTTTCTGCCGCGCAAGATAAAAATTGCTTTTTCACAGATCTGTCGTATGTCAGGAAATTATTCGATCGTTTGTTTGGCCAATAAATCTGAATATTAAACAAAAGTTTACGAAAACTTTCAAAATTGACTTTTACAACTGGTTATCCTTGCACTTTAAATTAATAATCGGTAACTTTGTGCATAGTGATTGTGGTATGATGGTAAGAACGATTCCCCCCTTTCTCGGTATCGCACCTGGAATGCACCATCATTTATATAGCATATTAGTCACTCTTTGGAATGAAACTCAGTCGCGCGATCTGAAGAGGCAAGGAAGCAATTTGTTGGATATATTCACTTTTACTTGAATTGCGATGGTATTCTTTACGACGTAGCCCATACGACCGACACGGATTATCACACACGCTTTAATCAAGAAGCGAAATGTGGCTCGATGTAGGGGATGCAGTGGGTAGGGGTAAAGGCTATATAAGAGAACGCACATCTGCTTCGGTTTTACAGTAGAGTTAGGTCCTTTGTGTCGTGTCTGTATTTTTCGGTATATTTGCAATATGGTAAGTATGCCGCTTTGGTCGTTTCCACTTTAGTACTTGAACGGGATAAAACCACAGATTATACAACCATAGCGCGAAGAAATGTATAATTTGACCAGAGAGAAAACGGATATTCCGCAACCTTGTTATTGATGAAAGTGCTCGTGGAATGAGCTCTCTTTAATAAAAATAACTATTGACGAAGCACGCGACAGACATATCTGTCGTTAATGGGATATATTTCGTCAAATGGGAAAGTCTGAAATTCGATATTTAAAATTTTATACATACATTCATGAAATTTTCTCTGAAGAGATTTTTATTTCAACTCGTGCCTCTTCCTTGAAAAATAAACCGCAGGATCTTTTATTCGATAAAACATTATGTCATTATATAATTCTTTCGCATGTATGTGTGACTTTTTTACGACACACGTGGCACGTTTTGTACAATCCGACTGAAAATTCATTAAAAAGCAATAAAAAAAGAGAAAGACTCCGTCTCCATGTGCGTGCGGTGATACACTTGTATGGGGGAGTGGCTCGCCCCATCCGAACGGCCGCAGTCTATATAAGAGTGGTCCATGCCGGATGTTTGACCCAGAACTTCGCGTGCAGTGAAAGTGTGCCCGGTGCAAATATATTTTACCGGAAACAATAATGGTGAACGCATAATATAATTAGTTAATAATTCGAGATTATTGATTGCCTCACGTATGAGTATAAAAAATTATCATTACGCGTTGTAGTCAAAGGTTTATTTTTTTAATTTTGTATTACACATATCTATACGTGTAATTACTCGCAACCGTAACGATATATTGTTATTAATAATCATTTCTCCACAAGAAAATAGAAAGAGAAAGTTCCGCATTTGTGTGCGCGTGATGTGTAATTATAAACGTAAATAAAAATATTAATGTATCTTTGCGTTGATGTACTTGCTACTTTATTACGATCATAAATTGATAATTTGCTGATACGCTTTTTCCATAGTTGCATATCTGGATGATCAGTAAAGAACTTTCCAGGAAATCGATAATCTCGCAATTTTATTAAATTATATTAAAGCTAATTGAGTTTACTTTCCGTTAAAGCAACGTAATTTTATGTCATCGACTCTTTAAACGTTTCAGCATAATGATATATTTTCTTCGCTTATATTCGCGTGTATTGAGAAAATAATTATCTTCTCTTCCTGTATCACGCTAACATGATTATTTGTATAATGCTGCATTTACAGAGTTACGTATATCGGCTTCTGCATAATTACATGGAAAAAAGTAGAAGAAGCTGCAATTAAAACAGAAGGAAAGAATATCATGATTAATTTTAACTTTCTCTTTCGATTACAGAAAGTCTATTTAATATTGGGTCTGCTGGTAACGGCTGCGTGCGCCGAGAAGAAAATTAATTTAGAAGATATAGAGAGGGATAATCTGAGGGCGGAGAATAAAGCCAAAGCCGAGAACATCCAGACTGATGAAACGAAGTACTCCGTTAAACCCAATGTTAATCAGCAGCAGTATCAAATACCAAGCCAATATAACACTTTGGGTGGCCATCCCGATGGAGGATCATACATCTCCTCGCAACAATTAGAGGATATAAAATATAGCGTAAGATGTCAATTGAATGTGTTGATACGTGTAAATCTTATTCTTGCTTTCGGAAACTTATTATTGTAAAATCTGTGTCGACGGATTGACGTAGAAATTATTGCAACAATTGGATTTTATATTACACGTTATCACGTTGTCGAACAACAATATCGAACAAAGTCCCATTATTTTCTCGTCTTGTCATCGTTAGCAGGTGCCACCTGAACAATACATTCAACCCAATCAATACGCAGTACACGAAGCACAATATCAACAGCAAAGCCAAAGTCTGCCGCAATATCAACAGCAATATCAACAGAGTCCAATTTTGACGCAACAAAATATTCCACTATTGCAATACAATTACAACGGATATCAGCAGCAAGTGGAAGTACCGACGAAAGGCGCTGCACCGAATGCCTTCGAAGCTCAGAAATTGAATTACCAACCGGAAGTAGTGGTAGGCAATCACATTCAAAGTGTTCAGCAAAAAGCAGTCACGGACAAGTATACGAAAACCAGCAATAAAGGTAATGCGAAGAGAAAAAATTTATCCAGTGTGTTATCGTTCTTAACTTACATTTTACGTTTTATATAATATTACTTTAGAAATAAATAATAAATAAATATAATAAATAGAAATGACCTTGCGGAAATTTTATCTGTTTATGAAAATCATGAAATTAAATTATAAAATAATTGCAAAGATGTTTCGTTAGATTCAGTATTCCGAAGAAAGTGATTTTTAATTCTCAAAATCATTTATTTTTTGGAAGAAAGTGGAACCAAGAAAAATAATAACATCAATTATTGAAAATATGGGCATGAAATTTACATATACTTTCTCGTTTTTAGGACCTGTTTATTTCGACGTTCCAGCGACCCAACTACTTTCTTATTATCCTTATTTAAATATTAATTCCGCTGTGAGTACGAAAGGAGTGGTTCAACCTTCATTACATCAATTACCGAACAACGCCGTTCCACAAATTTCTCTACCAGTGTATACTCCAGTGTACAATCAGAAGCCACTGGCTTCTTCCGTTAAAACGCCTTATCCCTACCCTACGATCGTACCGACAACATTTACGTCCAAGGTAAATTTGAACTGTGTTCCTACCTAGCGCAGCTTTCATGATTACTCTTGTCTTCGTGTAAAGATTAAATAACTATAATATCCATTATGAACATTTTCTTTTTTATGAATATATTTTACACGAACAGCTGATTTATAAAATGATCATAAATACATTTCAGACAACGAAAGGATCGGCTTATACATTTCCAGTCACGTTGAAGAAAGTAAATCCGCCTTCCTTGCCGGCGTTATCTTTGTATGTCCAACCGCAACAGCCTTTAGCTCAGGGGAAAAAACTGTTGTATACACAAGCTTACGTCACGCCCTCGCAGCCGCAATATGTGCAGCAATTAATTTACACACAGCCCGGTGTAGTTTACAGCGATCCCACCGCCGCTTACAGCGATCTTTACGCCCGCATACCGGCGTACATTCAGGAAAATTCCCTTCGCGGTCAGGTAAATCAATATGAAACGCAGCAACAAGTGTACGTCACACCGACGATTGGCCATGAAGCACCGAAGGAGGTGTTGCAGGAGCAAGTCGGCCAAGAACTTCCGCAGGACTATATCAAGGTTCGTATGATCCATGGGCTCGAGCGGAGTAAATTAGATAAGAAGAACTTTTTTCATAATCGACATTTTGCTCTCGAACGGCGCGAATTATAGCTGACGCGATCATGTTGCATTTATCAGGGACACCGAGAGTCGTAGTGGAAATAATAGTTTTACATAACTCACGCTTTAGACAACGAGATTATAATTGGAGATTTAAATTACGAGCAACATCGTTAGCGGACTAATTAACATAGTTTAATTAGCTTCTTCGCCGCGCCACGTCGTGTGCCGCGAACGAGAGAGAAATCATTGCAACTCAATTTAAAAGTGACGCGAGATAAAGATTACGTACTTTTCCTTTAATAGTCTTTTTATCCGTCTCTTTGAAACATATATATTGCTCTTTTAAATGTAGAAAGTTTTAAAATCTCGTGCAGAAATTTTACATGTTAAATGCGTATCTGTAAAGTATATCACTCTGTGATGTATACTTTACGCGCGTCTATATTTCTTTTATTTTCCAACTGAATATAAAAATTGGAATGCAACGTTTGCTCCGAACAGGTGCCTGATGAACCAAAAACTCACTTTATACCGCCGCAGTTGCCAGCGCAGGATTTCAAATCCAGCATTACGCAACTGGAGCCCGTTTCCTATGAAGACGAGGAGTCCTTACAAGTGAAAGATCATTCCTTGCCCTCCGAACCGAAGACGCTTCTTGATACGTACATTCCAAGCAGAATCATCGCGTCGCAGGATAGCACCAGGTATGGTAACGAAGGATATTAAAAAGTATACTCAGTACTATACTTACCAGCTATAACTATCATTATAGGTACGTGGAAAGGCCGATAAAACTAGAAGGAGGTTTTCTCCCATCGAAAACGAATTTTGCGCTGAAGAAGCGCAAGTCCGAATAAAGAGGACCGCCGCGAGCGATCGGTGACGATTGACGAATGTTATATATACACAAGGGTCAGTACACGGAAATTCAATTACCAGCAATTATGACGACCAAGGCATACATGGAAAATATCGAAGATGCGCTGTCCGAATCTCGAGACCAGCGACATCATCGCATCTAGTCTTTCATCGAAGATTATGCAAACTTTATGCTGTTCTCCTTTACATTTATAGAGACGTGCCCAGTGAGCGGCGTACTTTGTTTACGATTTTTCAATAAAATTGAAAATGAAAATTCAACTGGCAATTCCTCTCCCTTGACCCGTATAAAAAACACTAGGCACAAAAGAAAAAATATATTAGTAATATACTATTGATGATATAATTTATTATGCAGTCACTTGCACATGTCTTAAAAGATCTTACAGATAAAACTGAAATATGGACATTTTTTCTAATATACATTACTTTTGCATTTGTTTTTCTGTATATATTGTCATTTGTTCTTTACTCAAAGAGTTTAAATAAATTTAACTTGGAAAAGAGATTGTAAATAAAATAATTATATATTCAATATTATAATTAATTTTTAATAAATTAAAAAGGACTACAGCAAAATTATGTAATTTGGCATTGGTCCTTTCACATATAGCAACGGCGCATTCGAGGATACTGAAACGTATCCTCTATAAAAAAGAAGAAAGCTTCTCCTACTCTTTTTCTTTTTTATCCCCCCTCTCTCCCTCTCTTTCTCTCGTTGAAAATAAACTACATTAAACATTTTAAAATTATATATTTAATAGTTTGATATATTTTTCTACTTTTCCGGACAAAATTACTTATTTAAAAAAAACATTATTTTCTAACATTATTACAAATCTTAAAGAAGATTCTCTCTGCAAATTACATCAATGATTTCAATTCGTTCAAGCTATATCTATATTTAATTCATTGATAACTTCAACACATGTTCAAAGATTGCTAAAGCGTTGATTAAGTTGATCGAGCCAAGAGCGACTGAATCGCGCGATAGAGAGATCTGAAACGTTTAGCTTCTCATAGATTGCAACTGGTGAACAACGTCGTGTTATTACATCTTTCTTACTATTACGAAAGACGCGATGTATCACCATTAAGATTTAGACAATTAGTATAGCTGTCGAGATTCGGACAGCTTTGAAATTTTTGTCGGCAACGCCGACGAGAGTACGAAGAAATACGACAAAAGTTCTTTCATTGGCAATGAAGTGCTTAATAAGCTTGCATAAAATGTTTGATTAGCGCTGACACAGTTTACGACTTACATTGAGACAGAACTGTCGACATCAGGAAGCTGGGCTGCGTTATGGGATGCACATAGTGCATGTGTGTGCCTAATGTCAAGGAGCGTACGTATATAAGTTATGTACTAATGTGAGCGCGCTATATCAACGAAGAGGCCACACGAGAAAGCTGATGCCACAACGGTGATGAGCCCAATGGTGTAGGAACGTGGAATTGAACATTTGAAATTCTGACTGCCGCTCCGCAACATTGTTATTATTCACATTATGCACGGCGGATGCTTTCTTTCCCGCAAATGCATAATTCGTTAGAATTTATCGCAGATGCTCCGTGTTAATTTCAGCGGAAACGGAATATATGCACGACGCCTCGCATATTATATATTCAAATTTATGTCAAAATATATACATATATTATATATATATATATATATAATATATATACGCATATTACATATATATATATATATATAATATGCGTGTCCTGGCAAAAAATGTAACACATCATTCATAACGCATCATTATCGAAAGTGTTAGATATTATCTAACGATTTTATGGATCGGCGAATTTCACTCACGGCCGAAATAATTTCACTATACGTGACGATTAAAATGTGTTTATAGACGTGAAATTTATCATTCGGCAAAGTCGTGGCGTGAAACGTATTTATATGTTCATTTGCGTAACATAAGAAAGCCCGCACGATCAAGAATCGACCTGTCAAACGGCGCTACGCTACTGGCAGGTGTCTTCCCGTATCGAACGCGAATAGCGTTCGTCTCGCAGTGGTGAAACTATAATGGTGGTGTCCTTCTCACACCAGGAGCGAGGGCATATAAGGTGGGATGTTCTGGCCTCAGCTTCATCAGTACCAAACATACACGACAAGTCCGCCAAGCCAGCAGGTTTAAGGTTGGCCGTCATGAGTCTCGCTAGGATGCATGTAAGTACTTGAATCAAAGTTACTTTGCGACTATTCCAATATATTTAGCGTCTTGTGGGACGTTCTCCTTCGCCCGGTTCCATCTTCCATGCCTCATTAACCGATAATGCACTCAATGGTTCGTTCGTGATGCATTACGTTTCTCTTCTAAGCCGCCAAAATCACATTTAGCATTTTTAATGAAAAATATTCATGTGGTGGTTTATTAATGTATTTATCAACCATTACTGTACTCATATTGCGTGTGTTTTTCTCTCTTCAAATATATTTTCATTTCTCACAATTTCGTCGTGATAATTTGAAAAAAGTATCACATAAAGCACATTACATTCCTCGATGTTTTTTTCTTTTTTTTATAATTGTGATTGTTATTCAATTTCTGTGCTTCTATGAGAAATGCCTACAAAGATAATTATCAAGGATAATAGTTTTCGTTCTACCTGACACCGATATGCCCTGCTAACAACTACTAAAATATTTTATGATTGTAGCGACGAATCTCCGAGAAAAATATCGAGAGTGGAAATATAAAAGTCACCATCAGTAACATTTACGACTATAATTTACGAAATGTCTGTGGGTAAATAGAAACTTGAGTGTACTGACTTTATAATATAAATGACATGTGTATTGGCAGAATTGGTCGCGCGCATGGCACTCTTGTTACAGCTGTTCCACGTAAATCTAATAATCCTATCAATTAAAGCCTTAAAGCCGAAAAGCTGCAGGAAAACTTTTAACGGAAATGCCCGGTAGCGTGTCGAGTGTACACCTATAGCTTTTTGCAGCCGCTCCAAAAATTATTTTTTTCTTCCTCTACCGGCCGATCGCTTCCTGGACTCAACCGGACGTAATTGCGGTGAAAGTGTTTCGGATTTTTTACCCACCACGGTCGTACGAAGATAAAGTAGTCGCGGCAGATGCTCTTGAGTAAGTCAGTGAAAGTCCTCGAGGATGAGCCACGCATATCTCCCAATTCGTAATCGCGCGAAGATCCGATCGCTTTTTCGTGCATTAGGTAACTAGCGGTTTTGCGCTAACGTAATAGTATGAGATCTTTGTGAAATTCGACGTCTCGCGTTATTACCTGTTTGCGTACGCGTCAGTCGCCATTAATTTTCATTTAATTCGTGCTGACAAGTCGTAGATCAAGTAGTTAAACATTTCCGAGATTCGACATTCTCTTTACGCGCTTCAAAAGTTTCTTCACATTGATCAACATTATTAATGCCTGAATTACAACTCCTTAGCAACTTTAATACGCAATTATTTTGAAAGGAGCGTAAAACAAAAGTCGCCATTGATGTAATCAATGTGTAAAAGTACATCGCGATTTATAAATCTGAAATCAATTATATCGGACGCCGTAGAAACTATGAACGTTAAATTTACTTTAGTATAATTTATAATTATAACAAAATCGTTTTTTCTTGCGTGTACTTATTTTTATAATACGTTGACTTGATACAAAATTGCAACTTAATAAATACGAGTATAGCTTAATTACTTGTCTTTACATAAATAATCTATTTATAATTGAAAAAGATTTTTAACAAAGTTTTAAACATCTAATGATAAATTCTCTTTAAGATTTTGTCCCTGTTGCTTTGCCTGCTCAAGCGGAAAGCGATGTTTTCAGTTACGTATCGTCCGCAGACCGCGACGCGAGCCTTTAAAGAAAGCGGTGAAAATCGCAAGTGCGCGACGAATAAAACCCGTTTTAACGATGCTGACCGACACACTTGACTCTGACCCTACGCGGATATCTCGCCTTCTCCTTTGCTCGAAGCGACTCCTTCCAAGGTCGCAATTGCGAATACTCGTTACTTTCGTGACTATACGTTATTATCCGATTATCGTTCGAGAAATGTCGATAAAGTACTCGAATACAACCAATACGTTTCTCAAGACGTAGCTCATTTGGAGTAAATTCAAGCGAAATAATTCCCAGCAGATTTCTTCACGAAACGATCGAAAGAGGGAAGGGAAGTGAAAGTGCGATCGCCGTTACCGGAGCATCGAGATCGATGACCAACACATTGTTACATCGTCTCGGCGCGCGATTTCTTATACATGCCCCTGACTTTCAGATCGCCGCATTCCTACTACTGCTCGGACTCTGCAACGCGGAAAGCACCGGAAACGGAGAGATCAAGGTGAACGACTCCCTCGCTGCCGAACGTTCCGTTGTCGACAATGCCGGCGCCGATACCACGAAAGCGGATGCCGATAGCGCGAGAGAGGAGCAGGAGATTGTCGACGAGAACTTGCCGATCTTACCTCCGTTAATACTTTTGGATTTCGACAACGGTACCGTCAACGACAACGCTACGGCCGACGAGAAGGCGAAGCGTACGGTGAACAACGGCCTCGGCTACGGCTTCGACCGGAACTCCTTGTTCGCTCCACGGAAATACAATTACTACTTTCCCGCCGGGAAGACCGGGACCACCGTGAGCATAGAGGAGTCCATCAGCCCGTTCCTTCCGAGAACCATCATCGAGAGAGTGCAGTCGAATCCAAAACTGAGGTCCGAGTCGCACGGGAGTCTCAGGCAGCAAGGGTCCTTCAGGAACGGCGGCGGTTCAGCATCCAATCTGCGAACGCATACCTTCCGATACTATGTACCCATGGAGAAATCTCCGTCGACTTTCGGACTACGAACGAAGTTGACGAAGACATTCAGTTCCGAGTCTTATCGAGGGTACTCTTCGACCGCGAGACCCTCCGTCGAGACTTACCCGAACGATGACTACCGAAACGGCGCGTATGCGTCCACTACGTCTCAATCCTTGGTGTACAGTCCCACAGAAACGAGCGACTACGTCACCCCGAACCCACAGAGTTACACAGCCTCCACGTCGAGCGCGTATGCTTACGTGACACCGAGTCCCATGGCGTACGAAGCTGAAGAGCCCTCTGCGAGATACTTGGGCCAAAGTAGTCAACATACGATCAACGTGCACGGCTATTCCAGACCGGTGCAGAGTGTAGTGGAGTCGTCGACGGCTAATCCCGAGGGCGTGACTTACTTGGAGAACGTAGACGTTCAATCGAGGACAAGACCTCGCGGCTACGCTCAGCCGGGCTCGAGGGTGGTGGAACCAACTGCCGCTGGACCCACGGACGCGTCTGGCTACGTGGAGAACACTGCTCCGCTTACTGGTCTGCCCAGGTACACGGTGGAGAACGGTGTTAGGTACGAGAACAAAATCTTCTGGAAGTATCCAGACGGCAGGGTGTCCGACGTGCCGCCTGGGACGTACGAGACGTACTCGGAGTACCCATCGTTGGCCGCGTTACAAGCCGCCAAGTCCCAGGAAACGTCGTCCATCTATGACTCCGCTTCCACGGAGAACACCGTGTTGTCTCAGGGTCCGGTGCAGTTCCCGATGGCGCCAGAGAGCGGCGCGCCGCCGAGTCCCTTCATCTCGGCCGAATCTCTCTCGAGGCTACCGCAGCAGCAAGTGTATCGGCTGGGCTACCAGAACCTCGTAGGGCAGAAGCAGGCCGTGGCGCAACAGGCCAAGGCCGGTAGCGGAGTCTCGCCCGCGTATACGGTCACTTCGACAACTCCTTCGCCACCGAGGAACTCCTTCAGGCTGAACAGGAAGAACCAGAAGGATCGGTACGAGTCAGCGGGGCCTCGTCCGGCCTCGAGATACATGGTGAACAGCCCGAATGCAGAGTATACCGACTCTTACACCACACAGAGCACCCCGAAGAGCACGACACCCACTAATTTCTTCGCCCCGACAGGTGAAACGGTCACTCTCTCTTCTTTGTGCCCTCGTATTAGCACCTCGTATTACTTGAAAATATATGTATTTTTCGTATTGTATTATATTTTTGATATTTTATGTTGCTTTTTAAGTATTTTTTACCTTAATGTATGTTGCGTCGATCTCTTAAAAATTTCACGCATTTTGGAATATACATAGCGCAATAATAACTTGAAAACTGCGTTTTCAGCCGGCACTAACCTGCCCAGGAAGATCAACGCCGGCGGAAAGAACCTGGAAAACTACTCAAACTTGCAGTACTCGGATCTCCTGAATTATAATCCGTCAATCTCGCAATATATAAAAAATCCCGCGTCCATCCTCAACGTGCAGCCCACGTTCGTGCAAGCCGGAAACTCTTTAATACCTGTGATCATTTTAAGGGTGGATGGCGTACCTCCCATTCAGCCGAAGGCCGTACCGAATGTGAATCTGAAGGCTCTCTTGCAGCAGTACCTTATTCAGTATGCCAACAGCATCGAGGAATTAGCACGGCCATCCAATTATGATCTTGGCGACGATCAGCTCGCGAAGGATCAAACTTCGTTTTCTATAAATCATCTGCGAGAACTGGCGCGACTGGCGCAGGGCGCTAGTCAGGATCTGCTGGCTAATCCGACGGAATCTTACGTCGGTAGATCGAGTTACGAGACGAGCAACTTGAATGCCGAGAAAAGTCTCTCTAGCGGAAAATACGGTCAGCGCACTGCGGCAAGGCCGAAAGTGAAGAGCGTGCAGATCTTGGAAGACCCGAGATTCACGAATTATAGGGACAAAAATTGAATTGTACATAATTGGCGAAGAGTAGAAAGCCGTGGACGCATCTCTTAACTTTCGTGTTCTGTCGCTTAATTCGACTCTTGCGCTGTAGGGAGAGCGAGGGAGAAGAGAGTTATTGCTTTAAAAATTAATGACCACGTTGTCGCAGTAGACACGTTGGCGTTGCGATTGTGATAAAAACGAGTTCCACGAGTCCTACGTCTACGACGTAGGAAACTTATAATTTTCACTTTTGCCTCTTCTTAAAGTAAAATTCACCTTACGTACATTAATATTGAAAAATTCGTTAGAAACACGATGGAATATGAAAGTTAAGCCGAAACTGAATGACTGATTCATATAACGATACGACATTGGCTACTGATAACACCGATGACACCGATGACGGAATATGGACATTTTTAAGAGTATCTTTTCTCTTGTGCACTATCATGAAATCCGCAAAGTTCTACAAAGTATTATGTAATTATTGTCTACATTCTATTTGGCACATCACCACTTCGGTCTCACGTACGAGACGCATCGTGCCATGAAACGAGTTGAGAAAATGAAAGGCGACAATCGATAATCGATAATCGATTAATTAGCGATACGATATAGTAAACGATATAGTAATTTAATGTGGGATCGTGCAATGTATTATAATGTGTACAATATGTATCTGCGCTACTGATTTGCCGAAAACACACTGTGGAGTCTGTCGAGTTTAACATCACCCGTCGCTTTCGGGAAAGCAGTAGTAAGCGAAGCGTATTGGTCGCTTTGCGAACGTACCTATTAAAAATTAGCCAAATTTCCACACTTCAGAAAGGTACCTTATAAATCTTAGCGCTTAAGCTCCTTACGAGAGTTAAGATAATCATAACTTGTATACTGCAAATATTATAAGCAAATAAAAAACGCCAGCGAGAAAGTTTTTCGTAGAAAATAGATTGCTGTTATTTGCGCCCAAAGTTTGAAAAACAAAATCAACTATTTTTACAAAGACGTTTCGACTTTGTCATTCACTACAAAATTTTAAATTCTACATTTTGCACACGACGCTTACGGAAAATTGTTTCCTACGCGAAATTTGAATCTCTCTGTAAAACATCTTATTACATTGTAAGTTTCATTCATCCAAATGTATATGGCCATATTTACAATAAATTTAGTTGCAAGTAATGGGTAAGCGAGAGCTAGATAGTAGCAGTTGCAAATGCAGACAAAAACTTTAGATAAATACACAAATTAAAGTGAAATATCAGTCTGCATGGAGCTGCTAATATGTAGTTTTGTCTCGATGTCTCGATGATATTTCTGTGATCTCGTGATTTCACAAACTTGTGTCATTTCACTCTTCAAGAGAGAGAAAGAGAGAGAGAGAGAGATAGAGAGAGAGAGAGAGAGACACTCTTTATGCAATATTATTCTTCAGATGAGTCGAGAAGAAACCGCGATTAAGAGAAACACCCCGCAGGACGTTACACCACGACGCATACGGCGCGTATCGCACCGATTTATTAGGAAAAGTTGGTAAACGCGCTTTCTGCTAAAGCGCGCTTATTAACTTTTCCCGGTAATCATACGATAAATATGTACATATAAGCAAAGTAAAAGTTTCCATCCTAATAGAAATTGTTATCGATCCACGAGCTGCACATCAGCGACCATCGAGCGCAATTACGCATTTTACTCGGTACGGCGAACTCGGTAAGCGCTCTCCTGCGGGCATCGGTGTGTGTGTGTGCGTGTATGCACGCATCGGGCTTTAATATCCGAATTAATATAAAGACGCAAGAGCGGCCTCGCGCACGCGTGCGCGTGTCTGAAGATATATGTATATCGATGTGACCGGTGCCGTTGAACCGGGCAATTAGCGTTAATTGCCTGGCAGGAGCGTGAAGAAAAGAGAAAGAAAAAAGGAGACGATGAACGATTTAACCCGCTATAGTCACGGCGCGCGCGGTGTTAATTCTACGTTTTCACAAGCATCGCGGAGTCTCCGATGATATCTGCGTAGCATTTACAGCGGCAACGGCAATTAGACTCGTGGCATTAAACCGAAGAGCCGGCGAGCGGGCGACTACACGCAGGGAAAAGATAGGCTCGTGTTCGTTGCACACGGACGTCTCCACGCCGCGGATCGGGAGGAGTAGGCATATACTCTGGGCATAATGCGTGTGTTCTAGAGCGCATAGAGCCGCGGCGGAAAAAGTACTGGCCGAGTCGCGGGCCGAACCCCGCGCGGAATGCCGCGGCTATGATCGAGGCATGCGGAGCGCACACCGGAAGCGCAATTCACGATCATCGGTGTGCGTACTACACGGACAGGCTAACGTTGCGCTCAGGGTGTATGCACCTCCCGGATGCGCCATTGCATCTCAGCTGGTTAGAAAATGTCCCGCGATGCATCTCAGGAGACTAAAATTGCCTCCTGGTTTTACGGCACGCGTCCATCGCGCGTCCGCGCAGGATCAGCGATTTTCAGTCGCTGAATGAGCATTTTATGGGACGTGAAAGGGACGCGGGGACGGCTGCACGACGGTGTCTCTGTTTCCGTACATGGTGATATCTCGCTGCTCGAGTTCCATAGTAATGACGAGTAGACGAGCATCCCGCGCACGCGATACGGCCCGGTCAATATTTCCCCGGGCGCGCTCGCGTGTCACGAATGAAAGTATCCAAGCGGCTGCGTGGTCTATAGGATAATATTTAGAACGATATTTTTCACTTGGGCACCAGACTGTATAAAGAAAATCGCGTATCTACTATGTGGCTCAGTCCTCGCGTGGAAGCTCACCACGCAGGGTCCTTCGGATTATTCGAGGCGAGAACGCGAGGAACGGACGCTCGCAATCAATGTGCGCGTGGAATACAGTGTGATATACGGGTCCTTCTAATTGCGTTAGGGCCGTCGGACGAAGGGACAAAGCATTTTCGGCGAAAATGATTTTTTATTATGTAAGTACTCGGATCGCGAAGTACCTTCTGTGAAAGTGTGAAGTTTCCTGTGCGGTGGTCTAAATCGTTGGTTTGCATCCTGTGCGCGAAAATGAGGAAAAGGGACATGTAAATAAAAAATTCGTATAAATTCGTTAACGCGAGGTGTGACGAAAGTCACGCAATTATGATAATGTATTTTTCTCCGTATATTCAAACCGTTGCTAAATATTTTCAAACATACACCATACGATGCAAAAAAGAAAAATAATACGTTGACATTCTCTTGCTCGATAGCTTTTTATACATGTAAAATAATTCCCTCTATGTGTGTTATTTTTTTATCAATATAGCGTCAATTATTAATCCCTAGATTTTACCAGTAATTTAACAAGGGTTAACTATTTCAATAATAAAATCAACTGAAAGCAACCTATGTAGAAATCATGCTTATTTAAGCATGATTTCATGCTTATTAAGCATTTGTGAAATATGTTACTTTTATTTTTAAATTACTTTTATTCAAAAGTCATGTCACTATATTACTTGAAAATTATATTAATGAAATCATATATTAATTTAAATCTGCCACTTGAAAAGAATATTTTGACATATATGTACAAAAGAAATAATAATTTTAATATTAATGAGAGATATAAAATAATTTTAATTATCCTTGACGAAAACTTCGTGCGATTATTCTTATTTTTATACAAATATTTTGATAAAAATAATTTTGCCTAAAACTGCAGAATTATTATTTCTATTATCACCAATCCTCTAATTGGAGAAATGAGTTCCTAATCATAGAAAACAGGATATATTCGAAATCAGGTTGTTGGAATCCATATATATTACGAATCACTGAAAAATTACCGTGCATTCCGCTGCATTTAATCTTCCGGTGTGATTAAATGCTTTCGAAATATGTTCGACGAAGCTACTTCCAATTAGATAAAGACTTTAACGATGTTCATGCCAATCGACAGCTTCGACCGACTTTTATATCGGTAGGCATGAAAAATTACATAGTTCAAACTGACTGTTTTCTCTCCAATTACGTTTCACCGACGCTCTCTAAACAGACGTAGCTGACGATAATCGCTTGCATTTCTGCATATTACAAAGAAACAGTCGTTCATGATACGATTGCGCGCTTCGTATGTTGCGAATCTCTTTCGTTCTCCAAAATGAGCGAGTTACCGACACGCCTGTATGGCGACCCATTACCGTCAAACAGACTCGAGTCGCCCATGAATCAGTGAGAAAGTCTACGAAGATCTGCTTCCGTGCACATCCAGTCCTTATTTCCATCGCACACGTGCTCGCATCTTACTTTCCTAGTCTGATTTTCTTTTCCAGGTCATCTCCTTGACAAAACAGCAATTATCACTTATTATCATGCATCGTTTATCCAAACTTTGCAATATATATATGTTGCTTTTTTCTCTCTTGCAAGTTTTATGATATTCAAGAGATATTTGTGAGATCCTGCGTATACCGTCTACGGAAATTTTTACTGTCAATTTGCCGTTAATGAACTGTAATTGCAAATTAATGTCAATTAATCGATACCAACGATTGCATATGTTTTCTGACAAGTCCTTTCTTAACGTGATGTAATATCAATAGAAAAAAAAAAGTTCTGCATGAAACCAGATTACTTGTCTCTTATATGACATATTTTATTTTGTATTTATTCCGCGACTTTTGATCGCTCCCTTCAATCTTCGTAGGTGATACTGCTGTTTCTCAGCTGGCCACAAACGAGATGTACGCAGAAGGTCGACGCGGCAGCGGAAGAGATGTTCGATCAGCTGGCGACTGCGTCGGAGAACGTGGTGCACGCCGTGAGACATACGAATGCTACTCCGAAAAATGTCGGGGAGCGACCGGCCAGTTTCCTGCCGTCGCTAAGCGCGACGCTGCACTATGAAAATTCCAATGGTTTCATACCGATGATACCTACAGACTCTACATCGTACGAGGATTCGGACGCGTCGTCGCTGCAGACCGATAGTTTCGAACAGGACGAGCAGTCGACTGAAGACGGCAACACGACAAACGCTGTAAGTGCTCGAGACAGCTCGACCACGAAGCCGAGAAAACTCGAAGAAGACTTAGCGTACTCCTCGGAAGCGAGGATCTTGCTGAATCTCCTTGTACCGCTGACGAATCGCAGGTCTTTCGATTTGCAGGAGAAGTCGAGTGAGTTTGAGCTGCTGAAGGTCAACAACGACACCCCCGCGGTGGCTAATTATCAGGACTTCTATGAGAACCTGCGCAGCACGGTGAACTCCGAGATCGACCGCGAGCCGGCCGCGACTTCCTCGGGCCGCGCGAACGGAGAAAGGGAGAAGAGAACCGAGAGCTACATGAACGATTATGGCCGACAGTCGCAGCAAACTAGAAATAAAGACCCGTACATTCAGTACTACTCGTACAATGACGCTCAAGATACGAAGAAACTTACTTACAAACAAGAGAAAGTCCCCGGCAATTATCAGCAGCAGAATGCCGCGAACTACGACGGTCACGGGCAGAGCGCTGTCAGACAGAACGTGGCGACAGCCTCGTCCTCATCAAGGACGAATTACGAGGTCAACGAACTCACTCACGGCGGCTTCCAAGGTGGAACTTATGACAATGTGGCGGAATCGTCGAGGACACGCCAGAGATTCTCCAAACCGGTCGTGGTGGCCGAGCCGACCAACTACAAGGTGGAAACCAAGTTCACCGATCGATTGCAGAGCAGCGAAGAGGACAGCGATTTCAAGACTTCGAGGAATTTAGAGTCTTCGAGCTTGGAGACGTCAAACCACGCTTACGACGCTTACAGCGAGAACAATAGACAGCGTAGTTACCACCGCACAGAGGACTCCAGGAACTCGGACGAGAGCTCCGAGTTCTCCGAGTTCATCGAGCGACCACGAAGAGTGCAGAAGAGTCGGAAACGCCCGTCGCATTCGGATTCTTCCAGGAAGTTGCCGAAAGAGCATCGAGGCACGTTGGCCGCCAACAGCGGCGAGGAAGAGGACAAACTCAACTACAATTCCTCCAGAATGAAATCACAGCGGCACCGAGTGAAAGCGAATCCATGGGTCGACGACGCCAGTGTAAACCTTCACGATGACAGCGTCGAGGACGTCAGACACGACAACAGACTTGGCGAAATTAAGAGCTCCAAAACGCAACACGGGTCCAGGCTGAAGAACGCCAACACATGGCATCAGATATCGCCGAATCTCGAGATCTCTCATTCCAACGGGATCGAACTCGACCACGTGGAGAACCCCAAGTACGTCGTCCCCGTGAAAGTGAACTTGGTGCCCGTGGCGAACTTTGATCACGCGACCGCGCTGGGCAGCAGTCAAGGTTTCGACGTGTCCAATGCGCTGTTGCGGAACATGGCGACCGCTTCGCCGATCGGCGCCTACACTACGAGCGCACCTCTCTTGAGCACGTCGTCGCCGATCCTTGGGCATAACCTGGCACTGTCGAAGAACATAGCGAATGCGCCGAGCCTAGCAGTGCCCACGTCGGTTCCCGACATCATCGTCGGTCAGACTTCCTTCCACAATCCTGTGCACACCGTCGTGCTGTCCCAGCCTAACGGGCAAAACAAGGTCACGAACACGGTGAGGGGGACCTACCTGCCGAGCACTATGGCGCCGGTATTTGCGCTCACGTCCAGTCTGACGCCGACGTTCCAGAACGTCCAGGGTAACGTGACACCGCGAACCACCTTCGCCGTAACACCGACTCCCACCGCGGTCGTTCAGCATGTACCGTTCGGTCAAGTGCACGCCGGCATGCAGCAGCTGATAGTGCCGCAACCGACCGTCCAGACATTCCCGGGTTTCGTGCAGACGCCGGTTCATGCGAACACGCAGTACCAGATCCAAGTGAACCCTCACGGGTTGCAGGGTCAAAACTTCATGAGCCAGGGCAACTTGCAGCTGCAGAGTCTGCCGACGGCGCCCACGCTGCTGTCCACCCAGGTGTTGCCGGAGAACAGAATCAACGTGTCACCCGCGGAGATGCAAAGCAAGAAGAACATATACACGACCTCTGGCGGCAACATCTTGGCTGCTGCGAGTCTGACTGTCGGCCAGAACGAACAGAAGCAGGCGACCAACTTCAACTCGTATTACCTGCCCAATCATAACACTCAGCAAGCGGTGAAGGCTGAAGACGGGGTGTACCAAGTGCTGAAGGACCTCGATATGACGCCGAAGACGAAGACTTACCTTCAAGCGACTCAGGTAGTACCGACCGTGCTGCAACCCAGCTCAACTCTGGGTGGCTTAGCTGTGAATACCCCGCAGTACGTGAAATTTCAAGGTGCTGATGACGCTGTGCAGGTTCAGGTGAACAGAGCGCAGTTATTGAAGAACAGCAAGCTGCAGACCGCCGACAACGTGGTCAGTCACTCGAGCAACGTGAACAGTGTGAACGCGCACTTGCCGAACGTGGGCACGAAGAACGTCGAGATTGTGAACCCGAACATCAAGCCGAGCCCGATCGACACGACTATGAACACCTTCAATACCGTGCACTATCCGGCGGCTGTCTTGACGACTCCCATTCCGATTTTCAGCACCATCGGCTCGGTCACTCCGCAAACCATCAGTCTTCAGAGTTACGTAGACTCCTTGACGGAGAGTGGCGCCAAAGCCAAGCAATTGGCCACGGTGGACCTGAAAACGTCGCAGAATCAGGAACGACCAATGTTCAATCCCATCAATTTCGTTCCCAACGTCGACATCATTAAGAATCAGAACGTTCTCAATAAATTACCATCCAATGAACCCGTCCAACAAGATTTGAACCTGGTGCCCGTCATGCCGGGAGGAAACTTCTTCAAGCCGTCGTTCTCGGCGCAAAACGAGTTGGTGATGAAGCCGAAATTAGCCTCGGATCTACAGAAATACGCCGAGGAGATGTTCAAGGAGTCGCTGAAGACGATGTATAATTCGCAAAAATGGAACAACGACAGGAAACCGCCTGGGACCAGCCAAAATCACTCCGAGGCGAACGACCTCACGAAGCTGAGACTCGAACTGCAAAAGTTGACGGCTTCTCTGTCGGAGTCGAAATACAAGGACCTGCTGGAAGCACACCAGAGCGAGAATAAACTGCGCACGGCAGACGCGCCGAAATCCTCGAGTAACAAGAAGAAACTAGACCCGCTACTGACAACTCTGGAGCACCTACTGAAGACTCAGCCTCATGGACCGATATATATGTATCATGGTGCGAGCAGTACAACAGGTCGCAAGCAGAAACCGTCGGTTTCCGATCCGAGTTTTGGCTTTCCTGATGAATTCTACGACGACAGTCAAGTGAGGGAGTTCCTCACGCCACCGAGGCCGAGTCACCACGCGAAAGGCGCTCTCCGCGAGAAGCCCATGAAGAACAAGCGACCCGGAGCGGCGAGATTCAGGAACAGGAGGAAGCCAAACAGGGGACACCCGTCGCTCAGGCCGAACGGACTGGAAGCGTCCGCCAGCAATATTGATGTGCACCTGGACGGACCGCCTCGTCATATGACACCTTTTGGTCCGGACAATATGGACTTTGAGACCAGTCATCAGCCTTCCTTCGATTCGTACCCGACGTTCACTACGCCGTCACCGGACGTCTACAAAAGTTTACTGACGGAGTTCGGAGCGTCGAATAACAGGGATTACATCAATCACCCCAGGATACACAATCTCATGGGGCTGTTGATGAAAAACAAGCAACTGCCGAACAGGGGCACGCAGAACTACTTTCGCGACAAGGATCAGCTGAGGCAGTTCTTCGACGGCGAGAGGCGTCGGCTGCAGCAGCAGTTTTACGACGACGCTCTCAAGAATTATATCTTGAACAAATTCGAAGATGCGTCGCAGTCCGGCTCGATCGCCGGCAGGAAGGTCTATTCGGGGAACGGCGCCGCGTAAATTCGTAATCAAAAGTATGAACGAAACGTCGATCGCGCGACGTACTCGCCGGATCTGCTCGAATGACGCGTAAATCCGCTCGCGGAAGGACTGGAATTAAATAGTAAACGCGTTTACCTTGTCCGGCAACGGACGATTTCTTTTCGCCCGCTTTTCGCATTAATGAAAGCTGCATCGTGCGCCAGCGTCGCCGCTCTCGCACTGAGTGTTTAATTATAGTAAGTAACATTTTGCGCGGAAGTTGTAAAAGCAATCGTTAGCGTCAGACGCGCTCGTACGGAACGACCGACCGAGGGCGAGAGAAATTCATCGATCATTTATAAGACGCTCCAGTGTTGTACATATTAACATAAATGGAAATATATACGTCCCGTAATTGCGCCCGTCTGTTTTCCCCTTCAATCGATATTTTCTCTCTTATCCATTTGCCGAGGACAGCAATAAACAGAATTTAAAAGCAGACGCTCCTTTTACAACGAGAGGAGGTAGAGAGAATCTGAAGGAGGAGAGACACGTATTAGGGAAACTTTAATTTGTATATTTGTGTTCTCTTACCTAAATGTGTAGAAAACGTTTGTGTTTTATATAATAATATACGCGGAATGGATATTATACTATGGTAAATATGTATTACATTTTTTTATAAAGATGTAGATTTTAAGTATTATATACGAAGAGGAAAATAAAATATTTATATATATTTTTATTAACTTTTTGCGAAAGACTTTCCTCCAGAATCGTTTCCCCTTTGACGAGGGCAAGATCAATATGAAACTTTTACATCGCTATTCTCGGGACGTTTTTAGATTGCATTAACATTCACAGCATTGCTTCCCGTCCTCTCCGTAACGAAATTGGAAATAAGGATTTCAATTTTCAATGAAAAACTAAGCTAAGAAAAATATTTGACGTACCATCAAGGAAAAGATTTCTATTTGCTAAATTGCATTTTTACTTTGCTCTCGAACTTTGGAGAAAAATACCTTTATACAATTTAATAATAAGGTAAATGTACGAATAAACAATTTCATTCGTCTATCGATTCCTTGTATACTCATGCAGAGGAATTTCATTTTGTACTGCAAGTTAATGAAAAATTGATATAATTCATCGAATGAAGTTTCTCCATTTTTGTTACAATTAATTATTTCAAAGACGGCGTCTAGTTTTTGTCATAAGAATTGGATTGATGAAAATGCAACCGCATTGTTTCCGTTTGACTGCGGTAATAATTCATCCATGACCAAGGAGGAAGAGGCGTTCACCTCGTAAGGTATATAAGAATCGTTAACTTTTGAATTTACTCTATGAAGCCTGCATTCATAAATCCGTCGGAGCATTTTTATTGTGCAACGTCCACTTTCTAAGAAAATAACTTGAAAATGGGATAGAAATTAGTTTGAGAGCTGCACGCTAATTCGCAAAACTATTACGGTAGGTACGCTCGCGCAAGTTTTCTTAGAACAATAGCTAGTAATGCTGTGAAAAAAACAATCGTTTGTGTGGCAAACGGAGCGCTAATTATTACTTCTAGAAGAGTACACGACAAGCTTCGAAAATATGAATAATTATACGGCAAATTGTACGGCTTTGCTTCTACTACGAAAAGCAAATCCAAAAGCAATATCCCAGCTCTTTCTTAGCGTTTTATTTACAATAAACATTTTATATTCTGTAAATCCATATTTTATATTCTGTAAATATATATATATATATTTTTTTTAATTTTGTATACAGTCAATGAATCTCATTTTATCAATCAATCATGCGAGGCTCGTGGTTAGCAAGCATTTAATAACTTTTCCGTTTATAGCGACAAAATCAATATTCATGTTAAACGCGACAGCTATGACGATGTAGATAGCGTATGAAATTAGGTCGCAGAAAACAAGAGAGATAAGTCAATAAGAAAAATATGGATTGTGACGCAGCGTTGTGTGAGACGTTGTGACGGCTTCACTGATCAGGGAGAAGCGAGGTGATTTGACTCGGTTTTTCTCGATACGCTTTTTGCTGATTTAGAAAAGACCAGCCCATTCTGCTGTCTCGCATCAGTAAACGGCGAATATAAAAGATGAGAGAATGTCGGTCGCAGTCAGTTAACGTCAAACTTTGGTGTCTACCCGTACCGACTTGAAGAGTATCATGTTGGTACGTTTCTCCAATACCTCAGTAACTTTAAGTCATCAATATATCGCTCATCATAGCTCACAGCGCGCGAACGCCTATGTGTATCGTAATAATAATGCAACAACAGTGCTTATTCACGAATATAAAATGACTCGCGTCAACTTGCAATTCATCTAATTCTTAACGCAAAATTGTGTGATGTGACACTGACGTATCCGTGATTTATGACGTGATTGCTGATGTATGTCTGTGTCGAAAGTTTGCAATATATATTTTATTACGCAGCGCGCGCAGTTCTCTCTACATCGTCTATGTAAAGTCATCGCGTTATTTATGCAAGTCAATTTAAATTTAATGAAATTGTCACGTCGTAATGCATCGAAATGCCTTTAATTAATATTTCTCTCATCTCATTATTTGGAAAATAATACAATTTTTACACGCGCGTGTGGTACATTTTCCAGGTCGTAAACGTCATCCTCTTTATATCCGCGGTATGTTCTGCCACGAACATTGTAATCTCGAGCGATACTTCCGTTCCATCGATGATGTCTACCAGATTGAAACGCGGAATCGTAGATCCTGGTCCTGACGCTCGTAATAACCAGGAACACTATAGAGGAGCTCAAGGCGCATCGAGCATCTCATCGCTTCAGGATATGAACTCAAAGCTAGCGCCTCATTACGGAACAGCCGAGGCATTGGACACCCAGATGCTTACCCACGCTAACCAGAATCAGAGATCTGCTTCTCACGCCTATGGCAGTGTGCCAAAGCGGCAGTTTTCTCCTATTCAGCCGACCGAATCGTATCAGAATAGCCCGCTCGCTTCGTACTTCAACCTATTGAATAATCCGAATACGTATAAAGCCGCGACGGGCGTCGAGAAGCCGGCGGATACGTCGAAATCGGTCGCGTCGCATTCGCTGGAAAAACTAGAGGATGCATATTTGCCCAGCTACAATGCCTTCCACCCGCACAAGTCGATCGAATTGTCCGGTTTCTCCGATTTTGAGTACCCCTCGTATTCTGGTATCAGTAAAATCATCTCCCAGGGCCTTCATAATGGCGCCCCGACCGCTGCCGTGCAGATTCCGGGCGATTATCCTCTTCCGAAAGCTACCGAGTACGCGCATATTTACGCGGCGAGTGTTCTTCCGACGGTGTCAAGCGCCACTCCGCTGTTTCAATCGTCGAACAAGGTGAAACAGACCTCCGAGCAGAAGGACAAAGCTACCGTGGATGCGAACGGTAAGAAGGTTCCGATCATTCAGCTTCAGAGCGCTCCTGGGCTTTCCGGCGTTTTCCCCGTCTTCGGAAGCCAGCCGTTTCTATTAAACGCGGACTACCCGATCGAATCGGACTTTGGATTTAACTTTGGAGACATGCCAAAAGCCAATGTGGCACTTCAATCGAAAAACGCCTCGCCGTTCTTGTCGCCCCTGTCGAGCTTCCAAGGTCAAGTTGTGCCGATACAGACGGCTAGCAGCACTCCGCAATTTCCGCAGTACAAAGGAGCCAGCATAGAAGTTTATCATGTACCGAATAATGTTCCTAAAGTGCAAGGTAGTTACGAGTCCCTTTACAGTCAACCGCAATTGCACTTTGGAAAGGAACATGCTGGTCAAGCTGTTAATCCCCAACCAAACGTCGTTCCTTCTTCCATTTCGTCGGAGGACATCCTGGATGACGCAGAGATTATCAATAAGAAAAATCCAGAGCCTCACCCTGTCCAACCCGAGGACGAGGAGGAGGAGGAGGGCGTGAAAGATATGAGTTTGTATAAATTACCATATCAAATTAAAAATAATTTTGATATTGTTAATAATGAAAGTAGAAAATTAATATTTTATGAGCGAACACACACGTACTTTTTGATGTTTTTTGGTGCTTGTAATGAAATAGGACCCAGGAAATTAAACAAGCGTGTTAAATTCCAGATTAGACAATAAAATAGATTTGAAAAAATGAGCATGTATTAGAAAGCGATTGTTTCAGGATATCAAAACTCTGAGAAGGAGGATGAGAGCAGTGCCGAAGAGGACGACGTCGAACACGTGTCAGGAAAGTATTTCAAGGAACCGTCGACGACGGAAAGCGACTTTAAGCCGTCGATAAATTTCCCCTTTAAAGAATACGACGAGACATTTAGAAAGCACGCATCGCAAACCGACGACGAGGATTCCGAGGATAAGCCGTATTCCGGCAACAAGAATTCCTCATCGGGCGATGACGCGGAGGAGGAAGACTCGTCGTCAGAATATCACGTTGAATCTCCACAATTGTATAGGCCGTACGAAGTGGAGGACAAAGAGGAGGAAGAAAGTCAGAAGTACGAGAAACGTGAGGAAGCCGACGAGGACTCTTACGAGGTGAAACCCAAGCAATCCAAATCTTACGGGGCAGATTTCGAGCGAGAATTTGAAGAATCCTACAGAGAGGAACTACCGAAAGAAGGTAAGACTGATAATAAATGATGCAGCTACTAGGTTTGTTCAATAAACGCAACGTCCGTTATCGTCGCATGTAATGTTTCTCTACTTAATATTTTTCCGCTTACAGAATATGTGCATGTGAAGGAAGTACCGGAAATAGACAGTTACAACAATCCAATACCTTTTAAACGGCAAAATGACGCTCGAGGTGACGTAAATGTCAAACAAGCTGAAGAGTCCAAGATTCAAGAATCGCGTGTGTTTCGTAAAAATCGGAAAATACCAAAAACCGTTTCGAGAGACAACGCGGCTTACGGCTCAGACGTCTCCGCTAAAAAGGCGAGCAAAGTGATCTACGAAGAATTCTACGGGCAAAAGTATCCCAAAACCGGAAAATACTCTAAACGCGCGAAAACCGAGCCTGCGGTCGAGAAATATTTGCCCGCCAAGAAATCAACCGCGCACAAGGAAGACAGTTATCTCCGTGCTGTCAAGTATTACAAATTTAAAAGCCCCAAGACAGACGGGCTCACCTCACCTAAGAATAAATATCCGCACTTGTATTCTTCCGCGAGCAACTGGAGCCCGAGTAAATTCTCAACCGCGGGAACGGCCTCTGTATCGAATGCGAGACAATTGGCAGATTCTGCAGACGGGGCTCGTTTATATAGACCGAGTGCAGTGAACGGACAAATACGCTCCATCACGAACGCAGAAATCCTTCGTGATTTGACGGGAATTTAAGCGACGACATAACCAAACGTTAGGTTACGAAACAACATATATCCTTAGGTCGAAATTTTTAACAACGTTTGAAGATATCGCATAAGGGAAGCCTCAAAAGTTCTAAATGTGGCTTAGAAGTGCATTTTTTATGGATGTTCATTGGTTGATGTGTAGCTACGTTACGTTTTTATTTTTACAAACGAAGTTAACGACTTTACTTAGAATTTTTTAGAATAATAACAAAATATATATGTTTAATATCGCACGGAAAATATAAATATATATTGCTCAATATATTGTTTGATTTATAAATTCATCATATAACTTTCTCTGTCATACGTTGATTAAATCGTCGTAAAATTACTCATGTTATTTAATACGTTATAATATTATAAGCATTTATTTTTATAGCAATTAAAATATTTTTTAATAAATATTAACTATTTCATTTAGAAATATAACCGTCGTTTCATTGGAAAAACATAAATTTCGTCATCATTCTTTACTATTTCATGTTATGATTATATTAGAGTTTTCAAACGAATACTTACTAAAAGATGCTCAAAATTAACACGTATGCGTAAATCACATGTAAAATTAATTTCCTGACATTTATGTTAAAGATAATGCGTCGTCGATAAGCTACCGGAAGTATCCGCCACATACTCACTGCTGAATAACTACTTCCTCAGTTCAAACACGAGATATAATCTCTGTCCATCGGCTTTCAGGACATAAATGGTCTTGTGTACAGTGATTGTATAGTATACGCCCTCCAGAAAATCGTCATTAGACAATGAAGGCCTATAATTCTGTCTTCAGTACGTGAACTCTTACGTACACCTATAATAGTTTTAATTAATTCCGTGATTATCTCGGAGACGACAGGGCATTCTCCCTCGTATCGCAAGTTGTATATATACCAGGATCCACTGCGGAAGGTTCAGTATCATCAGCAACATTCCTCGCAAGATGAAGGTCTTCCTAACGGTAATCGAAAACTCAAATACACTTTTGTGTTTCTACCAAATCTGCACTTTACAAATAATATTTTACATCTTATTAATTCATTATATTACGCTTCTTTCAACAGTTATTTTATATCGCAGCGATTGACATTTTTCTAGACTTTTCACAAAGTTAACCACAATGCTTGTAGCAACGCAAATTTTGCGCGAGAAAGAAAAACTTTGTAATCTTAGAATTTATGAAACTTCTTCGAGCATCTTCCTAATCTTTATATTTTGCACACTCGAAGAAGCGTAACCCAGAGATTTATTTGCAGATCGTGCTTCTCTCTGCCCTTGCGTCTGTGGTGGAATTGAAGAGATCGGAACCGAAGAAACAAAAACGCGGAGTAGCATTTTTTGGATCGCCTGGCTACGATTTCTTCGGCATTGTGCCAGCTTTCGGTCCTTCCTCATGGGGTCCTACAGGTCTCGCGACTTCTGCCTGGAACCCACCGAGCACTCCTGACGTAGCACTCACCCAAGTTCAAGTTCAAGCTACGCACAACGTAGCGCTTCAAGTACGCATATTTATCATTGATTAATATATCAGAGCATTACGTCGTACGTACGTGTCGAGAGATCGTTTGGAAAATGATCTTTGCTTTCACGACAGGCCCTAAAGGACCCGGCACCAGGTACACCCACTATCGCGTATCCACCCGAAGTCCTACGAGCGATTCAACAAGCGAAAGAGGCGAATAACAATGTTGCCGTAGCTCAGCACAAAGTCGCGGAAGTGAAGCATGCAACGCTGATACAACAGAAAATTGCGTTAGCGAAGGAGGCGTCGGCGCGAGAAGCTGCCGCGAGGTACGAATAATTAATTTACTCGCACTTTGTGCAATTAGCTTCGTGTATTCCTGAAAACTGTTACGCCCCGGTTACAACTATTTCACGTCACATTATTATTCTTTTCGTAATCATTTTCCTTTTGCGCAGGTCTCAAGAAATTTCGCAGCAGACCGAGAACGACGCTAGAGATAGCGCTCGTCAACTTGTAGCGCTGCAACAGAGATTAGCGACCCTAAAGGATGCTGTAGCAGCTGCACAACGGGTGGCGGCGGCTAGAGAAGCCGCTGCAGCCGCAGCGATCCAGAGGAACGCGGCTGAAACCGCCGCTGAACTGCAAAAGCAGGACGTTGATAAGCAGATTAACCAGAGCGAGCAAGAAGCCAAGGTAAGCACCCTAAAAATCATTCCTCCAAATATAATTGTGCACAGAATTTAAATTTTTAAACGAATATTTTGTGTAACGAGTATGTAATCACTTTTATACATGAGTACAAAGTTTGCATTGTACAAGACAACAAATAGGCACTTTGGTCGAAAAGAAGGTTGTGCTTTTTGTATGATAATATTGGATACTTTTTATCACTGTACGATTTGTCGCTACATTATTTTTACTTTTGTCCTACTTATTGTACGAACAGGAGAAGGATATATTAGCCGCGAAGGAAAATGCAGTAGCAGCTGCGGTCCAGCAAGCAAGCGTACAGAAACCTGCTCATCACCCTTGGGGTTGAAAAGAACGTCACTATAAGGGCTCATATTATACATTTACGGTGACGGTACATGAAAGGGCATCTCAGTGTCTAATAAACTTTACTTGATACTTTTGTAATTATTATACATAAGAATTGTTTTCCTCTCAGCAATAAAAGTTGTACACAGTTTATTCTACGTTTTTTTTTTCAATTAATCACTGTTCTGATTTGTTGTACAAATCACTAAGTATACATATAAAAATATTAATTGAAAATTATAAGCGATTTCTCTACTTCTGGTAGAAAGAAAAATTCCGGAGTGGCGCCATCTTACGTATTGCAACATGTCCTATTGAATGCAATTTTAAAAGTTTACAAAAAAACGTATGATTCAGTTTCTGCTCAATTTTATGGAAGCAGACAAATTTTATGAAACCTTTTAAATTTCAATTTGGGTCTTGACTAAAATGTAGATTTTAACCAAGACTCGAACCACAGTTTCAAGTATTTGATAAAATTTTTCGGCGAAAATAAAAAGCAATTTTTTTGAGACGATTCGATAAAGGGAAGATTTCGAGAGTGTCGTCTTACGTATGTCAATGAATACAAATACAATTCTAAAAACTTACAAAAAAGCACCTGGTTTAGTCTCAGTAAAATTTTGTGGCGACCAGTAAATTTTTTTCTAAGATTTACGAAAAACGCTTAGTTTAATGTCAACAAAATTTTTGGAGGCCAGTAAATATTTTCCAATACTTGAAATTGTGCGGTTCGAGTCTCGACTAAAATCTACTTTTTAGCCGAGGCATGAACCATAATTTCAAGTATCGAAAAAAATTTATCGACCTCCATAAAATTTAGCTGGCATTAAATTAAACGTATTTTTTAATTTTTTAGAATTGTATTTGATAGTACTCGTCGAAATACGTGAGACGATGGCACTTCCGAATTTTTGCAATCACCGAAAGTACTTGAAAATAGAGATACTATTGTAAAACTAAAAATCAATTACTTTGGGGCAAATTATTTTTGTTACAGGAAAAATTCGGTGCTGATGATCTTATATGGTTTGACAAATACTATGATGACCGTTATCCAAAAAAGTCTGGTTTTCGAGATATCGCTATAAAATTACATAGCAGTTATTTTGTGGAATTTTCAGTAAAGGGAAAAATTCGGGATATTATGAAATGCAATTTTAAAAGTTCACAAAAAACCTAGTTTGCTACGAACTAAATTTTATGGAGGATGATAAATTTTATAGAGGGCTATAAATTTTATTTGAAGTCTCTACAAATCTGCAAAGTAGATTTATCTTCTACAGCAAGTGGACATAGTGAAAGCTCTCTGCTGTCCTTTCCGGTGAGAAGACAGGATCGACAGACAGTGGGAAGTAGGGTCAGTGTCCAGTTACGTGGAACGTGACTCCAGAATCAAGTGGCTGCAACTTTTATGCCAGCAACGAGGTGCTGGGCGTAGTCATCGGCGCGAAATCTATGACCATACATACATCTATCGCACCGGAACCCTTTCACTCGCCTCTTCACTTTCTTAGTCATCTGTAGTTTCCTCTGTTTCCCTCATGCATTATCCGTCACCCTTACGGCGCCTAGCTGCGAGTTCTGTGAACCAGATGCAATTACGACAGAAGAAAGTCGTTCGATCAAAGTCGCTCTTTCCGTGGCCTCCAGGTCGTTGCGCCCACACCCTTGTCCATTTGTGAGACGCTCTTTCAAGGTTCGAGACGCGACGAAAAGAGAGACCGCATAGATCAATTTCCGCCGGTGCAAATACTCATGACTGGTATTAATAATAATCTGAGAAAGTAGAGAGAGAGAGAGAAATACGAAACTTAGGAAATCGACTAATAAAAGGCAATGTCACGTCAGAGCCTAGAGAGACTTTGAATTGTCTTTCTCTTACTCAGTCTTCAGACATAGTTAATTTAAATCATCGAAGAAGGTGGTTACGAGAATAAATATATTAAAGTGGAGGTGAGCAAGAAAAGTTCAACGTTTAATACGACGATACTTGCAACTTGTTTGTGATGACCATGACGAACCATTAAAGTCATAACGGCGTCTTAGTTCCTTAATGCTTATATTGTGATCTAGATTATTTCATGCGAAACAGTGCGTGAAAAGCGATGTAGAGATACAAGCATCCCGTGCGTCTTTAATCTTTTATTTAAAAGATCTCTAAGGCCGCCTCAGCTTGAAAATGAATTGTACCGTGTTATTACCGTGACTGAAATGCACAATTAATCATGGAAACACTTTTCAAGTGTGTACATTATGACACGTGTGAGAAGTTTATGCGAACAATTGTATATTTGTTTCTCTTATTTCGGACGAGCGTGTTCTCCGACTTGTGTCGAATTAAGGCGTCGAAATTACGAGTGCTCAAAGAACGAATCACGCGAACTCTAAGCTTCGTTAAACACAGAATCAGTCGTGATTGTTCGATCGTCCATTTTCTATCCACATTATTGACTCTCAGTAAACGCACTCGCAAAGAAGATGCTACAACGATCGAGAGATCGACCTTTCACGCCGAATCGGATAATACTTTCATTGCTTGCGTCTTTTCTTACAGTCTCGTGGTCGTTTTGTTAGCTTCTCCCTCACCCAGTTTTATTTGCTTTCCTTTCTTATTGCGTGCGCTAGCTACTCTCACTGATCTTTAGTTTTACTGTAGCTTAACCTGATTTTTTAATAATACACATTAGCGCGAAGTCAGGCATGATACTCCGACGTGTGGTTATTAATACCTCCGAGTGAATGACAAAAAATTCCACCGCCATTAATACACGTTGCGTATTTAGACGACGTGCAATTTCGCTCGCACTCTCTTCGTACACAAATAATGGTGTTAACGACTTACGCAGAAATGCACGTTTCGTGTATTTTTTGTATTTTGCATGCAGGAGTTACGCTTTATTGCAGAAAGTTCGCACCAGCCATTAGTGTTCTTATTTCACCACATGCTTCTGCGTGTATCGCACGTGACGTCAAAATAGAAAAAGAAGACACACTTACAGAGAAAAGGGGATGATTTTATGCGTCAGCGCCAATAAGTCGCAAAGCGACAATTAATTTGCAGGGGCCAGTTCGTGCGGTTTGTCAACTCGTCAATTATACGTTATCACTTATGCAGCATTCTGATGACAGACATCAGACAACCGAGAACTTTATCGCTCTCCTTTGTTAGAAAATTGATAATGATTCGCGGCAAACGGACCGTTTGCTAAAAAGGTCCTAAAGATATCGTTGAATGTTTCAATTACTGCAAACTGAAGCAATCTGTCAACGCTGTTTTGCGAATACAGTTGCTCTGAAAAGTTACTTTAAGTACCTAATTTTTGGTCAAGTAGCATTTTTCAGCAAGCCTTGAACGATTTCAACAAGTCCGGATGATTCATGATTGCATTTTATTATATCACGTTAAATCCCTCTTTATAACTGCTGAATATCAAATAATTGTTCGTAAGTAAAGTGACCGTCCAAATGACGTCTGTCTCAGTTAAATTTCCCAAGGAAGGAATAAGTTTGGATAAATTTAATAATTACACTTGTGATACCGAAAGAATAATCTGTATGACCTTTTTGCGAAGTGTCACGCAAGGTTTTTCTGCAGTCCGATTGAGGATCGCAAATTTCATGCATCCATTGCCACTGTGGTTCGCGGCCGGATTGAAAGCATGTTCTTATCTCCATTGACTGGTCTTGTAATCTCAGGTTGCAGTTAAGTATATTCGATCAGGCTTGTTTCCGATTTACTAATCGAGTATAGGTGCGGACATTCGAGTCTAGTTTCCACGAGAGCATCAGCTATCCACATGGGTAGGGGAGAGAGAGAAAGCGCCATGTATAAAAACGAACGGTCCATTGGAAGAAATCCGCAGTGTCCCATCATCCGTTGCCCCGTACACGCTCGTATCTCATCACGACGTATTCTGAAAAATGCTCCTTCTACCCTCAGTAAGTAAGAGAGAAAAGGGAAGAGAAAAGAGACCGACGGGTAGAACCGGAACGGGTGCGCGTGGGAATCGCGAAAGCAGAGATTCATGGTGCCCGACTCACTCCTCGCCGGCGCGTGTGAGTTCCGCCTTTACGGCGAACAATAGCGATGGAAAGTGACTGTCGATATTTCCATACTTTCCGCGCGATGCACGGTAGCACTTTGTAGATGCCGAATATCTAGTGGGGCGAGTGATGATACGAATCCGACGAGTCGCCAGCAGCACTCTCTGCGAAGGGAAGAAAGGGCGCACCGACGACAAATGTTTCTAAGTGTTTGCACGCGAATAGAAATGTTCGTCAGCTTTTTCTACCTCGCTCGCATATTCATCGTACAACTCAGTCAATAAGAGTTGTGACAGGCGAGGAACGTTTTAATTTAAATTCATCAGATCTCGAGCAACTTGTCGAGACCATTCAACTGCAATATCGTTTCATTAACTTTCTAAGTCCGTGAAATGACTATAGTCATCGTTACATGTACTCCTCAGTAAGCCGTACGATGCTTTAAGGCATCGCGAAGTTATTCGCGAAAATTTTCATAAAGCAATATATATTTTTGTTTATCTTTTTATTCCAATTATTTAAGTCTTTATGTATAATTTTGTTTTGTACAGAGAATATGCTCGACTTGCTGGGAATTGTAATTAAGGAAAAATTCGTCCGCAAAGGGTTAAAAATATTATATATAGCGAAAAAAAATGTCAACATATAAATTTTGTTTGCTTAAAGTTGATTTCCTTGTTTTACACATTTACGTTGATTTTATGATTTTAAAAGTTGTAATCACGTCATAAAGATAAGAAAGCACTTATTTTTAAAGAATAAACACATATCATTTCTGCTTTCTCAATCGTGTACTCGTTGCTTGTTCATTCTTCTCCGCCATTTGCACTGTAGCAAAAAATTAAGAATAATCATGAATTTGGTTATTTTTCAGATAGTCGTTACATGTTTATTAACGAAAATAACGTTCGCTGGTTTCACGGAAAAAAGTGATTCCGGATGGCACGGGTAAGTAGATGCGGTGTGAGAAAATTTGGTCGTTGTGCTAATTGCTTCCTCCCGTAGCACGTCTCGTCACTAATAACCGTCTTTTAATTTCTTTAATTTAATACAGTGTGTCTAATTACGGAGTCACGAGTTACGGTTCGGGCAACGATATAAACGCTCATCAGGGTCTCTCTTACGGGTCGTTTCCATCTTACGGAAGTGACGGCGAATTTTACGTAGGCCATGGAATTCATGCCGGGAACGTTCAGCAGACGTTCGCACAATCAGTGCCGATCAGCCAGCACGTGGAAGTCACGAAGCCGTTGGTAGTGCCAGTCGTAAAGAATATCGGTGAGATTTTGCAGGCCACATTGCGAATGCAAATGTCGAAATTCTGCAGGTGATAAAAAGCGATTTACGTAAAATGCATAGCTCATGCGCCGAGAATGGAACAAGGAAATGTATTCATTAGATACTTAACGTTGCATTTGTGAATCATCTATGAAAGCAGAATTCATGAGAAACATTCTCATTTATTTGGCCGACACGCGAGCCTCGGAGAGAAGTTGCGGATTTCTGTTCGAATGCTAAAACACGTTGCGAAACTTTGCGGCTTTAACAAGTAAAGTTACGTACTTCACATTGCATCTCCTACCTTCTTAGATAAATGCATGCAGTGTAGATGTTCAAGAAATGAGCATTCGCATAATTTTGGTCTCCCGTTTATCGATAAATAGGTGTACGACTGAAAAGAATTGAACGTTATTACGTCGTAATTATAAACGCGTTGCGTAATTTAACAGGTAAAGAGAGCTAATTAATATTATATCACGAGACATGCTGCAATTTCTCGTTTTGCGTACGTTGTCCGCGACATCGTAGTGACGACCATAGAAAGGAAAGGCCAAATAATTTCTTAAAGTTGGAATTCCGCGTTATTGCAGGTTATTCAACCGTCTTACAAACTTACCCAAAATTAATGTTTCCCTCGATATAAATCCCTGGCAGAATAAAAAATCTGAACTGAATTATCCGCTCCGTGGGAATGATACAGGTGTCCCGGTAGTACAGCCAGTGGCAATTCCAGTGCCCCATCCCGTGGCTGTAGCTGTCCCTCAACCTTATCCTGTCCACGTGCCGATCGCCCAGCCGGTCGCCGTACCGGTTGTGAAGACCATTGCAATCCCGGTGGAGAAGAAAGTGCCGTATCCGGTGGAAAAGATCATACCAGTGCCCGTGGAAAAGGATGTGCCGATAACGGTGGAGAAGCACATACCCGTGCCAGTAGAGAAACCGTACCCGATTCACATACCCGTTTATAAGCATGTTTTCCATCGGAAAACAAAAAACCACCATGGTTGGATACATTGAAAAAAATGCCATGACGATTAGATGAAATTCCCGCACGAGTGATGGCTTGAGAAGCGTCCTTCGTGAACTTAGATAACGCTACGACATCGCAGTAAACTCGCCATGACTACTTTTATTGAGTTATGAGCGCTGTAACGTACTTGCGACTTGTCGTTCACATCATTATATGAGATAATGTAGATAATATATGTGCTCCTCTTCCTATAGGTTATATTTACACTTGCCTTGGCGTGCTCATCCGCTCTCTGCCAAATAACAACCTTATTTAATAAAAACTAAAAAAACTCTATGTGTATTGTGTATATTATTTTCCTATTATTACTTCAGGAAATACCATGAAAGAAGGAGGGCGTACTAGGTGGCGACGGGACGCCGTGCGTTCGGGACCTGCATCTCATTTTTCGTTCCGAGGAGAGAAAAATATCGAGAGCGCGGTAGTCGCTAGACCGGGAATCGGAACCCGGGTCTTTCGCTTGCCGGGCGACTGCTCTAAACCACTGAGCTACCTAGTAAAATGAACGATGAAAATATACGAATAGAGACTCTGTTTTATATGCGTGTGTTTCTATTCATTTCCCAAGTCCATTTCTCTCTTTCCTAATTTTACGTGGCAGTTCTTTTTCTTTTCCTCCGCCGTTCTAAAATATATATACCTCCACCTTTCAATGTAAAATGTTTGATCGCGAAAGTTATTTTTACGTAAAATCGCGCATAATAGTACTTATGTGGAAGCCACGCGCACATTATCATTGTGACATCTATACTTTGGAAGGGTGTATTAAAAGCAGCTTTTCCAGTTCATTACGTAGTTTTCCTTAACGCGAGCATATATATAATTCGTGGACTACATGTCACAAAGACGTGCGATCAATGCTGCGTTGAAAGTCTAGCTTTGGTTGACGTGACTTTGATGTCCGCTTTGGTTTCCATGAGAAAACATCCGTGCATAAGTTGAGACTTATAATGTACGTTACGTGGACGTTCACTTCCTTTCATTTCCGTATAATTTCACAAACACATTGTTATATGAGAGCATAATATGCAATTTTTATTAGTGATTAACTAAAGCAACTTGAGGATTTCTTTCCGCTTATTTGTTAATAATGTATCCTTACGTGTGCTTGTAAATAGATAGCGTGATTAATCGTTGTACGGGGTGCAATTTGTTTCAGATTCTTCGGAAGTAGTAGTCACAGTTCAGTAAACCGGCAATTCATTTCTCTTCCGAGCCTGAAGTAGTCGGTGCATGAGAGTATTCATTATTCCTTGTTAATCCCGCGTTTAATCGAATGTACCTTTAATTTGCAATTTTTAAGAAATCAAACATTTATACGATGACTTGTGTCTCACGACTTTTTTATTGTAATATTTATGGAAATATACTCTTGTAACTTTAATACTTTGTTATTTAAATTTTTTCCCAAGACGACGATGGAATGGTCACTCGCTTAAAACTGTGTTACACGATAAGCGTTATGTTTCGGACAACTTTGTTAGTAAGAATATTCATTCTCTCCTTGCGCGTCCTCCTCCAGAGGAAAATGAAAAATGGAAATCCCAGCGGATTTTTAAAAGTTTCGGAGAAATTCGCCGGCACGCGCCGGCTCTTGAGATATAGATCGGGCTCTTGAGGGCTATCTCTTCTTGTTAATTGCTGTAATAATAAAAGACCATCGCATCACGCACGTATCATCTGCATATTAGTTATGCTCTCTTCACATGCGCAGCTACAAAGTAGCGTGCGCGCGTGTGCTAAAATGGATCTATCGTGTTTCGCGATTAAACTGCTATTTATCACATAACACGTTTAATAATTTCATGACTAGAAGCAATGAGTTTTCAATGACATGCAAAGCGAGGGTACACTAACGCGCTTATCGCGTTGCTGCAAACCTTCCTTATTTTACGAATAATTTTTACGATAAGCGAGAAAGCAACGTGATGGAAAAATTAAACCTTACCTGATACTTTGAAGAAACTTTTGACTAGCTTCGTTACTTGATTAACGAAATCAACCGGCCTCAAGTAATCAAGCCGCGGAATGAAAATAACTGAATGGAACGTGGAGAGTGGCGATTCCGAGACGAATAATTTTGTGAATTTAACAATGTTCGAAATAATACGTCGAAGTGACGGTGTGGTGAGCTGCGTTAAAGCGAACGTGAAAATCTGCGCGTGGACACTCACTGTGTGAAACGGGATAGAAAATGTCTAGTTCGCTGTCAATGTGAAGGCCGCGTGGACATGGTCAATTATTTTCAAGTGCGCGGCGAGCCGAGCGCGGTGAAACAATTGCACCGAGCGGGTGTAATTCGCCTCAGTACGAAGCGAGACGAAATTACATCGTCTACAGTGAAAGGCCCCACAGTATATTAAGACGTGAAATGGCCAAAGATGTATCAGTCGCAGAAGAGACTTGCGCCACCAGCAACGGTGCACCAGCCCAAACACGCGTGCGCCCGAACATGAATAAAATCGTAAGTATATCACACATTCTTAATGAAAACGGAAAGACACCTCAAAGTATAATTTGCACAGTCCGACTCTCCGATTTCGCGCTTCACATTCCTCAACTCGTATTTTTCGCGCCGTAGCTTCAACTGAGACTTGTAACTGTTGCTGTAAAATTGCAATGGCTTTTTTCTTTTCGAGAAAAACGATGCTAAACTAACGGTGTTTCTACGCGTAAAAAAAATAAGGACAAGTTTAATTGATGAAACGGAAAGAGCGAGTCGAAATAAAAATTTTAACATTTATTTATGCTACCGTACAAACTACCTCAGCGAGTTCTCGTCACGTTTCACAAATCAAACGATATGTCTCATCGTTTCACTTTGCTCATTTTGCCACCGCATATAGGTGCTGTTTTCTCTGGTATCCTTGGCCGCGGCCAAGCCGGTGATCGTGAATCAAGACGATGGGCACTACGCGATGCAAATATTCGCTTCATATCCGATTGATCGGTCTGACCAAGAGAGCCTCGGCACTTCCGGCGGCGGTGGCGGTGGCTACGGCGGCGGTGGCGGCGGTGGCTACGGCAGTAGTTACGGGGATGGAAATTTCGGCGGCGGTCACAGTGGAGGAGGTTTCGATGCTGGTGTCGGTGGACACTTAGAATCCTCTGGCGGTCAATTTGACGGAGGTCATCAGGATTTCTCGTCGATCGGTGGCGGTCACGGTGGTGGATTTGATGGTGGTTACGGTGGTGACGATGGTGGTCACGGGATCTCTCTGGACGGCGGGCACAATCAAGTTCACAGTGTTCCCGTCTCCGAGCACATTGAAGTGACGAAGCCTGTAGCCGTGCCCGTCTACAAACACGTCGGTAAAGTATTCTCTTATTGTTTCTTCTTGAGCCGCTCAAGGTTGCATAGAACATCAGAAGTTGCAACACAATAGTTGTCTCATCGTTAACAATTGTGGGAGACGGGTTTGTAATTATTTTCATCCGTTTGCGTCTTCAAAAAGCATGCGTGTTCATAAAATACTTGGTATCCCGTTTTCTTCTTTTTTTAACGCATCGAGATATCTTGAGTACTTTTCTCGTTTTCGTTTTTATTTACAATTTGCATAAATTCCTTTCAGGTGTTCCGGTACCCAAATCAGTGCCGATAGCCGTGCCACATCCAATCGCGGTTGGCGTTCCGCAACCTTATCCCGTGCACGTGCCCGTACCAAAGCACATTCCCATACAAATCGTGAAGACGGTGGCGATCCCGGTGGAGAAGAAGGTCCCTTATCCTGTGGAGAAGCACATACCGATACCCATTGAGAAGCCGGTTCCCATTACGATCGAGAAGCACATTCCCGTCCCGGTCGTGAAGCCGTATCCCATTAAAATTCCCGTGTACAAAACCATTTACCATCACGCGAAGAAGGGCCATTAGGAGCATGCCCGAGGAGAGAGCCTGTGGGTCCTCATGGCGAGGAGAAGAGGAACGCGATACCTTAGTCTAAAAGTGACCCTTATCCGACCCACGAGTGAATTTCGTAGATTGATCTTAGATATGTTCAGAGATCGTCAGATGGCTAATTTATTAGGCCACTTTGAAACATTTCGATTCTGAATCACCTGATTTGAAATCTTGGGGAAATAACTACGCGCGCTTGAATATTTTACCGAGACACTAGGATTATTTCGGGTCCGATTTAATCGTACGCACCAGCTTCATTTCAATCTTACGCAATAGTATATGTTACCACCGTGATAAAAGTCGGTGTGCAAGGACCGATCAACTCGCGTCGAAATGAGGGACTAACACTTTCCATCATTGTAATTTGTAAACGCAGCGCTATTCCGCTGCCGATAAGGAGAAAGTTCACGAAAAAGCGTTCACGTTCGTTCCGATGATCGCATGCTTGTCGACTGCGATTTGTTTTACTGTTTTTGTATATAATAGATAACCGCATCAAGAGTGTCGATATAAACAGCGCATTGATGAGTTAGCTTTTTTAAATGTTTTTGTTCTCGTTTTTAAATAAAATGCCTACAAAACCACATGTTTCTTTCTCTTTCTTGTTATTCTTGTCCAGTGAAAGTTCGCCGACGATAGAATTTTTGTCACGTTCATAAGTACATCAGAAAGTGCATGAGTAATTTAATAAATTAAAGCAATGATCTCACCCGAGCTTAAATGCAATTAAGGCTTGTACTCGTTATTTGCGGTAATGACGAGCGATTCGAAACATTCGCAGCAGCCACGTGATGTGTATAGATGTCGTAAACTTTTTTTCTTAATTAGTGAATAATTGGCTTATTTTGTTTCCACATATTAAATATTTCTGAGCTGCAAAAATGATAATTTACGCTACATTATTATTTTGTTTTCAAATTACATGTCGATTTGTTTATAAACTTTTCTAAATTATCAACAAAGAACCAAACGCTTCCTTTCCTGGTTTCTTATAGCCATGTCTTTATCGGCATGCGCATAAAGTTATTTTAATACATAATACAAAATATATTTTTAAATATGAGAAGTGGTTAATTTCAGCATTTTAACAGAATTGCAGATTTGTAATTCTAATAGCAATATACTAATCAAACATACATCGATTGTAGTTTCATGTACGTTTCGCTGCAAAGCGTAGAGCGATAGAGACGGTGGCTTTCACCATGATTTTCGCCAAAAGCGCCGAGAATTCTGTGGAAAGTGAACGTTAGACAGATTGATTCATTCGTGATGGACAGGACCATCGTAATTGCACGCGGTAAATCATCCATGACATTGAGAAGCATTATTGCGCTCAACGAGATCCGAAGAATTTAATGATTCCTGCACTTCGTAATAAGAAACGATCGATAAAACGATCAGTAATAATTCATACAGAACAAGTCGATAATATCATAAGTATAAGCAGATATATAAAAATTTACATAAGAACGTTTAGCGAAACGTACAAGTCAAAAAAGTGTGTTGAAGATGAGGAAAGAAAAGGTGAGTTGACTGATCGCGTAGGTACTGACGTCGTTACTGACGATTAAACATTAGATGTTACGCAAGATTGGCGAATGGTTAGTTCCACAATCCACGGCGACTTGTACAGTGAAGGTGTGGGGTATGATTCCAAAGAATAGTGGGGTTGCTTGCTCCTCTGTGCAGACGGTATATAAGTTGACGACGAAAAGAATCTGCCCCGAGTAGACGTCTTATTCATGGACGATAGAGACATTTCTTAGCTGCGAGATGAAAACAATTGTACGTTTGTAAAAGGCCGTTCCAGTTAAATAATCAATTCAGACGCAGAAGTAAATAGTCACGTTTAATGAAAATTATCTCAACACGATCTTCGACTGCCTGGATATTGAGTGAATCAATAAAATTCTGTGTGATCTGTGCGGCGAACATTTGCTTTCGAATTTATGTATTATTTTTGTTCTCTTTGAAATTCCAGTGATCTTTAACGTTTGTTATTTAAGATTGTGCTGTTTGGAGTTGTCACCTTCTCCTGTTGCTCCAAGTGGGACTTTGGAAACCACGACGGGCTCGGAAATGGGCTTACGTTGGGAGAAATTTCTTTAGACCATCATGACTTGGGTGCTTTCAGTCTGGGAAAAACAGGTTTGGTTGTTAGCATTTTCAGTTGGTCGTTAATTACATCTTTCATCTTTTTTCACCATTATAATAATAAGTATCGCCAGATACAAATTTGCAACGGTGATTAAACATTTTTGGACTGTCACACAGACTCGATAAGTGGTCGCTGATATATGGCTTTGAATTTTAGACGGTCATTCTTTAGATCTCCTGGAAGATCATCAGATAATTTCAAATAAAGCCAGTGGATGGCACACGGATACCAGCAGTTTTCACGGAGGCCATGTAATCCCTGTTTATAAGAATATCGGTAGTACAAATTAACTTTATTATTAACTTATTATTAACTTTATCAAAGGGTGCCGACATATTTACGATTTATTAACGTTGACAAAACTGTGCTTTAGATCAAGAGAAGAAGAGATATTTATGAAAAGATCCGAGAATAATTTGAAAAGATTGAGCTCCCTAAATAATAATTATTTGCACAAGAGCAATTGATAATGATAAAAAATAGATATTGTCGCATCATGATATATTGCTACGTCTCAAGTTCCATGCATATATTAGCATATTACTAAATAGCGATAAGATTCAATCAAGTTCACATTATTTTATCTTGTTTATTCCTTCATCACATTTTAAGATAGCTGAAGCAATTTATATAAATTATTTTGAAATTATCTCTCGTCATGTTTTTTTTATCGTACATGATAGGAATACCGACGATCAAGAAAGTTCCCGTGAGTATTCCGCATCCAGTGGTGCAAACGGTCGCACAGCCTTACCCTGTCCCTGTGGTGATATCAAAGCCTGTACCATATGAGGTTACTACGCGATAATTAACTCAATTTCACAGCAAAATCACTCGCCATTATCTCACTGAAATCGGACCGCTCTCTTTCCAGGTGGAGAAGCAAGTAATTACAACAGTTGAGAAAAAAGTACCGACGCCCGTCGAGAAAATAATTCCGGTTCCGATCGAGAAGTTGGTGCCTTTTCCCGTGGTAAAACATGTGCCCGTGCCAGTCGCAAAACCGATTCCGATCAAGATTCCAGTCTACAAGACCATTGTTCACAAAGTCAAAGGTCATGGATAATCTGCGTTACTAAGCTGCTTTACAAAAATACGACCATTGTTATCATTGTTGTTGTTGTCGACATCCCTTTTGCGTTATATATATCTCTCTGATTGAACATCGAACACGCGCGTACACGATGCATGAAGAATAAAATATTATAACATATATCATTTATTGAAGTGTTTAGCAGTAAAGATATAAATGGCTTTATTTTATTTTTCATCTAAAAAATGATTGTTACATCACTTCGATTTTATGGGAAAATTCTTGTACTTATAAACAAATATAATCATAGATGTTAATTATGTATATTTTACTGTCTTTGTACTTTGTATTAAATATATATACCAAATGTGCCCAATCTTGCATTACTATTATAAATCATTGTCTTCTGTATAAATTGGGAGGTGATTACGGTTGAAAATATTTCTGTAATTGAGATCTGATTTATATAATTGTTTAATTTACCTGATATTAAATTTCAATATCGCACGCGATAAACAGCTGCTGCAGCGATTTGTTGAATTTCCAATGAAAATATGAATCGTTTTGCGAAAAGTGAAATTGCCGAGCAGAGAACTGAAATATTATAATTGAAGTGATAAAATCTCGGTAATTGGACTTACTGGTTGATATCTCGTAGTAAATTAAAGTGAGATGTTAACGGCAGCCGAATACCGCGTTCGTCACTTTTACGATCTCGTATGATCATCATGAATTCCTGAGATTCGCGTTAGGGATTATAAAAACGTCAATTTTCTAAATAGTTCACCGCATGCTAACCGCCGTGGAGATTAGTCTAGTTAGAGTATAATAAGCGACGCGTACAAAGTTTCACCGTTCAAATTATTCCCGGATAAGCGTCGGATCTACATTCTCAATGAACGCGTATGCTGCACAATCGTCTGATCTGCTCCACCTAACTTGGAAATATTGGAGGTATGAAATGATGCGAGACGACTCGAGGCGACACTCGTTCCCGTACAACGAGCAATGTGTTCCAGTTAATCCATGACGTTCCTTATTACATACGAACAATTCTACAAAGTAATTAATAATACGATCAGATATCCGTGTGAACAATTAATTATCTACACTAAAATCGCTCGTCTTTTTTGAAATATTAATCCGCGTGTAATAAAGTGCATTAATGTGAAGCTTTTTATTTACTAATTAATATCCCAAGTGCTTCTCTATGCTAAGAATACAACCTTCCCTGTATTTTTATTCATTAATTTTACATATTAATAATATAAAAAGCAGGAAGCATCTGCGTACTTGTCTATACTTCACTTTCTATCGATATCATAATTAATACCTTAGACAGTATCAAAATGAGCGCATATCATAACGTGAGAGAACTTTACGCGGAAAGTTTGACGTTGAAAGTGAAATGCAAATTCCATTCTCTTTTACCCCTTGATATCGTGGAAAGTGAAAAGGATTACGTTTCATGGGAGCTTACATTAATTAATATTTCAATTAAGGGGCGAGCGTTAAATTAGAATAAAAGTAGGTGCTTTCGAATTGCAATATTTATGCAACAGAAATATTTTATTTTGCTCGAAAATATGGTGGTATGCTTGAAAAAGAAAAGAAGCAGGCAACGATGGAAAGCAATGAATGCACGGCCACGATGAGAAAAAAAGAACTAGCAGCGAAAGGGAAGTCTATAGAATGCTTCTTTCTCCGATCGTAATAGTCTCAATCGTTGTAAAAGGAGGAAGAGTGATTTTTTGCTACGTAACAATTCCACATTAAAAAAGAAAAAAAGAAGTTAAAATGGTTTAGTGTCTGGAAAGATCTCGAGATAATTGCGGTCGCATATCTTATTCTTTCACTTCCGAGTATTCACATTTCGGATTAAACTATTATAAGCCCATTAAGTTCATTAAGCCATTACAATCCTCGCGCTTTAATGACACGAAAAGTATAAAAAAGAAATGAAATGTAAGAACTGTGATTTCAGCTCATTTTACCCCTTAAATCGATTTGCATTCTAATCGTTCAGTAAGTACAGTCTCATCCTCGTAAGCGCAATGACGCGCAATTACGAGCGTGTAGTGTCATAATACCATGTTTCCGAGCTCGAAAGGAGATCGATGCTCTTTAATCACGGGAAAGCCGATCGATCGGGCAAATTTGAAGATCGATGTGCTGAGTAGGAATAAGTAACCTCGGGCAGCTCGAACAAGGAAGGCGCATGTTAATATTTAATACACAATCACCGCACCAATCGGCTGTTTCCTCTTGTGGCGACGCGATCGCGGTGATTGTCGGCAGAGCAAATCGACTTTGAACTTTACTTTCGCCGCGGGCTTTTTTCCCACCACGGGCTTCTTTCCTTGGCTTCCTTTTTCCACATTACTACCGGCGGATTCATTGACTTACGCTCGTTATTTCGACGAGTCCGTTGGAGGGGAATTATGAGTTTCACGGCGAGGTTCTATTATCGCAAATGACCATTATGAGAAATCTTCTACCACATTACCTCACCTCCCGGAGGAGCTCTATATCTCGAGTACGAAACTGAATAAATGTTTATATATCGAAATTCAAAATACCTCCGTTTTTATACTATCGAATAGGTCGATCAAAAACATTTTCGTATTTCTCTCTTGAGCTTCATTTATTACACTTGGGTAAAATGTAACGCAATATTTTTGAAGCTCTATAATGTCTCACAATTTTGTTTCTCTAATATATACTTTTCACAATTTTTTCGAAAGATATATTTTGATTTTACCGTTTTGTTACTTTATTTATGAGGTTTCTAGTTGATCTCGATATGAGATAATAGATTCCGAAAAATTTAGACCATGAAATTGCAACATGCAATGATAGTAAATAATAATGGACATGTAAGTCAATCGAAGTAAACGGCGAGGGCTTCTGTCAGTGTCAAGGAGCATGACCGTCTAGATTAACACTTTCTAATGCCGAGGTTGTAGGTCGGGGCTCAGTCGTGGTTGTTGCGCCATTAGTACACACCGAGAACAATTGAGATCGCATCGAGACCGGGTCTGTGAACCCCTCTGAGTGACAGATCGTGAGTTTCTGCGATCGTGGGTTCATTCAATTTTCCACGAGAGTAAATTAGCGATATCGTCTCGCCATCGACATTAATTGAGATGGTCTGTGAGTCTCAGAGTTGTCTCAGAGTTTCTCCGTGCATTAGGAACGTGTATTTCCTTCCGGCAAATTCGCCGTGTGAATTAATTGACGGATGCAAAGTCCGAAGAGTTATCGCAATTATTTAAAAATATAAATATACATAGGAGTGGAACATTTTCATCGTTCAGTGTTAGATTTTAGATAAAATTGAACTACAAGATGTATGACGACGGATCGTCTTTCGGTCAATTTTACTTTTTATTTTTAACTGGAACTTGCGATTCACAAACAAACTCTGTTATTTCAAAGAAGAATTTACTCATTTACAAACTTGTGTAAATTATTTCTTTTCATCGTGAATATTTATTAGTGGATATTTTGCACTCCACGTTACCAATTTATTTTTAAGCTTACGCTGCCTTTCACAGTGGTCTTCCGATCAGTGCGCAATATTCCATCCGGGACCCTTTCACGGGGCGTTGTGTTTCATACTTTCATTCTGACGCACCGAAAAATGTATCGTCTTTTAACGTTTCTCCCCGTACAGCAATATACTTCACGTTCACTTCCTGATGAGTCCAAAAGCCTCGCATAGAGGGAACTACCTCGCCGCGGGTCTATCGGACGAGTTATGCATTCATGTAAGTGAGCGGAAGTCGAATTCATATATCCGTTGGGCGCACCTTTCCTGTTCACCGAACCGAATCGTCGTGGCGAAAAGATCTCCGACGAGTCACGGTAGATTTTGTCTCGAGGAAATCAATAGTCCGAGTAACGACCGAATCATCTCGCTCAGTTCACTCGCACAAATTCGTATTCACAGTCGTATGCATGTAATTTAATTTACGATCACCCTGTTGAAATTATATCAGCATATCTTTGGGATAGCGCATGCACGAAGCCTTCACTTCCGGTAAACGGAACACACCATGCGCGTTTGCGGTTGCCCGTATGTACCTTTATAATTTTCATTCGCTCCAGGGTATCTTACGGTTTGCACAGTTGTTTGCCTTTCCCGAGTATGGATATATAACGAAACCCGGAAGACTCTCTTGAGATGCTTGTTTCATTCTGTTAATTGCGTTGTACTACCGTGTTTATCACACAAAAAGAATTAGAAGCGGCAGTAAACGTTCCTTAATTCGACAATAAAAACGCATGTGTCGTACAATAGCAACTACTAGTTTTGCAGATTGCAACATGTATAATTAATTTCTACTATGATGATCTACTTCTACTTCCCGGCAAAAACACGACGCAATTAAAGGAAAATCTCCTGCACGTATATGTGCGTGACTGAATATAGTAATCTTCCCATATTGATTACTACAATAAAGCGTAGAGTCCTCTTCAGGCGAACAATGCTGCGCGATGTGAAATATAGTGCGCTATATCCTGGAAAGAACGGAACTCAATCGCAGGATATTAGTGAAAGGTGGTGGAATTGAAGTATATAAGCTGGATCTTTAAGCTACTTGGTCACTCAACGCTCGATTCCACGTGTTTGCACTATCATTAGCCCTTCTCTGTAGAGTATCGACATGAGTCAAATTGTAAGATCCGGACGTTATATGCGACATATGTGTTATTTTGTGTCAAATAGTGTTACTTTATTTAACGAAACAAAGTGGTAGTTTAAGACGGACGAATTGAATTAAATCAATTGGAAATTATTTGATAACATGACGTGTTTAAATATTTTGAGAATCAAAATTATTCTTAGAAATTGGAGAAATATATATTTCTTTTCTTTATTATTTATTTTAGTTATTATATATGTATTTGTATTTTAGGGATTGTCAACACACACACACACACATGCGAAATTAGTAGAAATTTTCCAATATTTTTTAAGTTGCAATATTATTGTGTGAACATTAGCATCTGAAAATTTCCGATACCATACAGATACAGAGCGATAAGCAATTTGAAATTGCAGATCATCTTGTTGGGTCTCGTGTCGTTTAGCGGCATAGCGTTCGCTGGCTTTGAAGAGGATCATGGTGGTTCGACGTACGAAGAGAAAACAAAGCCCGTGGAGATACCGATAATCAAGAAATACGGTGAGCTAATATTTCGTGAAACATTAATTTGAATTTATTCATCTCGCTGGCCCATTCCTTTATATTATATTGGACAGTTCCTTTGTATTTATACGCCCTAGTTAAAAAATTGCTGGAAATATAAATAACATTCTGTATTTTCATACTTATGTCGAAAATGAAATACGTTAAATCTAAAAGCTTTGTGTGTGTAAAAGGATATGTAATTTTACATCTTGTTTCAGCGATACCTATTCCGCATCCCGTGCCCGTCGAAGTGCCAAAGGAGATTAGAATACCAGTGCCTCAACCTTATAAAGTACCAATTGAAATTCCTCATCCGTATCCGGTCGAAGTAGTGAAACACGTCGAGATTCCCATTGAGAAGCCTGAGCCTGTCATTGTAGAGAAGCAAGTAAGTTTAGTCGTCATCTCAATTTCCAATATCTCTTTACTCTATTTATTCTGTTCTAAACCTATGCTGTGTAACGCAGAAGTGGAGTCAATGTCGCTTTTACGACGCAGACGATTACAAGCTGTGTTAACACGAATATATCAATTCTGTCTTCTTTCTAAAATGATAACTCTCAGTGTCACCAAACAGTGTACATCCTATGTGTAATTTTTTATTCGTTTCGCAGGTGCCTTACATCGTCGAGAAGCCATACCCTGTCTACGTAGAGAAGAAATTCCCCGTGCCAGTGGCAAAACCCTATCCTGTTCACGTTCCGATATACAAACACGTGGTTCACTATACATCCAAGGGTAAAGGATGGCATTGAAATTTTTCAATCATTAGATCAAAATCGTTTGCGCGCCGACAAGTCTAGCCTGGATAACTCGATTTTGGCCGGAACGATCATACATTAACAGAAATTTCTTGCGAAGCTACTACTAGAAGAATCCGCTTCCGCAAAATCATTTAAATAATTATATAATCGCCTCTCAAAGATTTATCGTTGACCGAGAAATGTTGTAATAGCGTGTGCTGGAGAGCTTGACTTCAGGCTCGTCAATCTATCAATCTGTCGCCATGTAGATAATTTGTTATCCGTTTTCTTCACCGTTGTTAAGTTTTGATAGGTTCCCTGTGAAATATCTACTCGTTTTTAAGCGTTTGTTAATAAACGATTTTCATTAAAAGTGTCGTATCGCTCGCCGATTGAGACGTCAGTTGAGTTGGAGGGAACGCGTCACAATAAGTCGTGATACGTAAACATAATGGCACTATATCGGACGTGCCACTATGCATGACGTATCACATTATTCGTACTCAGCTATCCGTGTAAAAAACGTTGGAGAAGCGGAAGCTCCGGAGTCTGAGCGACGTAATGATCGCAAATAACACGAAACTTTCGTATCGCTCTCGTATAGATTCCGCGTGACTTCTTCCTGCACCTGCACAAAGAGCCGGTACAGAGAAAGAAAAAATATGCGCGTGTGTGTGTAATCTGCTATTTCGTTTCTTCGTCGAGGACACGATTACGATCGGCTAGAAGAAAGAAACCGGCCGCTGATCCGGAGGAGTTGTGCGCGATCTCGATTCGCCATAATGAGCGCGGTGCGCGCGTTCTTGTTCTTACACCAACGTGTGAAACCACTTTTACTTGGGATGTACTTTCACTGTTCCGCTCGGCGATACGGATAGCATCGTGCGCGATTTAAATCTTCAGATCAGTCTCACTCCCTCTCGCTGCCGCCGTTGCCGTCGTGCAACCACACCCTCGATGCCTTTCATAAATCGATATCGCAGCGGGCATATCCGCGGCGATCCGCGCTGGAAATCCGCGGATGCTTTTCCCGATCGTCGACGAGTCGCGATGCTTACGAAATATTTTTTGCATGCGGTGCAGACAGCATTCTTTGTCCCTAGAGATTGGTGGCAAATACCGAACATCCGCTTGCTTATCGTCCGTGAAAACTACCTTGTTATTCCGCGTCGCTCGCGGCGAAGCGCGAAACGCTCCGAAAAGAAATCCGCGTTGTCGTTTCATTGTTATTTATGTGAACGCGAGCAAAAAAGCAGCTCGTTATATGTAAAATGATGTTAATTTATTAATGTTGCGCTCTTCTCGTCGTTATCGATATAGCGGTAGACCTGTATGACGTTTCCTCAGCCGCATGAGTGTTGGAATTTCGGTGAATAGCAATCATGCAACGTTTATTCACAGATTGTTGAACAAGCAAACTAGACCATGACATTACCACACTTATTCTGATCTTTTATCTTTGTCTTTCGTCGATACACGCAACTCGCCATGATCGTGAAAGAACGGACGATGTCGGAAAAACGATTGCATGCGCCAGCGCCGGAGACTCTCTCTCCTGAAACCTGAGAACCGTCTTATTGCCTGCTTCATGAGAGGAAGAATAATCTTCGTATGATACATGTATATACATGTGTATATATATATATATATATATATTTATATACAGGTGGTGATCAATGAGAAGAGTAAGTCACTGTGGTATCGTAAAAATTTTAGCGATGACTGATACGTCTAAATCGTTGTAAAAATTTAGGACTGTTTCATTAAACAGTGTGTAATTCAAAATTACGTTACATATTACTTGCCTCACAAAGAACGAGAATAAAAAATTTTCTTTATACGCTATATGTTTTCTTCTTTCACATCTGACTTTTAAATCAAATTCAGTCCAATAATTCTCCCTGATATGTATCCATAATGAATCTCCTGTTTATTTTAGACAGTTATCGGAAATCGTATCTAAATAAAGATCTACCCAACAAAATACAAAAGGAAAAACAGGAATCTGCTTTTTTTATTTGATTCTTTTATTGTTCATTTCTAATTTGATTTTAACTTCAACTTGAAGAATTGGATTTTATCAATCTTGGTGTCCAATTCTTTTCAGTTAATACTTTATACTGCATAATATTTATATTTGCGCACGCTATACGGAGAGTCATTTTATCAACACGTGCAATTAGTAATTTCTGAGAAGATATATGCTCGTCAAATATAGTTCCGTTATGGTATCCAAGACTGGCGCGACGGTGCTAATTAGAAACGATTACTTCGTCGTTACTGCTACGCTCTACGACGTGTGCTACCGCCGTAACAACGTAACTGTTTGTCTGCATGTGCGATAGCCAAGAACATGACGGGAATAATTAATAAACAGCAGATAGCTTGTTATCTAGCCAGGGATTCTAGGTGTGCGAGTATACCACAATTTATTCACCTAACATGTGGTTTTGGTCATTTAGTTTGCGCATTCTAAAGTTAGTGAATGTCAGGAAGATTGGAGGCTGGAACGCTCTCGAGATTGTCGTTGTATCCATGCAGACATACGCAGCCGGCGCTTACATGTACAGGCGTGCAGCTGCACACAGAGGCCAGTTGGAGTCAACGTAATGAGGAGAAGGGAGAAAGTAGTCTCGGTATATAAAGAGTTGACCGTGACTTTGAAAGTATCATAGAATCTGTTGCGCGCTCCACGGACAGATATCGCAATAACTGATTGTCACGGCAAGTGCAGTTTCTTCTCGTCGCGCGGGCTCAAAGACCATGAGACTGTTTGTGAGTACTTTTCGAAAGAAACCTTAGATCGAGTGACCTGGAGTATCACTGCACGTGCTTTTAATCTCGATTCTCACGTCGTTGTATACGTTAGACTTCTAAATTAAAAGCGAGAACGAGAGAGATTGTAGTTAAAGTCAGTACGCAGCTAGATGCTCTTTGTAGACACGAATGTTTCTTTTATGGTGGACGACAATCATACGCTTGCATTTATAACCAATTAAGCCTTCACTCTACTTAATCCCTCGTGTAAAAATGAGAAAAACAGATCTCATTTTTCTCATGAAAGGTAATGTCACAATTAAGCCGGTGTAAATATGGCAAGGTTGCAATTAGTTATTTATTACGAAATTGCTTACGCTTTGCGCGACACCATTCCGAATATGGCTCGCTAAGACGGCTAAGAGGAGCGAGTTATCCGCGCGTTGGGCTGGATAACTGTGTCGTGAAACTATTGCCAGAAGAAGAGTACAGAAATAATCGCGGAGAAAGTGATTAGTATTTGCCGTGATGACAAAGTTCTCAAGTTTAACGATAACACTTGTCTTTGCAGATATTAGTCACCATGGTGGCCATGGTGTGGGGTTCCTACGAGGAGGAGCACGGCAGCACCACATATCACGAGACGTCGAAACCTGTGGAGATACCGATTTACAAGAAATACGCGATACCAATCCCGCATCCGGTCCCGGTTCCGGTGCCTCAGCAAATTAAGATTCCGATACCTCAGCCGTATGAGGTTCATGTCGCAGTCCCACACCCGGTCCCCGTGGAGGTGGTCAAACATGTCGAAATACCCGTGGAAAAGCCAGAGCCGTACATCGTCGAGAAAAAGGTTCTTGTTAACAAACCGGAAAAATGTGAAATATCATCGTGACGATATTTTGGAAAATTGCAATTTTTAACTTTGTCCTCATGTTCCCCGCAGGTACCGTACGTCGTGGAGAAACCGTACCCGGTGACGGTGGAGAAGCACTTTCCAGTACCGATACCCAAGCCATATCCAGTTCACGTGCCGGTGTACAAGCATGTTTTCCACCACCAGAGCTCAGGACACGGCTGGAAACATTGATCCCGACAGGCCTGGACTCTCTTCAGTACTTTATGCCAAAAATAGCGACAGAGCTACACGCGAGAGAGCAACGGTAGATCGTAAGCGTTGTGATGTCTGTACATAGTTCGTTGTTGTACGTGTAATGTTATGTTTGTCTAAATAAATCATTCTTTTGCGTACACGCGATCTCTAATCACCGCCTTCCCACGAGCGAGCAGCGCGTCGACTGTACGAATCGAATGAATCGAAGCACGGGATGCTTAAGCAAGTGCTTCCAACGAGAGATTCTTAACCTGCGCAGCAGGTTTTTCGGTCGGATAATCGCATGGCTGTCAACCGCCGCATGGTCTGTTAAAAATGCCCAAATCACGTCCACGATTTACGGTCTCGAGCGAATTTCGCCCCGGTAGCGATTAAACGCGCGCCCGCGACTAGCACGTAGTAAATACATCAGGCGTGTCTGATTTTTTGTCAAACCGAGAATGCATCCGTAATCACCGTAAATTACGGGCACCGCTGTTCCCACGGGCGACGCCCCGAGCGATCTGTCGCGTTGCGGGCTCCCAGTTGTGTCGGCGACCTGGCATGTCCACCATGTCAGTGGTAAATGACGACGAATAATGTCAACGCGACGTAACGTGTCGTGCCATGCCCAAGGTGCAGCCTCTTGCGCCGCTGCAGAATTTATTCAGGAAATACCGGGGCGCGAGCAGTTGCATCATAGGCCTGGCGACTGCTTTTTACACCGCTTAAGGGAATCACATTCGCGACTTCGGCTCGTCGAGCAAGAAACCTGCCCTCTCTAAGTGGAGCAAAAGTTTATAAAACCGAGGACTGCGAGCGACGCGCCTCTAGTTTGGTCCACGACTCCCGATCTATTGGTCATCTAGCACGACCCCAGAAATAGCAGGAAAATGTTCAGAATATTGGTAAGCCGATATCACGCCGGGAGAATGAGTAGGGGTGATATCTTCTCCATTTTCGAACGTCTAGTTCCAGACTTGTTTTAGCATTTTGGTGCCTCAAATAGGCTAAAACTAAATTTATCGACAAACCACCATCTTTCACTTATATCTCGTACATGTTATTATTCAATATTAAATAGAATTTGAAGAAAACAATTGCAGGCTCATTGCATCCTATAAGAAAAAGATGATTCTTCGTTTCTCGTACATTTCATCTCAAAACGTAAACTTGCTCTTTAGTTTCTCTCTCTCTCTCTCTCTCTCTCTCTCTCTCTCATTTCAATTCAGCGAGTGTCTTTCTCACGAATCCTTTAACAATCAAACCTTTACATGTCTTCAGGTACTATGCTTGATATGGCTGTCGACGGTGAGCTCGGAGGCCGGGATGGACATGACAAGCGAATCGCTGCTGGATAAAATATCGGACATCTCGATGAAGGTGAAAAGAGAGGCTCACCAGCCTTGCGGACCGGTCTACCCGCATGTTCCCGCTTTCTCACCGCCGCCCGTTTACGTGAAGCCCTATGTCCAGCAGACCTACCTGAAAAAGGAGTTGGGCGTCCAGCCCTTGGCTCATTTCCAGTACTCTCAGCCCTCTTACACCTCCGTGGTGTCGAAACCGGTGATTTCGTATGTAAAGCCGGTGACTCCAGTGCTGAATTACCAAACGCTGCACCAATCGGCCTCGTATATCAAGCCCGCGATGCCAATCTACGAGAAACCCATGCTGCCCTACGCGCCAGTCTACCAGAAGCCGTTGTACTATGCACCCACGTATCAGAGTCCCATGTACCATGACGTAATGCCGAAGATATTCGTGAAGAAGTACGAGGCCCCCGTCGCGCCTGTCGTCTACCAGAAGCCACTGGTTCACGCACCTATCCAATACGCCGCGCCGAAAGTGCTGCAGCTGCCAACGCCGCACGTGTCCTACGTAAAGCCCGTGGTTCACACGCCGCCTGTGTATGCCCCGCCGCCCGTACATAATTCCGTTATAGTTAAGCCTCATTGTGTGTAAATCGATCGCACGTTAACGCAGATATCGACGTACGAGGGGCTTGCCCGAACACACAAGCCCCGAAACGCGTCGAAGGTAAATGATTGGCACGCAACACCGCCGACTTCCATCGATCCGCACTCTGTGAGCTGATAGTAAAGTAGATACGAGATGCAAAATTACAGATCGTATGTGAAAAATCGCAATGGAAAAGTATAATCATTTGTATTGCGCCACATCTCTCGAACTTCGCTTATTAATATGAGAATATCGGTTACCAAAATGAAAAAAGAGACGTATCGTATCGGATTCGATGCAAAATTAATGTAAAGTATGCAATAAAATCGTGTCCTTTTCAATCCATCATCATCGAACTGATTCCTTACAAATCATGCCCCGTAATTAATTTTACCTACAATTGCGACTCGTCAAAGATCTCTCAGCTCATACACACGGAACTTGGATTTTTGTGTGATCAAAGTCGGTCATGATGTTATTCTTTATGCGTTTTGTAAGTTTGGAAATAAATAAGCTTTATGCTGGTATAATATTCTTAATTATTTCATCATAAGGTTAATGATTCGTAAAAAAAACTATTGCTAAACTATTTGGATATTTTTTTATCTAATTGCTAAAACTGCAATCATATCTCTTCTATTTTTACGGTCTATTGTTCGTTATTACTTATACTTTACTCCGTTGCTCTTACCCTAGCGAATTTTCCCAGGTATTGTGGAACATGTAACATTCGTAGTTTATGAAACCGTCTTGAAACGCTGTAATTCAAGTAAAAGCGATGACGGAATGTGAGTAACGATTTCTTAAAGGACAGATTATTATTATCATCATCGATAATATCATTTCGCTTCAGCGCATTATGTTCAGGCCGAGTACATTGGCGGATAGGTAAGTATTTAATTTTGTACTTTCATTATATGGCTATTTTCTTCTCCGTGAGTTAAATATATGTTTGCCGCTTTAATAAAACCGGAATATAAGCGCGTCGATTGTGCGAAAATTAACCACACGGGCTGATACTAAAATGAATTGTAGATCCGACGACAGCGAGCTTAACAACCCATTCTCGAGGATTTCGAAGAATTGTAGTTTCGTCACACATATACACGACACCGCTCGACCGATTGCACAACTCGACAATGAAATGGCGAAGTATCTCGTCGTTTTGAAATAGCACACACGTGCACGCTTGCGGGCGTAACCTGCCGATTTTCCCATACCCACGTACAAGCGCGCTGTATCGCGTCCACGCGAGGATCTACACCATGAAACACGATTGTAAACATCCGTCCGCGGTGCATAATATTCACATGAACTTGCGTAACGTTCCACGGCTACCGTTGTATAAAATAGGGGACCATGAGAAGACGCCTTCAGTGGAACCGACCGAGCGTTCGAAGTGGATTCATTATGAGATACTGCGTGAGTGAATGTTGGAATTTTAAAAAGTGGGACTTCAATTCATGAAACGATTCTTCGTTCAAAGTCTATTCCATTCTCATTCATCGAAATGATCGAACGCGTTTCGAATCGAATATGGCTATTTTTCGATTTGCACTCAATTTATCCACGAATGATGGAATCGCAAAATTTAAGCCATCCTCTATTCTTTTTTTCTCTACGAATCGCAACGAGAAGTGAGCACAAAAATAAACTTACTTATTCCTATTAAAGCGTTACAGCTTGCCACTGCGTTTGTATATATTAACGTTCAACGTCGAATCGATCAAATGGAGCAAATCTAATGCAAAGAGATGTATGCGAATTAAAAATCATTTAGCCTTTAGCATGGACAACGTAAAAATTTCAAAGGATGCGAGATTTCTTCATGACGAATCTCAATTTGTTACGTTCCAGTTGTACTTTTTGCTGGTCGCTGTCTGCGGGGCGAAAAGATTAACAAGGGGAGTGGATGATGTGCATTTTCCGAATTTTCGAGCGGTTTACCACGGCCATGGTGCGAGCAGTTATCAAAACGTGCAGATTGACAATCACGACAGTATACTAGTGCCCACAAACTACGTGGACCAAGCGGAGGTTCAAGATCTGATGCACGCATACCACCAGGCAGTGATCGTCCCGATTGAAGAGCCTCAAAATGATATAGATCACATCGATGTAGCCGATTCAGGTATCGCAATCGAAAGGCGTATAAAATATAATTTGCACATTTTTCTTTCGTGTTAAAACTGAGTGAAAAATATCGTTAAGAAGGAATTACGAATAATTTGACGCGTTTCTTTCAGCGCCTTATGAGGAATTTATCGTTGGCGAGCTCAAATCCGACGCACTCGAGCACTATTTCGATCACCATGACGATGAACACAATTATAAATATCATTTATGAAAATAATTTAAAAGATATTACGCTCGGCGGAGCATTATTACTCCTTTCCATTATTTCTATTGGTTAATGTGTAATGATTAAAATTGACGCACAATAAAAATCTCAGGAATTGTACAAATCTACTCTGGGTATGTTGCTAGGTAATCCTTTTAATAAGACAGGGAGAGACAGGGAGTGACAGGGAGAGACAGGGAGAGACAGGGAGAGACAGGGAGAGATAGGGAGAGATAGGGAGAGACAGGGAGAGGCAGGGAGAGACAGGGAGAGGCAGGGAGAGACAGGGAGAGACAGGGAGAGACAGGAAGAGATAGGAAGAGACAGGGAGAGACAGGGAGAGACAGGGAGAGAGAGCGAGCGAGAGCGAGAGAGAGCGAGCGAGAGCGAGACAGAGAGAGGGAGGGTGAGAGTTAAAGAGAAAGAAAGAGTGAGGGAAAAAGAAAGAATGAGGGAAAGTGATAGAGTGATGGAGAGAAACAGGCAGGGAGAAGGGGAAGAGGGAGAGAGGAGAAGAGGGAGAGGGAGGGAGGAGTGACGAGGAGGGAAGGGGGAATCAGCTTCTATATTCAGGACCGTCTTGAATTAATCTTCAAATGCTTTTTAGCCAATAGAATGATGCATATAGCATCTGAAGATGAACTTAAAATGGTCTAGAATAGAAATGTTAAACCTCGAAATTCATTAGTTATACGGTTATGTGTTACTATGCCGAAAATATGTCTTGGAATTTCAAACTGTATGCACCTAATACATCGTATGTTGAAGTCGGATATTATTAAACTTATATTACACTACAGGGATTATTGTTATGATTTATAATATTTATTCTAAACTTTAATATGAATAAGCTATAATGGCGCGCGTGTAGCGCGCGCTTGTAATGTTCTAGTTATATAGAAATTAATTGTTTTCTCTTTGATATACCAATTACTATCCGCGAATTAGCATAAAAGAAGGGAAGTGCGAATGTGATTTGCATTTTTTTTATTTCGTCTTGCTCTCTTATATCCAATATAGATATATATATATATATATATGTATATGTATAGGATGATATATAATAATTTATGTAAATAACATTATTATAATGAAAACAACAACGTAGTAATCATTGTGCTAGGCTCTCGTTTAATCTTTATTTACAACCCTATGTGACCACATTCGTGCGAGAGCGTCGCCCTGCCGAAGGGCGCTCCTTACAATCATGGCTGAAAATCGTACGATCTCGAGATTCTAACTCTCTAATACTTAGTATTTAATCATTACCACTAATCATGATCAGCAGTCACGAAAATTATCGGTCAAGTCCGATCGTGAGAGCGTCTCTCAATTCAAAGTGTGTGTAGTCTAGGAATCGTTACGATAACAGCGAAAAATTTCCTCTCGGAATTAGGCATCGACTCGCAAATATAGACAACAGACTCACACACGCGAACACACACACGCATACACACACACACACACACACACACACACACATACGTACACATTCTCCTCTTCGATAGACTTCGACAATAGTGTTAACAATCGAAAAATATTTACCTCGACGTTTATCGGGCGGCGAATCTTTTTCATCGTTTGATCAATCCCGATCGTAATATATGTATATATATATATTTTTTTTATATACGAATATATACCTAATACTTGACTAGAGATCACTTTTTAAAATTTTATTGACTCCCTCAATAGTCTAGGTACTCGGACAATATGGAGACACGAGATGTCTGTTTATATATAAAAAAATACTCGGTTGAATGAATTAGAAACGTTAGTGTGGTTGCTCGTTTGTCTCTGCTTCTCACAACGCGCGACATTTGTCGGCAGATACGAGAATGATAGCTAACGAAGCTTGATCCCAATTCCAAGTATAATTAACGATAATAGTAAATTGTCTGAAAAGAGTCCTCGTTTTCGTAGCGCATTCCTGCTACGGAGGAGAGTTGCGGAGAAACTCGGTTGACACTCGTTACACATAGAATTCAGTCTTAGGTTCCAGTTCCATCCCCTCGTCCTTGTACATATCCATTATCTGGAAAAGTCGTCATCAACTTGAAAAATAAATGTATTATTATGTGATGAAGTAAATTAATATTAACAGATGAATCCAGTTCTCATAACGATCGATTATTTTTTATCTTGTTATTAAGAAGACTGATATATAAAAATAAAAAAATGGCTTCAATTGAACTGTATTATTATTTGCTTGTTTTACCTTATGTAAAATATATAGTAAATTATAGGAAAAATGAAATAAAAAATAATACTTTAGAAAAATGTTTATTAAGGGAACATTATATATATAAAATATAATTATATAAAGAAGAGAAACACACAATAAATAAAATAAGATTTATGGGTTTAAGAAACAAATATTAAGTTTGCTTTTATATAAAACAAGAAACATATAATAATTTAACTTAAATCTTCCAATAAAATTTGATATAACATGATTAATTTATCGGTTAATACATACATTCGAGATTCTCAACATCTATCGTCAAAATAAAAGTTGATGGTGTTTAAATTCCTCATAATTCTTCAACAAGCGACTTAACAATAACAATGTAAATATTATGTCGAAAATATCAGTCTTGATATATAAAGGTTAATTAATGATGAATGTCAACTCGCCAGTTGTATATGCATAAGTTTACAGGCTATGATAATGCAAACAATATACATGGTATACTCGTCTGTACAAGTTCCCTGAGGCTATACTACCGGAAAAAATTTTAGTCTGGCGAGGGTCTGCTGCCTTACCGCATTCATATCCTTCTGCAGCTCTTCCAATTGTTTCTCATGGATCACTTTGAGTTTCTCTTTTTCCCTGTTCTGAATCATCTGAGCGACTTTGCGCTCCTCCATGAACTTTTTTGTGTTGTTCTGCTGTTTTTCTCTAAGCCTGCCCTCCTTGATTCCTCGCGTCTTCAGAGTCTTATCATTCATCACCTCCCTCATGCTTTCCACCGACATTCTCGCCTGCCGCGCATTCATTTCCTTAATCTCGCGCTCGTGCCGCGCGGTCAGTTGCTTCTGTTGCGCCACTTGCGCTGTCGCGCACAATTTGCACAGTTGCGCCCGTCGTTCCTCCAGGTGTCCGCGGACAAGATCGCGTTCCTCTCGCCGTTGTCTGTCGGCCAGACGAGACCATTGAGCGGTCTGTTCGGTGACGGCGCGGCGAACGATCGAGTCCCTGGAAATCTCCGCTTTGCTGCAACAATTTTATTATTTATCAGCAAAAAATCCACATTTCTCTCAACCTCGTCAGTATCGGTAGTTTTGCTTCAGTTTGTTTGGAAAGTCCATGTCAAAATCAATATTAATTATTTGATAATTCGACAAACGCTTTTGAAAAAAAAAGATGTAAAAGAAAAGTGAGAGTCAAAGACAAATTGTTCAGGGATTACCAACTTTTTTCCTTTAATAATCTTCTCTATGGCAACGTAGTGTTGCTTCTGAACCGTGAGCTTCTCTTTATGCTGCCTCTTTCTCAGCGACTCCAACTCTTTTTGTTGTTTCCGTAATACTTTTTGGTAACTTTTCTCTTGTCTCAGAGTATCCAAGTTGATCGGATCAAACTTCATTTCTTCTGCAAGAAACAAAACGATATCTAAGTACGGATTCCACTGTTCAATGGGCAATCTCGGCTTATTGCAATTTACCTCTTGGTTTGGCTTCGTGGTGATGAGGCGCTACCGCGTCCACGTTGTTTTTGCTATTGCTCTCTTCGATCCCCAAGCCGCGCATTTTATTCTGCGACATACTCTCGGTCTTTCTAATCGCTCGCGGCGCCGTCAAGGCGTCCATAAATTCTGGAATAAAAATTTCAATAGTTTTGGACATAGCGTACAATCAAATTACTGCCTAATTAATATATCACGTTTGAAATTCGATTAAGATTTTTAAAACTGTAAATTTATATTTTTAAAAGAAGATAACGTCAGATATATACAGGACATTTTGATGAAAAAAAGGCTGAAGTTTCCGAGGCTGAAATCACACGATATATCCTGCGAGATGCATCTTATATCCCCAGATAGGAATATCATAAATTTATTTAATCGCGCGATTAAAACGTAACTGAGATATGCAACATCGATCGTACCTTGAAAACCGTCCGGCACGTAGATCTTGATGTCGATGTTACAAAACAGCATAGGCAGAGACATGGGAAAATTAGCTTCAGTTCGCAACGCAATATGTCGATATCCGGCCTGCAAGCCGTCCAAAGGAACAATTCTTTGCCCCAGCAGTTTACCGTTCGATTCATCGTATACCGCGAATCTCAAAGCAGCCAAATCCGGTAGGACGACTTTCCTAAAGAGGAAAGGCTCTTCGTTATAGACGGGGTTCAATCCGTTGGCGGGAACCACTCTGGTGCGGAATTCCTTACGTATCGTATCGGTCGGCAGGCCGTACATTTCGACCTCCACATAAGTTCCAACTTTCTTGTCTGATAAGAACTGACCGGCTATTACCTGTTGCAATGTTGGAGCAAATACATCAATAAAGAGATCATTAAAGCGGATTTCTCAAGTAAACTCTCTCTTCAACTTTCACGAGTGCAATTCACCCAAAAGTGCACAATTTAATAATGTTTTGTCGGCAAACAAAATAGACACGAGTCGCAAAATTGATCACATCCTGTATGATACTTTTCTTTCCTTAAACACACATGAATGTATCTTAACGCGTGATATCGAGTCCACAGAAATATTTGGATTGTCGTCGAGAGGAAGAACGTACTTGAACACTGCATTGCGTGGCGATCACTCCGTCCACGGGGCTCTCGGCGAAAGGATCGAAGCTCCTGTCGGCGCGTCTCATGAAATCCGGCTTTAACAAATAACCCGAAGAGCCGTTGTACTCGAACTTGCCTTGATTCAGTTGCATGGGCAAATCCGCGGTCTGGAAGTTCAGCGACACCATTTGGCAACCAGCGTTCCAGAAGACCTGTTTCACGACGATCGATCATCCCGAGACTTGCCTTTGTGTCCGTAGTAGCACAAATTGCAACAAGCTCCACGAGCTTACTTACTTGCGGCATGTAATTGGAAGAGTCAGCTCGTGTGCCTTTCGGGTAAATTCTGCTCATCTGCCGTTTGTTATAATTCACGAACTCGATGGCCGACGTTTTCAAGTAGTTCAGGCCAGCCGTTTCCGCGAAGGAAGACATATTGTGATGAAGATTTTTCTCTGAAATGGCAATCCGCTTTGAATCGCGCGTTCGACCGCGAGCTGTAGTGGCTGAGACAAATACCATGACATGTTGAATTTCATTTCAAACTGTAGAGACTTAGATTTCGCTTACGTTCGGCAACATCGAAGCCGGGGAACTTGATGGGTTGTGCATAGTTGACCATGGAGGACAGCCACGGGTGCACATTGGTGGTGCTTCCGGTATAAGGCAAAGCCGCCACTAGCTCTATACTTTCGCCGAGACCAGCTGGGCCACTGCCAGATTGCTGTTGCTGAATGCCGGTCACTACCGACGTTACCACATCGACGACAGAATTATCTTCCTGAAGAGAGAAGACACGGTCGTTTTTCAACGTAGGAACAGCGGCCACCCGATTTGGTTAAGAGTGAAGGGGCACTACCATTCCCAATCTGAGGATTATGATGAAAGTTACCTTTACCGGTTGCTGTTCTACGACGACTGCGGCGACGGATGGCGGCGCGCTGGCGTCTTCCTTGACCTCGTCCTCAATCACGAATTGACCTTGCTTAAAGAGCTCCAACTCCTGCTTCTCGACCTCGGGCTTTAGGCGCTTGTTCTTAATAAGAATCTTGCGCTTCAGCATACTGGGCGGCGGCAACGGTACTCCTGGCTCCAGCTGTTTTAGTGATACTCGTGAGTGCACTTAAAACCATATGCGGCTCGAAAGAGTCGCACGATTTTGTCACGATCGATTTATCGTAAGCGTGGGTGCGCGAGCTGACGCGAAGCATTATTTACGAGCGTCGAGTACATTCGTATCTGTTAGGCTGATTCGATGCGTTTCGATCGGCCGGAAAATGAGGAAACGTTTATTTATTAATAATTACGCGAGCTGGCGAATCGCGTGTTTTGCTTTCTCTGCAGAAGCAATGGCTCTGTCACGAAATATTTTACAATATCTGCGATGTTAACCTACCGGATATTCCTTCAGTGGCTCCTTCAACAACAGATCACCCAGTATCTCGTCACAGTACTTGGCCAACTTGTATTGCTGCTTCTTGCTACAGTGATTTTCAAAACTGAGAATCACTGGATATTCCGATGTAACGAAGGCCGTGTCTCTAACTGCGTATATAACGTCTTTGAATAGAATATCAGTGCACATGGCTTTGCCGTGAGTGATTATTGGTTCCTCGTCTTCCCCTTTGCCGTCCCAACAATCCAATTCGACGCATCTTTAAATTTGGATCGGAAACAAAAAGAGCAGAGGTAGTGGTCGCGTCAGCTAACAACAGCGTGTAGGTAATATTTGTGATTGTCTAAATACGTTATCTCCGTAAAAGTACACGAGAAACATTTCATCACTTTTGCCTCTTCACGTTATTATGAAGACGCGCGCAAGCTAATCAATAACCGAATAAGGAAGTCGGTGATCGATTTCATGTCGAGATATAATATTACACATATTCAAATATAGACGCGGGCGATCTGGCGCAATCGCCTTGGCTATAAATATTCACCAGTTATTGACGATCGCACCAGGATATAAACATCGAAGATCGGCGTGTGATCATTGTTTCCATCCTCTGCGCGCGGATGCAATAACACACTTTACCTGCATCCGGCTAGTAGAACTTGTCTGTACATTTCGACGCTGCTCCTCCCGCCAAATTGTCGGCCGCTCAGGTACGTGTTGTGACTCGAATTGATATAGTAGTGCGCCAACGACTGGTCCATATCCATATAAACGTCCAGTCTGTCGAGAAAAACCGGTGCGTTCTCGTCGGACATCAGGTATCTTATGAAGCCGTCTCTCGTCATCGTTTCTGAAATCGCGATCACGTCCGTCGAAATGTTTGCGACATTTCAGTAATGTCCTTATGAAAATAAAGGAGCGAGCGAAATGTATATGGGAAACAACTCACTTCCCTCACGTATGCGTGATAAAGGAAGGAAAAGACAAACAAGGCCGAGAAACGTTCCGCCGAGAAGTGAAGCGCGATTTATTCATAAAGCCCTTACTTTCATTGCGCGCAACTTCGTTCTGCTCGTAATCATTGATGATCTCCATCGCCCGCTTCTCATCATAGAGGGGATAGAGAATTTCGTTCAGGGTCGGATCTCTCTGCTTCTCGTTGAGGAAGGTAATCAGTTGCTCCAGATTAATCGTGTCGGCTTTACCCTGTGTTCTGCAATTTTTCAGAGAGATACACATCGAGGAAGCCCTTGAGACGTCTCGCATCTCCGACGCGTGTACTCACATGGATTGAAACAATTCCTCTATGTCGTTCCTCGGACATATTTTGTGATACAACGCGTAGAACGCGTCGAATGTGAAATCGTCGGGTTCTATCACGTCGTTCTGGGCATACGAAAAGCATTTTCAGCGTTCTCGCAGTGGATAGAAATGCCTAACTGCTAATTTATCAAGATGATTGTCAAAATACCTTTCCGCTAGGTAGGCCTAAGTCAGAGAGACACTGATAAACTAGCTTTTCCGTTTTGCCGGATGCGAAAGTTCGCGCGACCACTTTCACCGGAACTTTTCCGTTAGGATCTACCAACATCCTAAGTCGCATCCAGCTGAAATAGCACAAAGATAGAGCTTCTTATCCTCATCCAGTTTGTTTCATTCGACGAGTTCATTTTAACATACAGATAAAGATCGGTAACGTATATTTTTGTCAACTTTCGTTCAACGGCGTATCGCATTCGCAGGCTCTGTCAAGTTATTTCGATACAACGCGATCATTTATTAAAAGGCCACTTAAAAATAGATCCATTCAAGTCGAGACTCGAAAAAAGAATGACACTTTAAGTGACATTTATGTTACGTTCATGAGGGCACAATCTTATTTTGTACGTTTAACTACTAGTAATTAATGTTAACGTCCGATTACAATTGATCGTCGCGATAGCCAATAATTATTATTAACTATTAATTATTAACAGTCTATAATTATTAATGACGTGACGGCTCCTCTAACGCGTGCAGTGATATGCAGTGTCAGAGATTAAATCGAACAAGCCAGAAAATAATACCTTTTACGTCAGATCTTAAGAAAAAAGAGCAATGCGCATACGTCGGTGTGGTACATTAGAGGATAATTATTCCGCGTAGGGGGATACACAGTGCTATTGTTTACAAACGTTAGTGCAAGCGTATATACACACAGATGCATACGTATATGCATTGGCAAACTCACTGTTTCTTCAGACACGTGAGCGGGCAAACGTTGTTCGCTTTGACGTTGTGCGTGATCGATCGAACGCCATCCAACCATACCTGTGACGACATACAGAAGTGACATAATATAATTTGTTCTTTTTACGGAACGCGCGAGGAAATGCATTAAATTGCGTCACGGCGAGGATATATAACGTTAAGTCGCACAAGTCGGCGGTAAATATCGCCAGTCGTCGCTATTGTAATGTTTTAGCGTAGATAAGCCGATTGCTGCTTGTTGAGATAATGAATAATAAATTGACTATGGGAAAGAAAAAGTGTTGCAACGAGTCTACGGAATAAACGAACAAATGAATTGACAGATAATTCCATTGTACTGACGACGTCGAAATGAGTTCAACCCACTTCCGTATCACTTGCCGACACGGCAGCCAATGATGAAATTTCCCTGACAATGACACGCGTAAAAGTAAGCGACGTAGTGAAAGAGACGTTTATTAATAACGCGATCGGTATCAACGATAACAGCCGAAAAGTTTCGTGCTGAGCGTAATCGTGATTCGCGTTCACGTGATTACACCGGAGTCACGCCAAGAGTGGCTACAGGGCGTTCGTTCCAGCAACAGCAACAGCGGTAATTCTGAACGTTACATGTTGTCGTATCAGACAGCCGATATTTTACTTGATCGATAAGTCTAATGACATGTGCATAACAGCACGTTTCCGTCATTATCGCAATCAGCGTTCGCGCGTGTTACCTTGGCTGTGGCGGAATCCGGACACACGACATGCTGATAATTGATGTTGGTGTAATCGACACCGGAACAGATGGTGAGACTTTTCTCTTCTAATTGTTCGCCGTGCTTGCTAAGCAGCTTGTCGTACAATTTTGGGTCCTGTTTGAAATGCGTATCTTTAAGTTTTCGAGACGAAAACGAAGAACGGTGTATAAATCGTGGCGAGGCTTCTAGGAAGACGATTACGACCAGCCTCGGCGACTTCAAGCTCCGTCATCACATTTCGGAGCAATGAAACAATTCACTTACCTTCGGGATCCCCCCGGCCCTAATGTCGCTCACTTGACACAGCTCCAACACGTCGCCATCCTGCGGAGATGAGACATAAGAAGAGAACGAAAGCGTCCATTCAGAATTCATGAGTACCTCGCTCCATTGTCGAAATGAACAAAAGAGCGGATACAGCAGAAGGAAAGCTCACCTTCCCCTCGCTCTGCCAATAGATGAAGAAGCCGTATTCGTCGACCTTGAACAGACAATTCAACTCGATTTCCGTGTTGTCCTTTTCCTCCGTCCAGCGATCGAAAATGCAACCGTTACGGAGCGCTTCCGGCACCTCGATCTGCCAGTTGAACTCGAACTTCTTCGTCATCTCCGCGGCGTTCCGCCGACTTCCGGCAAAGTCAGCCCAGATACGGCGTTTCCCGGTTCTGTCAACAAGTACCAGTGTCGCGTTGAAAGCGTCGAACCGCTTCCTCGGACCGCCTTCTTTACACTCGATAGCACGAAATGTATCTCGAAAGGTATCTGCTTCGTATCAAAGCCGCTGAAGATCGACATTTATGCCTCGTACTCGACAGATCGTAAATCGCACGTCAATGAATTAGGATTGCGTATTCGGCCGAACTATGAGCTTCTACGCAATGTCGTAAATGTTCCAGTTTACGCATCTCGATGTTTACTCAACGTCTATTTATAAGCCTTACTCACACCGATCTTGACTGAGGATAACCCGAATTTTCCATAAATAATAATTGTCACAAGCGATCCACACCGGGTCGAATCGCGAATGGGGTTGAGATAGACCCCATCGCCTTTGGTTGCACTAAATCGCATACAGCGAAACTACTTTTCCTCGACAAGAGAAAAAGAAAGAGGTGCCTGAGTTTAATGAATGAAACGACAGAGTCTCTTCCTCGCGGGGCAGCAGCGTGAGATACCTACTGGTGTTAAAAATAAAAGACCTTAAAATAAAATGCCTTTAGTGCAGATTAAAACGTGTGATGTTCACTATAGTTACCGCACGGAAGTTTAGAATGACTGACGCTATATCGAATTTATCGCCAGAGCTCATGTGCGTGTTACTCGCGGTAAGATCGCGTCTGCTTAAGAATCAAGCACTCGTAAAAGAACGTTTTGCTTCAATCATCGGCTTTTTCTTTTCGTTTAATAGCGGATGTCACAGATTTTGGATAATCGATAGTTCGTCACGCTACAAAGAACCTTCTAGCATCGTTGCACCGATTAACCTTTGTGGTAAACTTGCGCCAATATGGGACGAAGCACACGAAAAGTTGTCAAGCGAAGCTAGTCGTGGCCAGGAAGGGTTTTGTTGCAACTGCACAATGTCTGCACGACGCTATCTCGCGCGCGATAGATTACGAACGGGAATATTTATCAACAGCGACAGCAGTACAATACTTACAATGTTAAGAACGTCTCTTCCGGGTTGATTTGCTCATTTTAATTCGCGGCTGCGCCTGCAACGGAAAGAATTAGGTAAACTTTGAGACAATTTTTTAATTAAAAGTTGCTGCCTGTCATGTATTTTTGATGATACGAATCTCGCTTGGAAAGTGGACGCTATTAACAATTTTATTACGAAAATACTCATTACGAGACGAAGATGTAACTCCCGCTGCATTTTCCGATACTTAATAAAACATATCTGTTACGTTTAAATAAATCTGCAGCCATTGATTTTATTAACTGCATGCAGAATGAATAAAGCACGTACAACCTTCCAAGTCGAGACCATTTGCGAAATAAGTTATGATTGTGATTAAAATAACGATAGGTTATACGTCGTATACGATCAATGACGTACATCCGCCATACGAGAATTAAATATTTCAGTAAATATCTAAAAGTAGAACGCAGGATACCATTATCTCTATAGATTTTAGATAATCTAATTAAAAATTCCGTACATGACGATTTACATTTCACAAATTAGTACGTCACATTTCGAATAAAAATTGCAAATATTACAAATACTTTTCCAATTATTGATGTGAGAAAAACGTTATATTAAAAATAAACAAAAACAATATTCAATTGTACAATGCACAATTCGTGGAGATTTTCTGGAAATGAAATTTATCTCCTCTCCACGCTCGAGTTTTTCTCAGAATGATGTAGAGGTCAAAAGATGTCCAATTACGCGTTATTAATGGAGAACGTCAGGCAGCGCTCCTTTTCCGCATAGTTACTCTTCTTGCGCCATTCCATTCTATTAACTAATGTGTTAATTATATTTATGAACAGACACATGTCTCTCTCTCCGGAATAGGTTTCGCTTCTCGATTAAATGACTCAATCAATATCTTTATATAATTATGATAGATTTATGTAATGGTGTGTTATATATTACGTAACGTATAAGAGAGAGAGAGAGAGAGAGAGAGAGAGAGAGAGAGAGAGAGAGAGAGAGAGAGAGAGAGAGAGAGAGTGGGAGAGGGAAGGGGGAGGGGAAGAGGGAAAGAGAGTGAAGCGTAAAATCCATATAATGACCTCTTTTCATCGAGTTTATTCGCTTAGTGACACGCCTTAATTATAACGCACGTGCACCTCTCCTCTTATTATTACTTGTAGAAGGATAACATGTTTTTTAATAATTTTCCAAATGTCCCAACGTTGAGATGTTTATAGTTAATAAAACAAGTAATAATCCGATTACTTTGCCACTGATTAAAAATATTATCACATTATGCAAATTGAAAACACATTAAAGTAATTACAAAGGATGGCGAAAAACATCGAGTGACGCATCGTTTCTAAGATTTTTATTAATAGCTGACATGGCATTTTGTTGTTTACGTAAAAGCCATTCTAGTGCGTCTTTTAACAGCTTCGATCGTTTACGTAAATATCGTAACCTCAACATACGACATCTTCAACGTTAAGTAAATGTGAACCGATTAATTGAAAGTATGAGTTTAATATCTGTGCTTTGAACACATAAAAAGCATAGCTTATAATTCAATGCATTTTTACGGTCAGAAATAAAAATCTTTTCGTTATTATTTATTTCTTTTTATTGATATCTAATATAACCGACCGGATACTCTGTGTATTTTTTTATTGTATAATATAATACTTTACAATTATGCATTATTTTATCGAAAACTTTTACCACAAATACTATTGGTATCAATATCGTCAACGGATGTGACACAAGCTTTATCGTAAGTTATCTTAATTGGTACACTAGGAAATATGGAAGCTGTCGAATGCCATATTTCGCACATGTATATTGTATACCAACACGAAAAGGCACTCACGATTAAGTACACATTTTTAAGCGCAGCCATAAAAATGCTTGCAAAAAGCTAGCAAAAAGGTCTCGTCGGCTCGTAAAAAATAACGTTGGTTGCTTGATAGAAAATTTATTTCCACTGGAATTCTCCGTAATGAAAAACTGCAATAAATAAACTGTTATTTAATATGCATCTGTGATGATAATATTATCAACTTGTTTTGTCAATTCTTGAGTAATTATAACTTTTACGGGTGGCATATCAAGTTTTATAAATTTTGAAAATTACTCATTATGTTTGCATTTTTTGTGCTATAATCATCATCGGAATGTAGTCTAGGAAGAATACATTACATGTACTTTTAAAAAATCTGGCAATATTGTATCCCTTTCTTAATCCTTTGACTTGGAAATAAAATTGATTCTCTAAGAATCGAAGCTTCTGGATTTCAAATAAAGTTGAAAATATACAACAACAGTTTCAGTATAAAAATACGTGAAGGTTATAAATTCTATCTTACTGTATTGGCAACACGATACGTACAGTAATAATAATCGTAAAGTTACCAGAAAGACTAAAGGTCATGTGAGAAAAATAAGGGAAAACATGAAATAAAACGGACCACGTTTTGATAATAAATCGTATACTTTATTATCAACTCGCATGACCCACATAAAAACTTCGTACTGTAGTATTAGATACGTAAAAATATTATTTTTCGATACAAAGAATAAGAAATAATGTAACCTGCCACAAAAAAAAATGGAGAAAAAATATGGTAGAATTATATTTTGTAACGGGTTTACGTTGGGAAAGGTAAATGTATAAATATTCTGGAGGCGAATGCACAATCCTGCTAAATCGTCCATTTGCGACATTAACCACAATTTCCGAGAATTAAACCACATCCTCGCAGCCACTTTTTTCTCTTGATAGACATCAAGTCATTTATCGTTGCCATTAGTTTCATGGAGGAAGAATCCGAGTTACTATCACAGAGTTGCTTCTATAAATGATCAGGTGACTGTCGCGGTTTCGTCACTGTTTCGCGTGATACTGATTAATAAGGATATCGGTGCGTTTGTGTGCGTGTGTATGCGTTCAGCAAAATTTAATGCAGATAGAAGCAAATCGACTTTCCTACTTCCTTTCGCATAACGTTTTAAATTGCGGTTAATATGCAATCAACTGCATAAACAAGAAGCTACATATCTTCAGTATGACAGACAAACTTGTCGATAAAGTTTTGGCATAATATTCAAATATGTACCTAATATGTAGTTTAACTCTACTGTAGTTTAGCTCAACTCTCCCATCCTCACGGCAGACGAAAAGGAATGATCAAGTCGACGTGTCATGAGTTTTCTTCGTGAGCTTCAGAACACCGGGATATCGCAAAGTAGTCGCTCGTACAACGTGCGTTATCGGCCACCGATATGAACAGTACAGATACGTAAGGTATACGGAGCGTATCTGTGGACTATAAAATATTACTTTTGGACCACTTGTGGGAGATAACTATTCTTAAAAAAAACTAACCATCCTATAATCTATCATCCTTAAATCACTAAAAAATGATTAAAAATGAGATTTCTTTGAAAATAGATTGTTTAAGAGGAAATTTTTTTTTTAAGAAAAATCACCTCGCACAAAAAGTGGTCCAGAAGTAACGTTTTATAGTCAACTTATGTAAACGTCGTATATATTTACGGATAGCATAAACAGAGACGAACGCTACGAAAATATAATGTGTGTCTCGTGCCTCTACTCTTCGGCACGACGAAGACATTCCTAGCGCCTGCCAGGCCGAGTATTCCCACGAACCGACCGCATTAACGGCGCGTTATAACTATCGTGACTTCCCATCGCACTCTACCGGCTCGTTAACGAAGCATTGAAAGCATTGAGATGGTAAGCGAGAATGAAAATTGCGAATAAGAAGAATAAGGAATCGACCTGATTGCAATGGCATTCGTACTATTATAATCAGGCGTCGAGTAGCGATATTAATTATCGCGGGATAACGGTGAATTATCATCTAAATAAAATACTTGGGAATGATAGCCGAGAAGCGACGCTCGTGAAAATAGCGGCGAATATTCCATGTCAATATGTTAATTTCGCTGTATCGTACGCTTATAGTTGAGGAAATTATCCGCTCATGAATCCATATAAATGGTTTACAAGCGCGTTGTGTAATTCGTTCTTCGAGCTAGAGAATGATTTATTAGCATCGTTGTGGAGAAATTATGCAACACGGTCTCATCACGTAAAACAAGGAACCTATGACTCGCGACCTCCTTTCGAAACCATGGAAATATTTGCGTTTCATTTCGAATTTTCTCCTATCTTTACGGGCGCTTGTTACTTACTTACCATCGTGCAGAATATTAACTCAAGACATCGCATTATACGATTCTTTTATGCCAAGCGCGTCACGTTGCGAGTATCTTTACGCGCGTGTACTCACAATCACCTGATACGCTCTGTATATGTTTCTGTATTTTATAATCTTCCTACCAACAGCCTCAGGAAATTTCCAGCGATATATAATATCGCCTAATTACCTATAATTATTGCACATAACAGCGTTAGTTTTTCCAAGAATATAATGCAATTACGAAGACTAATTTGCAAAAATTTTAATGACTCACGTGTGTAAATTTGCGCGTATAATATAATACACGTGCAATAATAGGCGTGTCAATTTGTTATCGAATATTAATTTCAGCTATTAGCTGGATGAATATATTTTTATCGTGTCTATCACGCGCAATATCACGCAACACGTTACAATAATTATCCGTTACAAGGACAATATTGTTTCTCATGTTGCCTTCTTCTTCTGTTTTATAATATTTATTTATGCAACTTAAATTTGTTTTATTATATTGGAAATGAAAGCTATTTCATATAATTGTCGTATTTCCGATGAGGAGAAAATTTGCTGTTTGTCAATCGCTAATAGTCAATTATTATTATAATAGCTTACAGCTATTATTTCAGCACGGAAAGTTTCGATACGAGCTAAAAACCTGTTCGAGCCAAGATAATCGGCAACTGATAAAAAGACAAAAACAAAGATATTTGATAAAGATATAAAGTTTGACAGTCGCATTTGCCACACGAAGTAAATAATCCAATTACCTGGGGTGTATAGATCAATAATTATACAATTTCCGGTACTTGAGAGATTGAATTACTCCGCCGCGACATTGACCGTTCAATCGCTTAATACATCTAATGCCCACTTTAGAAAGAATGGAAGTAAATGAGGGAGTTATGACCCGACGATATATTTATATTACATGTATACGTGTGAATTGTTAAATGTGTAATCGTGTTTTTCTTCATTGCTTTTATTCGTTTAAAATTGAATAATATATCTATTCCCGCGCTTTGTACTGTATTTTACCAACTTTTTAACTTTTTTGATAACTCTTTGTATTCGACAAATATTTTTTCCGCACATGGGGATAACGTGGTAAAATAATCAAGCGCGATGCTAAAATCCTTACAGTTTGCACACATAGAGTTTGTATAAAATGATAAAACGGTTCATCGCTATTAGGAGATAAGATAGCAAAATGGATGATTTCACTTCGAGAAGATAATAATATTTTAACTTTAAGACAACTGATAAACTAAAGTGGAACGTTTTATAATTTCTTATTGCTTTGCAAATAAACAGTACCGCATGGTTACGTTATTATTAGCTGCGGATCTGTTGTATCGCTCGTCGATATTGTTCGCGCGGTGAATCCGACACAACAAATCGCTCTCGATAAAAATTGCATTATGCAATATGCTCATGGTTATAATGCGCATAACAATACGATATTAGCTCGTGTGTCGCATTTGCATTCCAAATGATTAACGGGCAAGAGAACCTGACGAGTGGAAATTAGCATTACCTCTAAATTTACATATGAGCGTGTATCCCTTACAAAATTCATCCAGTCGAAAAAAACGTGAAATATTCCAAGTTAAATAATATTCCGCATAAATTCATATATTTAAAAATATGCGTTGTTGCGCGAACTGACAATTTCGTGTTTCCTTTCACAAACATAATTATTTTGCGACGTTTCATTATTATCGTACAATTAAGCTATCGCATTCAAATCTCCTTGAAGCGATTATTTTTTAATTCTTGTGGTGGAAATATTCCGAGAAATAATGTTCTATGAAAGAATCAAAGACAATGCTGTTTCCAGCAAGGCCACTATAAAAAGAACAAAAAGTCTACGATTATTGAATTATAATTCTCGAGGAAAACGATGGAATCTTTGTGCACCTATGCTGAACACTTGCGTAAGGATCGAAAGAGAGAGAGAGAGAGAGAGAGAGAGAGAGAGAGAGCTATTATTAAAAAGACACTTCCTTCCTTCCACCAATTATCTGTGAATCAAAGTCTGCAGCATATCGAGGACGGTTCGCATCAACAGTGATTTGGTTATCATCGAGAAAAAAATCGTCTTGTCCACATAAATTTACTGTTCTGTTTCGTTCAGGAAATATATCCGTAATGTCGCTTCTCGGCCGCCAAAATTCACACTGTCACAGTTCTCAAGCTACTCGACTTTTATTTTAAGTTGTCACGCCAGGATCACGAGAAACGCTCCGATTGCGAGGAGCCAGGCTGACCCGCCGACTGTGACACTCTCAGCGAGTATGGCGTAAACGGACCGCGGATGATAGATCTGGGAAGACGGGATCAGGTGTCAGGGACTGATGATCGACCTGACCTGGCCGCGTGAGAGAGCGAACGAGCGAGCGAGCGAGCGAATGTCGTAAGAGAGCACGACACCTTTTCCCTCATTCTCCCCTCCGTCTCGCTCCACCTCACCAAGCGGCGTCTCCGGGTTCCCTTGACCTCGAAAATCCCTCGGGAAGTCTGCAGTCAGGGTCGTGTCCCGTTCTCCTCTCCCCGTCGCACCTGTCTTATATACGCCTTGTCCGCGGCTTATCTCGCAGCGATAGTAAGGCGCAGCTAATTAGCAAGTCGTCGCCTCATAATGCCTGTCGCCCCGCTCGTTTGCTCGCGCGTGTGTGCTGCCGGGCGGCGATGTGTAATGTGCGTATATTACGCACATTACACGCGTAGGTACGCACACGGCAACGTACGTATGTGCATGTGCACGCACACACGAGCGGTGAGAGCACCGAGAGAAGCGAAAGAAGGTGGAAAGGCGTTGAAAGAGAGAAAGGAGGAGAGAAAGAGAAAGGGAAGGGGGAGGAAGGGAGGACGCGCGCGCGAGCGAGTACCGCATAATGCGTGCGACGGTGTGCGTGTACAGTGCGTGTAGTTGATGGTCATTGAACGATCGGCTCGTTCTTTTATCGAGCGTCTCTTCGCGAGGTAGACTCAATAGTTGCCGCTATCCTAGACTATAGGCTTTGATCTAGTTGAGTAACGAGAGAGAAAGAATGAGAAAGAGAGTCTCCCTCCCTTCGGAGCGGCTGGGGTCGGGGGGTTGTATGGATTACAGGTGCGGTCATCCTCGACTTCGCAGAGTGTCCCTGTTAATTAGTACATGCTAGGTAATAATGCCGCGCAAGCAGGAAACAATAATGCCTGCTTCGGTACATGGCGTCCGGCTCATTCACGTCGGCTATGCCCTAAATGTAAAACAGGTATGCGCGGAGGCACACACGGGTCAAGTGAATTCGGAGCGCCTGCCGTCCCGATGGTCGCAGCTAACGCGTTTGGCATTTACTCGGCGCGAAGGTAGCGCTAAATTACGAGTGTCCCCTTGCCTCATCGATTTAAGCAGGGAGAATTTCCGGAAAACGGCGGAAACAACGGATGGCTATATTTAATGAGAGACGTGATGATATTAGAGAGACGGGGGCGAGAGAGAGAGACGGGAGAGAGAGAGAGAGAGAGAGAGAGAGAGAGAGAGAGAGAGACACAGAGTCCACAGTTTTTGAATCTTCAGCGGATTCCAGTGGTCAAGATAATTTCAAGCACCGGGTGACACCGGACACGCGCGGACTCTGCGGAATCGTACGCAAAGGAGCACCTGTCACCATCCGGAAATCTCGAGAGCCCGGAAGGAAGGATCACCGGCACAGCGATGCGTGTACGTCCCGACGCGTGACGCGTCTCGTGACCGCGCGGAGTGAGCGTCGATGACGTCGACTGTACGCGCGCGCGTACACATAGGCACGCGTGTCGCACGCACGCACTCACGCACGCAGGCACGCATCGTCTCGTATGTTGGCTCGAACTCGCGCTAATGCGAAATCGGTCTTACGGCTCGATCGGTCCTCTGCCCGCCTGTCCGCCTACTCGCTTATCTGCCTGCCTGCCTGCCTGCCTGTCTGCCTGCCTGCCTGCCTGCCTGCCTGCCTGCTTGCCTGCCTGGAGAATTATCCGTCGAACGACGAGAGCGGCGGAGCGTCGGCCAATGATCTCATCCTCCACCGACGAAGCTTCACCCACACATCAGACGAGCACACGCGCCGAAGTCCGGACTCCGGAAAAGTGACGGGAAGCAATAGCGGATATGGACGTCTTTACGCGCGCGATCTCTCGCTCCGGCACCGGACGCCTTCCAGGAGCGGTGGAAGAAACTGACGGTGCCGCACCGTCTGTTGACAGGCAAACCAGCCGCCTGGCTCGATACCGTCTTTTTCTCCTGAGCGCATGTGCCGCCCGCAGTCGTTCTTCCGCCTCCGCTATGTCGGCAAGAACGGCATCTGCCGCCGCCTCCGGTACGCCGCCTCCGAGGCCGTTGCATCACGCGCGTGGAATGCACCGCGCGCGCCGTCGAGAACGTCGGGGAACGCGGAGCGCTTTGCGTGTATCCGCGTTTATCACGTGCCTAAGAATACACCTGATCCGTGCGCTTTATCACGCGTGCCGAGTGCCGAGGCAAACATGTCCGGTGTCCGACTCGATATTCCGAGCGAGCGGAATTTCGGTTATTTCTGTGGCCCGAGAGGTAGCAGAGGTACTCTCACGCGCGCAGGTAATTCTCTCACCTTTTTTAACATTAGTGGGTATTGTCCGCGCTCCTTTGCGATTCCTCCCGCGGATTTCAGAGGGAGAGACGAAGGAACGTCTGCGATAATTATTATCGAGCGCATCAATGCGCCGACTACAAATAATATTATCATTTCATCGTATCAGAGCCACCGCGAGACAGATACGCATGAGGAGAAAAGATTAATCGTTTCTCTTTGATCATCATGGGCAAAATGCGTCTCAAGGAGAGAGGAAAATTCATTTGAACTTTACTGCAGCGGTAAAAAGTATAATTGCGTATTTGTCTTTAATTTGTATCGATTTTTAATCGGCGAGAACCATTTTTGCCTGTTCCGTTGCAAACACATAGCAGAGAAACTTGATAGAATAAAATTTCAATTTCGGCACTGATAAGAAACTTCAAGCATTGATAAGGGGCAGAAATCACAAACAACAAACTCAGAAGTCAAACGATTATCGGCCTGACCCTACAGTTTGCTGTGCTGATAAATACGAATTTCGTATCGAGTATGATACGCGGATAGACACGGAGATAAGTGGCTGCGCGTGTAGTTGAGAGCGAGCACATCTCAATCGCGTTCCGATGTAGAATGAACTCGTGAGTCACCGGATATAAATATCTCACTTTGCACAGCTTTGCACGTGCAGACAAGTCGTATGTAAATGAACATGCAACTCTCATCTAAAGTCGCGCTAATGAAAATAACAGCGACAACGTGCAAACCCGATGAGTGAAACGCAGCCAACTGTCACGGACCGAAAGCGCGAAATTCGGAAGTAGTTACGACACGCTTTCAGTGAAAACTATCTTCCCGAACGAAATTACGATCCTCCTTTATGATTCCTTCGAAACTGACTACGCCGCCGCATTCATGAATATATTTGCACCTCGTCCGTAGGCGGCTGGAAGAAGAGTTGCGAATTGACGACTCGGGAATAGTCTAAATTTGCGTCACTTATATTTTCTGAGAACTGTTATTTTATTCAGAAGTCAGGATATATATTATAATTAATGACGGCGAAGAGTTATAGCAATGCAAGATAAAGTTTTCTAGATATTAAATAAAAAGTTGCGGCATTTTTTTCTCGCCAACTTGAGTCACAACGCGTTGAATGTATTAACAATTATTACATACATTGTAGCAGAGAGAGAATTATATGAGATTTCCACATAAAATCATACCAAGGCTAGTTGTGCGCGTTTCAGTTGGCATAATGATGAAAATTAAAGATAGGACAAACCTCAATTTGGCATTCGGATAGCAATGTTAAATACATCTTCTTTATCTACGAAATAGTAACCATAAGAAATTTTTGAAATGTCGCAATAAGGTAACATATCTGTTATCATGCGAGTTGCTGAGTGGAAAGCAGTAACGCATCGACAAGTGCATCGCGTCGGTAACAGGGTGGGCTTGAGTTTTAACAGAGTTTGCATTCGGTAATTTATCTTCAATCTACTCAACCAAATATTCTGTATAACGTGAACAAAAAAGAAATATGTTTTTAAGAAATTCTCCCCACACAAGAGCTGTTAAATTTACACAACTTTCAGTCACAAAAGGGATTTTGTTTTGTACATTATTCAAAATGTTCTTTTCTATCTATTGAGTATATCGATTAGCCGCTGTGCTTCTATTAAAGATTCATCGCTTCATCGTCGAGTGCTAAAGAACGAATTAAAGTATCGCTTTGCTTTACAATATGCTTTATAATATGCATCACGTTTCACGAAATTTTATTGTCATTCACCCGATTTTCTCCTCGTGGGCCAAATTAATCTAGATGAACAAACGTCCTTTTTTATGATCTAATTTCTGTGACAGGTGACGGCATATCGCATCCTGCGCAAAATAATGACATCGGTATACTTTTTCTTGCCAGCAGTTTATACTAGGATACACGGCAGCGCTGATCTCATGGGATTGCCGCTAGTCGACAAACTCGAGGGCAGTTTCTCTCTCACGATGAAGTCAGTTTCGTCTTCATATTTCTATATTACTTTTCTGCATAAAGACCAAAGACAGGGCGTAACTCTTTCTACGGAGTTTATTAGGTCAGCAGCAATGTGAAAGCTCCACGATATTAATTTCAACCGTAGCGCTTATTTGCATATATTAGTTAAGGTCCTTTGGCATCTTTTATTAGATGGATAGCATTTTCTTTTGCAATCTGTTGCTCTTATCTCAGAGAAATTTGACTGTAATATTGTCTAAGATAATATTTAAAGAATGGTAGTTTTAATTTTCGAAATTACTTGCAAAACTTTGACATAGCTTTTTCGAAACATAGAGATTTTTGGGTAAAGCTATAAGTCTTTTGATTTTTACAGCTAGATGCGTCTATTTTTCCTCATTTATAATTGATTACTATTTGTTATCACTTTGGATTTATATAGAAATGAATTCGTGAAGTGTGCTTGTGTGGGACGAGAGGTGTTTCAACAATTCTGAAGCAGTCGATAAATTGTCGTAATTTTACGTTCACGTTTAGGGCTGCCTAACCCTAACAAATTCAAGAGGTAGCACGTGTCGTGCACAACTTGGCTCGTATACAAGTCAACGCAAATGTATCCAAGCGAACATATGCTTTGAACCGGACAATTGTGTTCAATACGTGTTAGGTAACTGTGTAAAATGTATCTACGCACAGACCACTCGCAAAGTCAGTGAAACCAATGCGTGTAATTAATACCCTATAATATTATTTCGGTGAAACTTAGGCAAAATATTAGTCGGTTTGTTGTAGCTATACATTTGTTATAACGTGCCGTTTCACATACCTTTATACCTTGGCTTTGTAACAGAGGCATGAGCTGCAATATCGAACTATAGTGTGTCCCAGGAAATGACCAAATTTACCTTTTTTCAAATCACATCAATATCGTCGAAATACTGGCTGCAAATATTTGTTATTAAAATTTAATTCGACGTGGTTTAATAAAGGATTAGTACTGCGCTTGACATGTCTTGCCTATGTTATAGAAACGTATAATTAATATATGCGATACGCGATTTTACTTATTTACATTGTTTAGTCGACATACTGCTTATAATTTTATCTACTTTTATGAATCGTATAATCACGGTCAACATTGCGCGATCGCATTAATTACAAATTGTGTAGATATTTTATAGAATTATAAATTTAAATTCATCTTTTATTTATTTAGTCATAGTTTATAATTCTGTCGACACTTGGTGGAAATCATACATCATCGATTTCGCGTGATTTCCTTGTCCTACTAGAACCATTTTAAGTTTCACAAGCAGCATAACGCAATTCTGGAGATTCTGATAGCTTCCAGAAATACTTTACTCTTCGCAACTGTGAGATTAAAGTTTACGGAATAACATTTTGCGTCAGAAAATTAAGCAAATGGATAGTCAATCATCCTTGTCTCTTTAATGCTGTATTTAATGTAAAAAAGTGAATTGTCGTGAGTTTATTCACTTAACTCTAATATCAATTTTTTCATGCCTCTGTTATTCGATCATGACTTCAATTTACATGTTCTATGCAGAAGTTTAAAATATTAAAATTATTTACTCATTAACTGAACATTCTCTTGGCCGTCTCTCGACTAATGAAACAATTGAATATTCGTCCCGTTACGGAAGGCAACATCTGCTAAATGGAAATATGAAAATTCCGTTATAGAGGAGTCGCGTCGGAATGTGTTAAGGGAAGAAATTTACATCTGGACGTGAGAGCCGAAATTACTGTTGTCCTGCTGAATTATATTTTATCCTATATTATGCCAAATGCTCGCGTATTTTTGAGTACGCCTTTGGTATTCTTGGGGACTGAGGCTGATCCGCGCACTTTAGATGCTAAATCGTTCAACATTCAAACGTCATAAACATATAGAATACTACAAACCTTCGCGTATCTCTGGGTTTATTCGCATAGAAAAGCGCATTGTGAAAGATACGGTGCGTATATTTGCCCGTCGGGCTACACGAAGGACTAAAGTATGCAGCTACAACGACTATTATTACATTCCGCGTATATCTAAGCAAAAATGACGCTAGTAGCTAACGAATTAATATTACAAAGTTATTTCAAGGTAAACGTTCCTTCTTCGTAACATCTCTGCCGTAAAGTTCTACTTTTCGCCAATTGCACAGCGTCATCTAAATCCTTTGTCTATCCTTTTTCTATTCCAAATCACATTTATATTCGAGCAAATGTTAAAATTAATCGAATATAAAAGAAACGTAAAACGTAAAATTTGAAAATCTGAACATTAATAGTTATTCTCAAGATCACTTTCTGAATTTATAGATGCAGAGGCATTAAACATCGTATAACACTTTCGTCAATACAATCCACATTAAGCGTAACTGTGTCGCTTAAGGTGATATTGGAAAATAAAGGCGAGGTGACTGCAATCAACGTGAATGCCATGTAAATCGCTGTGAGAATCAACAATCAACAAACTGGGTATATATGCAGTGGTTCTACATATTAATAACTACAAAAATCAGGCCCTGTGAAAATTGTTAAGCGTGTGGAAGTACGCCCTCGAAACAAATACGACCGAACGTAATCGGAATCGCGTAAACGAGAGAACCGAGCGTTCAATGCGCTGCCGTGTGCAAGTTGCATCGTGTTTTATTGCTCCATAGCGAAATAAAAATAATACATCGCATGCATATTCTTCACGCAAATCGCGATGACATTTTTTTATTCGCACAAACTTTAAACAGCAGCCGATTATTTTTAACGCAAAGCTTCAATTTCTTTCATACTCACAACATCGATCTAAACAGCGGTAACCGTTCGACCTTTGCGCCAAGCGACGGCCGGTCGTTAAATTTTTACGCTTTCCAATCCTGACACAGTCACGTTAATTGTGTTACATTTTTTCATTCACGAACGATGTGTTGTCGGGCGTGACAAGAAAAAAGCTGATGCAGACACGATCATAAATAATACGCGATCTCGAAATTCTCAACGTGCTCTCTGTGTGAGACATAC